TGCTTGGCTCCAAGCCACATTTGACACGGGTGGCGCTGTGGGTTAAACCACAGAGCCTAGGACTTGCCAGTCAGAAGGTCGACAGTTTGAATCCCCGTGATGGGGTGAGTTCCCGTTGTTCAGTCCCTGCTCCTGCCAACCTAGCAGTTCGAAAGCACAAAGTGCAAGTAGATAAATAGGTACCACTCTAGCGGGAAGGTGAACGGTATTTCCATGCGCTGCTCTGGTTCGCCAGAAGCAGCTTAGTCATGCTGGCCACATGACCCGGAAGCTGTACGCCGGCTCCCTCGGCCAATAAAGCGAGATGAGCACCACAACCCCAGAGTTGGTCATGCCTGGACCTAATGGTCAGGGGTCCCTTTACCTTTACCAATCCACATTTAGAACATTTTAGTCTAGCAAAACAGTAAATGAGGGGAAACATGAGAGAAGGCACAAGAAGATAATAGCTTGTATCCCAAGGAGCTGTTCTACTCAGACCAGTTGTTCTTTTGGATCCAGAGGCAATTAGCATGCTTTGGGGTGAGGTTTACAGGTTTTATTTGCTAAACGAGTAGTTTAGGCACACTACTTAATATCCAAGCACTAACATAGCATAAACCTTCCCAGAGCACTTCATTCATTCAGAGATTATACCACAAATGATTGCTCTTGGGGTTGGGGCCTCCATAACTCTTTCCAGCTCAAGGCTGGGACCTCCATCCATGTTGGGATCTCAGTCTGCCTACAACAGTGCTCCAGGCTCTCATATTTATACTTTGGTGCCTGGGAACATGGCAGACAGCCATGTACCAATGGTCAAAGGGTTGGCAAGCTGCCTTCCTCGCTATCAGCACTAGCCACTGTCATTCCCGTGGCTTTGAAGCTGCTGATCCACGAGTTCACCATCTAGCTTGGCAATCAGTCAAGACTGATATTGCTCACATACAATGCAAGTCTTATCTTTGACATGTAAGCTCACACAGTCCAGTATAAGGCATAATAAATACTGTACTGTATTCATTTAATACAGAGGTATCTCAGGTTATATACGCTTCAGGTTACATACGCTTCATATTACAGACTCCATTAACCCAGAAATAGTGCTTCAGGTTAAGAACTTTGCTTCAGGATGAGAACAGAAATCGTCCTCCAGTGGCACGACGGCAGCAGGAGGCCCCATTAGCTAAAGTGGGGCTTCAGGTTAAGAACAGTTCAGGTTAAGTACAGACCTCCAGAATGAATAAAGTACTTAACCCGAGGTACCACTATACAATAAAGCTAACCCCTTAAAGAAGTGATGGCCAAACATGGCCCTCCAGCTGTTTTGGGACTGCAATTCCCATCATCCCTGACCACTGGTCCTGTTAGCTAGGGATGATGGGAGTTGTAGTCTCAAAACAGCTGGAAGGTCAAGTTTGGCCATCACTGCCTTAAAGGATGCAGCCTAAAAGGTATAATGTAAGCAGATTCAAGTCCCTACACAGGCCCCAAATAAGGCATCGAGGAGGTCATTATTGGATGTTACCTATCTTGTGATCACAATACACTTCTGCATGTTTCCAGAAGACAAACCCTCTGCTCTCATGTTAAATGTTGCACTGAAAATAAAGAAGTAAAATTAAATTGATATGACGGAGCCGAAGCCAACACAATGAGAAAAGAAGGGGAGAAACATGGCCTTATTGTTTTTTATTTGATTAATGGGCAAAGAAGAGGAGATGCACTACGGACAGTAGCAGTCCAAGGGGCTGTAATACTTACCTGACCTCTGTAAGTTACTGGGATGGAGACAAACCTCACCACCACCTTGCCCCTTCCTCCTCTCAGTAAGCAGTAGTGATGCTGGTGATGGGAGGTTAGGTATGTGCCCCTGCACTGCCTGCCATGTTTGGATGCAGATATAATAAACCAAAAGACGCCAGCAGTTTTAGAAGTAAAGGAAGACTAGAAAAAAGAACATTACAATAAGCAAGTGTAGAGCAATATTTTTGAGAGAAAGAAAGAATGTATTTTCAAAAGAAGAACTTGCTAACAATAAGATTTTGAAAAGAAATGAGTTCATGAGAAGGAAGGGTTGATTGTCTGAAGCCTGGAACATTATGCGGAATGCAGAGGGGAGCAAACCTTCTGGTGGAGGTTAAAGTAGTCATTATCATTTATTTCCCTGTGGAAACCACACTAAATTCAGAAAGCAAGCTATACATATTTCAGATAAATAAATGTAATCCAATAATGAAAACCTCTGCTAAGCACACAATTATAGCGTAAGGTTAAGAACGTAAAGTACACACACCCAAAACGGAACAATTGCTGTCCTTGGTGCCAAGCAGTTAGCAGAGGAGGCTCCAACGTGCTGCCTTTCAGAGTGAGGAAAGACAAATGTGAGGTGGTAAAAGGTGAGTATCATGAACACTGGTCCCAGTCCTGACATCCATGTGTACCTCCAGGTTCCTGAACAGACTTTCTAGTGCACAGGCTGTACCCTGCAAAACAAAACAAAAAACCCACAAGGTACAGATGGGTCTCAAGGAGCAACCAAACGGATGACTCACCCATGAAACTACCATTAAAGCAAGGACTGCAGCGAGAAAGGTCATTTGTTTCAGCTTAGTCTACTTATAAGGCCTAAGGAGTTCCTCTTCTCTCTCTTCTTAATACTGTAAAGATACTGTAAAGACAAAAGCTGTTGATTTCAAAAAGCTGCTCACCTTCAGGGAGGGGTGTGAACAAATCACAGTTAACTCTTAAAGCGGAACTGGGGGACAGGATTGAGGGGCTCTCCAGATGTTGCTCCTCCACCCCTCCCTTAGCTATTATGGGTGGGCCTGATGGGAGTCAGAGTCCCACAACATCTGGAGGGCCACCAGTTCCTCATCTCTGTCTTACAGTGCCTCTTGCTGCAGATGCAGTTGTGGAGACATTGCCAGAGGGACATGAGGAGGGACTGATGACTAGCTGATGCACTTGTGGGGGGAATAAAGCAGGATGTGGAGGAAGGCAAACCAAATGCTTGAGGAAACCTTCCTGCATGTTATGAGATGTAGGATATTCACCCCTCATTCCTGAGATGTGTGTTTACAGTTTCATTTTGATGAATAAAGTGGGTGTTGTTTGCATATGCTACATTTCTGAATTTATATTTTCAATTTCCATTCCAGGGTGAGTGTGGCTAACGAGCATTTCCATCTATCAAACTCTAAGTGAAAGTCACTATTGTGCTTAATATAATTTTAAAATGGGTGGGAATCATTTCTTTGCATGTTTTATGGCCAAGAGGTTTTGTTGAGCCTAGCTCTTTAAAAACCCATCTGTTTAAATAAGGGTTCCTATGAGAGGTGCTTGTCAGCAAATGGTTTTCTTATGGTGAATACTTTGCCTTTTTCATGAGCGCATCCTTGACAAATTCACTTTCAGATTCCTGTTTATATTGGCGGAAGTATTAACTCTGCTCCCCAGATTTACAGCAAGTATTTCTCACATAAATGTTACAGCAATCTTAATAATACTTAGCTGTTTCAAAGCATTTTAGGGTAAAACCCTATGTTCACTTACCTTGGAGTAAGACCCATTTCTAAGTGAAGTACATAAAAATTACAAAAAGCATGCACTGGATAAGATCAATTTAAATTGATCATAAAAAAAGAAAACTTCTTTAAAATGCCTGCTGGGTTAGAAAGGGCTGGTGCTGTGCACGGAGGTCCCATCTAATCTTATTTGGAGGAATTCCACAGAATCAGGCCTACAATGCTGAATTCACAAACTGTTTCAGACACCATTCCTCTCCTGCCTCTCCCAGATCCACAAAGAGGAGAACATTTCACTTTATCAGGCCACCATTAGTATAGGAGCTCAGCAATGAGTCAAAGCAATGAATCGTCAACATCAACATCGTTAAACTGGTCACTGCGCCAGAAGCGGTTTAGTCATGCTGGTCACGTGACCTGGAAAGCTGTCTGTGGACAAACACTGGCTCCCTCGGCCTAAAGGGAAATGAGCGCCGCACCTCATAGTTGCCTATGACTGGACTAAACTGTCCAGGGGTCATTTACCTTTATCGTCTTCCAAAGCAACAACTCTATTCCCAACTTAAGAATGGAAAGTTAAATGCCGGTGGACAACAAAAGAGGTTTAAAGATGCTCTCAAGGCAAATCTTTAAAAATGCAGTAGAAGCATGGATAATTGGGAAATACTGGCCTGAGAGCATTCAAGTTGGAGAATTGTCTCTACCAAAGGTATCATGGACTTTGAAGCACAAACTCAAGATGAAAGGGAGAAACAAGCTAAGAGGAAGATACATTTGGCAAATTCTGAGCATCAACTCCCGCCTGAAAACCTATGTCCCCACTGTGGAAGGACGTGTGGATCCAGAATTGGCCTCCACAGTAACTTATGGACATACCATTAAGACCATATTCATGGAAGAATCTTACTTGGCTATGAATGATTGCCAATGAGAGCAGAAGAGGAGCTCAGCACTCCCTCTCACGATAGATTTTATTAAATCTCTTCAGATTGATTTTCTTCAGTTGCCCATGCAAGAAACGTAACATGGAAGAGTGGAGTGGAAGGAAACAAATGACAAATTGGATCCATTTCACAGTGTGGCCAAGGATATGCTACTTTTATGTCTGATTCCTCTAATGACTAATACATTTGGCTTTGTGTCCCAGAAGCAAAAGGAAAAAAAGAAGAAAAGTTTGACTCCAAAGCAAAACATTGATAATCAAACCCATCTTAATTCTCTTTTTCTGGGATTCCAAGCTATTGTTTTCAACCACCCACTAAGCTGTGTCCACTGGAAAAGCTGCTCTGGTTCCTTCATTAAGGCATGAAAGAATTATGGGGTGCTGTTATGCTTTGATAAACCTCCAGTTTATGGTGGATGCACCTTTACTTAATTACTTCTGCATATTTTGTTTATTTATCAAGGAAAGAAAACACCAAGCCTAGTAAAGATGAATTAATATGATCACAAGTTTATTTTTAGTTCCATAAAATCTTTAACGCCAGGTACATCTGGGATTATTTGTAGCTTCTGGGCTGTTTCTGTCTGTCCGGGGAACTGCCTCCAGGGCTGTCCTTTGGCTTGCTTTCTACTTCGTTTGTTTTCCAATAGCTGGAGGGAGCCAGTAATGAACCTGGGAAACACAGCAAAGGCTCCTTTTCACTGCTTTTTCAATTCCAGAGATAAAGCTGAGCCGAAAATGAAAAGGCAAGTCTTAATTTTGCAGCTATGTTTGCCACCACAACAATGGAAATCAAATACAGTAGCAGTATTACATGCCCCCTCCACTTTCTCGATAGTGCTACGGATTTTGCTGCACAATATTAACTACATCTACTCAGAAGTAAATCCTACTGAATTCAATGGGGCTTACTCCCAGGTAAGTGGGATTAGGATTGCAACCTTGGTCTGTTTTTGGATGATAGAGCTAACCCATCACATTGCAGCTTCTTTTTGGATCTCTCTCTGCCCCCCTCCCATTGTTCTCAGCCTCTTCCTGGCTGGTAGGTGTGTTGTAGCACACAATACTGCTTAACCATTGTCATAGCTTTTTTAATACAAAGATTACTTGATCACCAAGTACCAAGCATGGTCCTTGACAACTGTTGCACCATTTTTCATCTACTGAACAGTAACTAGACATAATTCTCATGCAGAGAAATTTGCCACCCTGGGCTCCTTTGGAAGGTAGGATGGGGTGTAAATTTAATAAATAATAGCATTTGAGTCCCTCCCCCTTTTTTGTTCTCATAAAAGGAATGGGAAGGATGAGGCCAAATGGGCCCTGGGAACAATGCATTACTTCTTCCATACTGGGAAAACTGGAAAGGATTTTTTAAAATAGTTTTTTATTGAAAGATTTTCATGGGTAACAAAGGTACATATGATGCATTTGTTTTCTGTTCATGAGTCCTACCTACAGGTCAGTTACATTTGGTGTAACTTATTATCTTAGGCATTGTAAGGTTGGGGTGAGGACAGAAAAGATTTGACACACTGCATCTCCCAGCCCCATTTCCATCCTGCAAATGCTTGTATACATTCAGTAAAATGAGATGGATGAAAATCTATATATATGCTACTCCTGTGGCAGAGAAGCCTCATTTGCTGCAGCGTGCCACTCCACTAACCAATGGCAACTGGACCACACATATGAGGCAACCAATCAAATGGGTCTCTTCTACATGGCTGCCACCCACTTGGCCTGCAGGGTCCCACTCACTTGCTTGCAAAGTTAACACATCAGGGTGGGCCAATGCTACTGACAAGCAGCCTCCATTGTGGTGATGTTTTAAGATGCTCCAGCACCACTGAAGTGAGTAAGTGAGGACTTGAGTGTGTGATAATGGGTTTCAGTGCAGTGCCTGACTTTCTGGGAAGTGTGTCTGATGTATTTATTAATCACACTCCCTTTAAAGTTTGACTGCCAGTCCACTTGCTTTCATGTAATTTATTGCCTTTTAAATATTGTCCAGGTTGAAGCTAGGCGGGTGTAATGCATAACAGTGGCCTGTGTGTAAATGTCCAAAAATGTATAGAGCTTGCAGGTTTTCATCTGGTTTATTCCCTTTTGGTTTCTTCTCATTACACAGATTTTTCACTCCACATAGCTGCCTCCACCCAAAATACATGTTCTCATGACACATCATTGGAATGCATATAATCTTCTGTCCTGTTCCTAATTACAGTGCTCAGAGCTCTGCAAAGGGCTGGAGACAGTCAATAATTTTTAAGAGAGTGGAAGGTGGTTAGAGGAGATTTTCTTCCCAAGTTGCACAGAAATGATTGGGAAATAATTCTGTTTGCTACAAAAGAAATGAGCAGCAAGTTTAACATGAATCAGGCCTGTTCAGCTGGTCATCAGGGCATTCTCAAGGGATGGCCCAAGGAGCCCCAAACATTTTTTATTTCTGTTTTTATATATAAATTTGCTTACGCTTTGGGCATTCTGCAAAGTGCAATTCTAGCCACCTACCATCTGAATTTGCCCAGAGGCACTCCATAAATGTATCTAAGCTGCCTCAGGGACCTATTCCTAATGTACTTAGCAACACCCCTACTGGTTACCCAAGTCAATGTCATTCAGTTACAAGAGCTCTCCTGTTTTTCTTCCTGCTTGGGAATGTAAGGCTATGTTCACATTCCCTTTTACTTTGCACTCGCTGCATTTCCAGTGCTGGGTTTTTCCATCCCTGTTCATACAATGTTATTCCAAATGCATATGTATTCTGTGCTTTGTTATAAAATGCTATTGCATTGTTCCTCCAACCAGCTTCACACCTGTTGGAGTCCCTTTAGGCAGGTCCTAATTGGGTTCTCGGAGGGACGCGGGTGGCACTGTGGCTTAAACCACAGAGCCTAGGACTGACAGAAGAACTCACCAGTGGGTAGAAAATCCACCATAAAAAGCTTAATGCACATTTATTGCATCCTAGAGATGCTTCTCATTGTACGCTTGCAAAACAAGCATTGTGTCTGGTGAAGTTGGCTCCTTTCTCTCTTCTAGTTCCTCTTTCCAAGGATTCCATTTTTATCTTTGAAAAGGAACAATGTGTTTAGTGTTAATTCTCCAACTTGCATTTCACCCCACTGGTGTCAAGGATGCTTTGCTAGGATGTATTTTTCTCCCTTGTATCTCTTTCTAAGAGCCACCTCTATCTCCTTTGAGGAGCTGAAAATGGTCCAAGGCATTTTGCAACCCAAAGGAAAGGATAAGCTGGTGCCTTCACCATTCCAAACGCAGAAGCTGATTGCACCAACAGCTGGTCCTTGGTCCTTATTTCAATACAGTGGTACCTCGGGATACAGACGCTTCAGGTTACAGACTCCACCCAGAAATAGTACCTTGGATTAAGAACTTTGCTTCAAAATGAGAACAGAAATCGTGCGGTGGCAGCGGGAGGCCCCAAGAGCTAAAGTGGTACCTCAGGTTAAGAACAGTTTCAGGTTAAGAATGGACCTCCAGAATGAATTAAGTTTTTAACCCGAGGTACCACTGTGCTGGCAACAGGATAGTATCTAAAAGCAGAAATCTAGCTAGGTGGGCAGAGGAAACGGCATGTGGCCCAGAAAGTTCTATACCCTCATAGAAGAACGGAAGCTGTCCATCACTGTCCCCGCTCCCTTCATCTGCTGTGTATGAGGCGGTTGTCTCACCCTACCAAATGGTAGGGCCCAGCCTGCTTGAAAGCTGGTCTCAAGACAACCACCATTACCATTTCAAGAGTGGCACTTTTTTTCTATCAAGGGGACAGTTAACATGAACTATGAAATACTGTAAGAATTCAACCTGCCACTTACTGTACTTCCATCTGTCACGAGGTGAAACTATTCCATGGATGGGCCTTTTTCTGGGCCCTGAAGCATTCAAGGCTTACTTGGCTCTAGCATCGCACTTGACCTCACACAAACTTTAAAGATCAACTCAGCAACTGGAACTGTGGGGACTCTGTGGTCTTCCCAGCTAGCTGTAAAATTGTTTTTGTTTTGTTTCCCGCTATACATTTATGAGATCAGGCTACCAGTGTTTGCTTGCCTTGTAAAAGGCTGACTGGCAAAGAAAAAGAATTAACCAGAACTGGAATTCAAGCAATGTTCAGAACATGGAGGTTCTGTGCCATTTCAAAATTGAAACAAGGCTAATTCTCCCACACTTCTCCACTATTTTTATTAAGTGTCTTAGAAACAACTTGAAACAATTTATCCTTCATTAGTAGAAGCACACAGGAATTAAGCATTCCTTTCTTTAAAAGGCTACAGTCTTTCCTCTGCTAATTTAATTGTTCTGAGAATCATTGTGCAAGAATAACTTGCCTGGTAATTAATTGGGTTTATCTTTGAAAATCATTGGGGGAAATTCAGGTCTTTTGGAGTTTTCTCTCAGACACCTTGGAGAAACCAAGTCACAGTGAGGTTGCCTCCATCCTTTCTGCCAACCCCAGCCTGCTATCTTACCAGGCAAGCTTTCTCATGCAAGAGGGGAGGACTTCCTAGTGACAGATATGCCATATAGGTTTCACTTTTGAGACTAGGATGCATGCTCAAGAGCATCTTTTCCTCTTGGGATGCAATGGGCATTTCACTGTGCAGCAGCGGTGAAAAAAGTGAATCCCATATTAGGAATGATCAGCAAAGGAATTGAAAAGAAAACTGCCAGTATCATAATACAGTGGTACCTCGGGTTAAGTACTTAATTCGTTCCAGAGGTCCGTTCTTAGCCTGAAACTGTTCTTAACCTGAAGCACCACTTTAGCTAATGGGGCCTCCTGCTGCTGCCGCGCCACCGGAGCATGATTTCTGTTCTCATCCTGAAGCAAAGTTCTTAACCTGAAGCACTATTTCTGGGTTAGCGGAGTCTGTAACCTGAAGCATATGTAACCTGAAGCGTATGCAACCTGAGGTACCACTGTATTATTATACAAATCTATGGTGTGGTTACATTTGGAATACTGTGCACAGTTCTGGTTGCTTCACATCAAAAATAATACAGTTGACTCACAACTCATATGCATGTATCTTGTGCAAATTCAGCTTTTAAGTGCTTAACCAATCATTTATTTTAAGGGGGGCAGGAGAAGAGGGAAGTCAGAGGGGGTGGGAGAGCAGGGAAACACCTGCCCCCTTTGCAAAGTTAAGTTTGCTTGGAAATAGAGTGGACAATTAGTAGGAGGGTTGGATTACCCTTGTATTAATACAAGCCTGGGTTGAACTTCAAAGGAGGTCTGGGTTACACTTGTATTGGGGGTACATTTTCTGAAGTGAAGAAGCTTGATTTCTGAGCTATTCCAATTCACTCTGAGTATTTGCCTTTATAGAACTCTATGTGGGAACAAAACCAGAATTAGTTAGCTCTGCCTGTCACTGGCTTAGGCTCTGCCAGTCATTTGTTCTGGCTCCACCTGCAGTTGGTATCCTTGCATTCCATGCTAATGGTCCCAATGAGCAGCAACCTCCACTGAATGATGAGAAACTGAATGATGAGAAAAATGCCAATCCAAGCTACTATGGTCCTTAAGCAACTTTCAACATGGTGTATTTAAAAAAAAAAAACCAACAAGAACTTTGTACTGCCTTTTGTCCTTAGAACTGGACCTCAGGTCATAAATTGAAATGATGATTTTCAATCAGGATCAGACCTTAGCAAAAGAAAATTCCAGTGGTGGAAGTCAAATGTTTGAACACTGCAGCTAGAGCCATACCACCAGTGGCCCTGAATAAGTATAGGAAAGGAAGGAGACATGAAACAAATTATTAGTGCAACATGCAAATCAACTCAAGCTTTCCTCGGAAAACATTTCATTACAGTGACAACTGAGAAGCTACCATATTTAAGAAACAAGCCTTCCCAGGGGCCAGAAAAATAAGTTGCTGTCAGTTAATTGCCAGTTATTCAATAAATTGTTGATTCATGATAGACATAGTACTTTCCATTGAGTTTTATCTGCCCTTATTATCAAATAGATACACAAGGTTAGGCAATGCACAATATCTGTGGAAAAGGCAATTGTGCATCATACAGTATTTCTAGTAGTGTCCAGTATGGTGGAGGAGAAGAGCTGCAGTTGGTAGGAGTGCTGGAATGAGTTGTCTCCTTGCTGATGCTCTGCCCCATCTCAGCCCCATCCAGGGAAGTATAGCAACACTGGTGTCAGAAGTGCATCTCGGCAGCTCTGCCCACCACATTGGATACTACTGAATATTTCACAGGCAGGCATAGGCACTTGCTTCTAACACCGTTATATTCAAAGGAAGAAACAGGGTTTAAGCTGCACTCAGGATGGATGAACCTATCAATTATTTTTTCTTCGGCTTTCACTTTTCCAATCTTAAATCCAGTTTACCAAATTTCTGCAACAGTTTGTGATTTTTTTGTATTAAAATGTCATCACAAAAAATTGTCAGCATTTTAGTGCATATGGCTCCCAATATTTAATTTTATTAGACAAAATAGTCTAATATATACATTTTACAAGTGATTGCCCCTAATGTATTTTGTATGTTGCTTTCATTTATATATTTGTTTCTGTACATGCTATCCCTAATATGCACTTTTTTCTACATTTTCTTTTTGCTGGAGGACTGCATCATAAAATTTGAAGAAATGAGTTCTGAAGGATAGCTGTGTTTTGATTTGTGTTTCAGTTTGGAAAGTGTAAATTGGCTGAACCAAATTTCTTCCCCATTGGTAATCTCCCTCCCCTCCTTCACCAGTATTAACTATTATCTACTCCATCTACCTTTTGCTGTATTAATTTACTTTGAAACAGCATGACCTGAACTGTTCTAAAACCATGTAGTTTGTGCTTTTGGTTGTAGTTATAATGAAAAAAGTTAAATGTGTACTTAACGTAAATTTCAATTTTCTGTGTTTTAGGACATGCCAATGTTCAGCATTGGGAAACAGAAAGTCATTCATCTTCAGCAGTACTAGCAGGAAAAGCTCCCTTTCTTTTTCCAGGACCTGATATGTCTAGATACAGCAGCTGGATGGTTGCTTGTTTTTACTTGAGCTTAGCAGCATTTCCACACACTCTCAAAAAAAGGAAAGCCACCAGTGGAGCAGGATTGTCTCTTTGCTTCCCCCATTTTAGCCAGAAACTGAGTATGGGAATTCCTTGCCATTTCCTGAAGCTAGGGAACACCTCCCCGCTTTAGACAATGCACCAATCTCTCTCCCATCTTACAGGGACCAGAGCAGCCATATTGCACAAAAAAGATTCACTGATGAACTTCAAGGTGGCATTAAAAGTAACGATTTACAGCTGGTTCACTGTCAGCAGCAATCACATATAGAGTGTAGTGGCACACAAGCTAAATTTTCCTTCTTATTGTATTTTATATGTTCATACATTTATATCCCAACATCCCTATTAATTATCCAAGAAAGCATTAAAAACGTAAATCGATAAATCATCAAGTCATAAAACATTTCTTTATAAAAACCACCATACAGCAAAAAAATTGGAATACAATCAATGGGTGTAAAACTCAACTAAAGAAAAGGCAGCCAGGAAATTTATTATTTGGCATCTGGTGGAAAGTAGCATAGGCACAACACCTCTTTCCACAATTAGAGTGCCACAACCAAAAAAGGTCCTCTCTTTGGTCACCACCTGTCTAAATCTCTGATGGCAGGGGAATCTGGAGCAGGGTCTCTCATGAAGAGCACCAAAATGAGTGGGTTCACATTTTTATTTGAATCCCACACTGAGATCTTCAGGGTGGTCTGCGATTAAATATCAAAAATGTAACAACTGAAAAGGAACAAAATCAACAGCAACAGATGAATTATGGGTAGACCAAAACCTGTCAACAACCCTCCCTATAAGAAGCGATAAATTTTTTCAGACACCCTGGCTCTACTCATAGCTATTGTGAAGCTGTAGGAAATGTGGAGAGAAGACTCTCTGGGATGAGTCAACGGTTCGTGCAATCAATATGAGTTGGATCCAAGGTTTGCTTTCTCCAGAACAGCACAGGAAGTAGCAGTTGGCAGAGGAAAGAAGAAATTAGTAAAAATCACCTCTCCTATCCTTTCCACTGACAGAAGCATCCTGAGTGGAACTCTTCTCAGAGGATACTACCACCTGCGAAAACAAACTCTGGATCCAACCTGTGTAGTCTATATCCACAATTGCTATTCCACTTTAAAGGGAAAAGGGCCACAATCGTGCATTTGGCTGAATGTCAATTCACACCAGATTGCCCTTATGTGATCAGCAAGCATAAGAAAGGTTCATATTGTCCACAGAGGAAGTTCCAAAGCCAAAAATTCACCTTTAAGTGAACTAAAACTTCTCTTCTCAGCAGAATTCAAAGACATGTGGGCATTTTTAATGTAACACTGAATAAGCCTAGTATAGCAGACCAATAATATGACTGGAAACTGCTCTTTCAACAAAGATAGGCTTATGAAATGCCACAAATTATCTGAAGCACAGAACCAGATGTTTGACTTTGATCAGTGTACATAAAGGGTCAGAATCATTAGATTGTGTGATTCAGAATGAGTCACTATTACACAGTTCCTCAGAGCTTCAGCTACTTGTTTTACATTATCAGTAATATGCTTTTATAACTCTCTTGAGAAAAACCAGCTCTGTCTACCCTGTATCTGCATTGCTCTGCTGAGCTACTATAGACTATTGATTTGTCTCAAAACAGTGAAGCCTGCCACCTGACAAGTGTTCCCAGCTGTAAGAGCAACAGCTGACGGATACCAATCCTAGAGTGAACATCCGATGATAAGAACTTCATTACAAATCATTCTGACAGTTTCCTGGATGTAAAAAATGTAGCAACCAAATGTTCCTTTGGTTATTATGCAATGGTTCAAACACTGGTATGCAATAACTGTCTTGTTATTTTGTCAGGATGTGTTTATCTGCCCCACAGTCGCTGATATCAATAGAAACTTTAGGAACCAAGTTTACTACCCTTGCTTTCCAGAACAATCAGCATGATTGGTACTGCCGAAATACCAGCCACCCAGAGCGGCTGGGGCAACCCAGTCAGATGGGCGGGGTATAATAATGCCATCTAGCTCCCCACTGTTGTCACTGGGATCTTCAGTTTTGCTACACATTTGGGCTCTTGAACCTTCCCCAAACTAGCCACACAACTTTCAGCATTTAACCACTATTTCATCCTCTGACAACCCTTCTGAAGAATTTGTGCACACACCTACCCATTTGCCCCACAACTAGAAGGCAAATAATATAGAATTAAGCATAATTTCAAAATGGTTTGCACCAATGGAATTATAACATCTAGATAAAAATCTATCCTGTTGGATTACTGCAGCATCCCTAGTGTGTATATAACACATACACTCATAGTAAACTGCTCTGGGTAAATGGGGCCTGAAGTGGGGTCAAAGTAACTTGCAAAGAATGCAGAAACCATGGATTCAATTCTACCAAAAAGAAATACTTTTCAAAGTTACGTTTATTTCAGTGGGATAGTTAAGCACAGTCATAGTATTGCCCCAGTGAATTAAAGATGGATTGAACAAGATGACTTTTGGATGGGTTGGACTTCTTACTGGTACTGACTTTCTTATTAGAATTGGGTTTTCTTTTGGGAAATAGTTCTAAGAATGACATTTATTTCATTGAATCTACTCTGAGTATGACTTAGTCAGACCCAACTCAGTGTGCACAGCTTTTTAAAGATTATCCTCAAAATGCTCTTCAAAATTAGATTAAAGAATTCATGTAAAAGTTGAATATACCACAGTGACATATTTAGCAACCTATTGCGAAATAGTGCAAACCACATTTTCCGTACTGGTTCTTAAGGAGCCAAAAATCCAGTGTGATTTGTCTTCCAGAGTCTTTATACATGACAAGGAGAAAAGGACCGCATAACATTTAGTCTTGAAAGATGTTTGGTATCATATCTGAACTATAGTTAACCTTTGCTTGTATGTCTCAGTAATGCTCAGAACCTCATATTTCCCCTCACGTTGAATCAACAGGCAAGGACACAAATGACTAGAATATCACTTTATTATTGGGCATAAGGGTTTAGCCAATAATGGTACAAAGGTTTATTTGCTAAATGTCTGGTTGTGGAGATAACTATTGAAATCCCAACAAACTACAACAAAAAGTGTATATATGCTGCTGGACACCAGCTTTCTTAAATCTTACTTGATATTTCCAGACAAATTGCACTAGGATGGCTAGAGCTATTAATAATGGGAAACAACCCAACATAATATTATACATCTACCTATTCTGTAGCACTTCCAAAGTTGCAGTCCAAGGTAACCTGAATGTGATAATGCTCTGCAAGGAAAGTGGCAGAAAGGACTCTGTACCCTTATACAAAATGTTTTTCCAGCAGAGTAGACCTTGGAGCAAATCCCAGGGCAGACATAATCTGGAAGCCTATATTTGAAACAGAAAAAGTGCTGTAACTTGCCCAGTAACCAAATATCTCCTTTCTGTCAGGGAGCCTTATTCTTAAAGTAGCAGAGCCAAGGAAGTCAAAGCTGACAATCCGGTAGGAACAATTGCAGTTTGCCATCCAGGGTGGCTGTGGTGAGCTGTAATTCAAAACAGAAAACACATGATTGGCATAGAATGCTTTGTGTTGAATAATGGTTGACCAAAGGCCTAGCTACCTTATTAAATCTCATTATAAAAATTTAAAAGGCGTCTGGAATTTACTTTTCATGTATTATGTCCATGTTTGCTTGGGAAGTCTACTTTTATTTAGAATTCATTTTAGTTGGTTCCTGTGGTGTAAATGCCAATTATTACTACCAAGATAAAGAACTGCGATGAATTAGAAATCCTGTAATGCCCTTCTGCTTGCAGAACAGCTTTTGATCCAACAAAGTGAACACTACTGTAAGAGAACAGAAGGTTATTTTCTCCTATTTCTGCTTCCCCTGCAGCCCTCCACTCCATCTCCCCATGGTATTTAGGTGGTTTCTGACATATAAATGAACCAAATGTTATGCTATATGTGGAGATTGGTTGGGGGTTGTTGATGCTGCTGCTGTTGCACAGATGTTGAGTTCTCAGTTGTTTCTGATTTTATCTGTTCACAGTCAATGGGTGCGTATTTTGCAATGAGTTTTTCTTATTAACGCTTTTCATAAAACAATAAAATAGCTGCAGCAAAAAGTCACCGGGTGCATATTAACAGCATGGGGCTTGTGGACCACAACTGAAAACGCCTGCTTCTATTGCAGCATCTGAGACCCGACAAAGAAAGCATGAGTCCTATTTGTGGCTGTTAGACAGTGGTGAACCTTTTACAAAGTCTCATGGTATGAATGATGCATCTTAAATTACAGAATGTGCAATATCACTTATAATACTTTCATTTTAAACTCCATCTTTGCACAGGGCACATAATGACAAAGTTTTGAAATTTACTTCAGGAAAAAGTGCATTGTTTCTCATATTTCTGGGTGTGTGTGTTGTTGTTGGTTTTTTTTAAAAAACTTATGAAGGCTTGTATCTCACCCATCAGTTATAGTAACGGCCATTATAGCTCCATGATATTCATTATGGTATAGTGCCCTCTGCTGAAAATCCAAACATAAAGGAAATGCATACAAACAGAGTTGCAAAAAGGGAGTGGCAGAGTGGTGCATAAAGGTTTTTATTTAACTCACTTTCCTTTATCTCTCCTTTCTACCCTACAACTATTGAAGAATACTATTGTTTTGTTCAGCTACTCTCTGCCCAAACAAGTAGCCTGAGAGATGAATGGGCTTTTAATATATATCTGTATTATTGCTTCTTGCATCACAATGCTCACCCCTGCTAGTGTTGATAACACAACTTCCAACTCACCAGTCCAGAAATTCTCATGCTAGCTTCATGTCAACTTCTTTGACAACTGCATTTTACTACTGCTGTTTACATCACATGAAGCAGCAGCACACTGCAGAATTGCTCTTTGGGTGGAAGTGACTTCCTCCTGCAGAACTACTTAGGCCCTGCTCCATCTTAAGATGTTACAGTGGATCTGTGGGAAGGGAGGTTACACTCAACTTTCTATCCACTGAATGGGAATATTAACGATGCTCATATTTGTTTTGGAGCAGGGATGCTTCGTTTCAATGTGCACCTGCACAGATCCAGATGTAAACAATACTGTTCTCTGCATTCCTTGAAGGGCTGAGGGCTGAACAGCAGCTTGCCCTACTGGAGATGGTAGAGGAAAGAGGGAACAAGGCATAAACAAGCAGAGGGAGGAGCAAGATGGTTGCCATCTGATTTTATTCTAATCCAAATTTGATTTTAATATGTATTTTAATTGATTGTTTGATTTATGTTTTTAATGTATCATACTTTGATGTTAGCCGCCCTGAGCTCGGGCGTGGCCAGGGAGGGCGGGGTATAAATAAATTATTATTATTATTATTATTATTATTATTATTATTATTATTATTTACAGTGGGGAGTGGAGGATTAGCAATGGTAGGTGATATGTGGAACATTGCTTGTGAAGGAGACGACTGAAAATATCTGATAGCTGGCTGCATCATCCCCACAACTATCTAATAACCATTTCAGCTCCATTATGGAATGGTGTTCTGTGAGTAATTGCTCTGTTAAGAGTTTTGGTTAATGCTTCATTTCCTTTTGATGTTTCTCAAGGTTCCTGTTTTCTTTATGCTATATATTATTTCCTTTGGTTCATTTATTTCTTTTTGTTTAAAGAATCACTTTCATGCATTGCAGATTATATTCAGTTGCATTAAGGCAAATCCAATAAAATATGGTGGTAGTAAAAAGTAATTTTTGAACTAATTTGGGCTATGGAAATTGTGTGTGTTTAAAGTTATAAGGTGGCTGAGGGTGTGCGAGTGTTCTTGCTGCAAATTGTCCAGTATTCTAGGAAGTCAGAGACCCCGGAAGGTATTGCCTGTACAGTGGTACCTCGGGTTAAGAACTTAATTCGTTCCAGAGGTCCGTTCTTAACCTGAAACCGTTTTTAACCTGAAGCACCACTTTAGCTAATGGGGCCTCCTGCTGCTGCCGGGCCGCCGGAGCATGATTTCTGTTCTCATCCTGAAGCAAAGTTCTTAACCCGAGGTACTATTTCTGGGTTAGCGGAGTCTGTAACCTGAAGCGTATGTAACCTGAAGTGTATGTAACCCGAGGTACCACTGTGTAGTGCATGAGAGATGGTTAATTTTCTTGAAAGGAAAAAGTATCTCCTTTTAACTTTTTTTTTTAAAAAAAAATTCAACTCTCAGACACTCTACAGGAAACCTGATCCAAAGATTCTGCATTATGCCTAGAGAATGTAGAAAACTCTGTTCAGATATGGATGCTACCTGATGTCTGTTGGAGATTATGAATATTGCCTGGAGAATGCATAAAATGCAGTCAAGATATTGTGGGCCAGATTCAACTAAATAGTTGTGCTAGAAGGAGAAACACAACAAGTTCCATCAACACAACAGGGCTTTCCTTTCTCTCCCCTTGCATCCCCAAATTGACTTGGGGGTGGTGGTGAGAGAACCCACAAAACAGCATGGGGGGGATTGCTATATCTGGCAAGCAGAAATGCTTGTGCTGACAGAATGATCACCTTAGTGCAGAGGTTTTCAACCTTTTAAAGTCCACAGCTCCCTGTGGGGCTCAGGAGCCCAGCTATATCACTCTTTGCCTGCAGAGTTGACAGGCTCTCACCCTTTTTCGAACACCCTCCCTTGTGGAGTGTTCCCTCAGTCTCCTCTCCTCTCCCATCTCCTTGGGAGTCCTCTGGGCACCCCTGGTCTCTGAGCTGCCCCCCCCCCCGCCTCAAAGAGAGATGCCTCCTCACACTGCCCCACAGAGGCCTGGGAGGTCTGTCCATTCCCAGCAGCAAGGGTTGGCGGACTGGCTGGCTGGATTCCCATGCCTGCTTACTTGCTTACTCTGAAGCCGCCTAAGCTCTTGGCAATCAACACCCCCTGGCCAGCCCCAGAGGCACCATTTGCCTGGGGGCTTGTAGCTGGGGCTGCTGCAACAAACAGCTAAGGAGGCAGAGACACAAGAGGGCATCAGAGCAGGGAGGGAAGGAAAGAGGGACAGAGGCCAGTATTGCCTGCAACACCCCTGACTATCATTTAAAGAGCCCCAGGGTGAAAACCACTGCCTTAGTGCGACACTGAATGCCACCCTAGTATTCTCCAGAATCGGTGGAGATTATACATATTGCCTGGGGAGTGTACAACTCCCCCAGGCCTGTTGGAAAGCATTGGCTGGGAAATGTGCATAATTCCCTCTTTGCAGACAGATTATGTATACGTTCGCCATGATGCATGGCGAATGCACCCAATGGCTGGTTGTTATGCTCATTTGTTATTCAGCTCACTTTACCCTGACATATACATGCACAAGCATATCTGCAAATTGAGAGTATGTATCTGACAAAGGTGTCCCCAGCTATAATAAATCTGTTAGGTTTTAAAGGTGCCTTGGGACTTCTTGGCAACTTTTGCTACAGTAGTTTAATACAGCTCCCCATTCAGAATAAGCAGTGACTCAAGTCTCAAGATAAATTTACTTAAGAAAGTTAATGTTTCTCACCTGCTTTTTACCCCTGCAGACATCTGTGCCTCCCATAAAAAGCTTCCAACATAAAAAGGTTTGGGAGGGAAAATGTGGGATGGAGACTCCTGTGGTAAGGGGCTAACTGGACATCCCTCACTGTTCAGGAGGGCCTCCAATTCTCTAGAGAGATTTGCAGGGGGGCACAGATGACTGCAAGCAGGGGGCAGGAAACTCTCCATGAACTTTCTTAAGATAACTTATATTAGCACCTAACACTGCAAGTCTAACCATGCCTACCCTTAAGTAAGTCCTAATGAATTTGATGGGCTTGGTTCCTGATAAGTGGGCTGATTGCAGCCTAAGCCATTTCCTATCACAATATTGTTCTCATCGCCATAACCAATCGCCATCTCCCAGCTAGTATAAATTAGGCTCCAGAGGACATTGTGGTTAATGCAGTCATCATAATTTGCTTGCTATGCTATCTTCTGTTACGATCAGTAAGCTTCTTGTGTGGTATATGCATTCATATAAGTGTAGCCTAACAGACATCTTGAGGTATGTAAATTACTTCAGGTATTTTGCCCACTCTATTTTTTTCTCACCACAGAAATTTGCCTTCCTCTGTACTACGCAATAATTGTGATTCTCCCGTTCTGACTTGTGGTGCAAAGAGTTTAAAAATATGTAATGGAAACAATGAAAATGTATAATGGTTTGCCACTCACATTTGTAATAGCCATTTGTGAGTCTATAACATGTATTCAAAATTCACATGGCTGAAAGAGTGTGGACTCAAATTAAGTTGTTTTTTTTAAACAAGATGAGCTTAAAAGAACTCTAATATGTCTTCTCCTCTTTTGGTAAGAGAGCACTGCTGTCTCACGCTGTTAATATGACATCATTCTCAACCTGATATTATCTCCCAAGTAATGAGAAAAACTGGGGGAAAATATTTCTAAGAAGGGGAGGCTACAGAGATGATATATAATTTCAAACTTTCACAAATACTGTCCCTTGATAGCCTTTGCCTGGATACCAGATGAAACCTAGATAAATGGTGAGCTCCTTGAGATCCAACTTTTGTGTCATTCTAAAATTGTTATGACTTAATTGCTTAAACAGTAAGGACTTTTGTGATTATATGTAATTCCAGAAGTATGGTTATATTACTTAGGGCTACTACACAAATCACATTCTGAGGCAGTTTTCATTTAGAAAGAATGTGGCAAATCAGGATCAGACCTTAGCAAAACTTTGAGACAGTTCCATCAGACAGAGGTATTCTTGCTGAATAGAAGCATTTTTATGATCAGACATCAGGCTACTTCTCTGGACACTTTTTGCAAATCCTAGTGATACTTAGCGGTTGCCTTTTAGCAGCATCTATTAAAGCTGAAACTTTCTTCAATGTATGATGACAGACATTTGGATTTTGAAACTGCCACTTGGTGAAAATATAGATTGAAAAGTGCATATTGAGATAGAGTAAGATTGGTACAGCAAACCACAATAATCTGCACTAATGTGAAGAAAATAAGTTTCTATGCTTTTGCTCAAGACTTACATAAGCTCGAGAAAATGCTGTCATTCTAGGAAAGCATAATTCTGCTGAAAAGCAGGGTGAAATGGTGGTTAGACCAAAATACCGGGCCTCTTGCTCCTGAAGCTTGATCTGACCTGGATTTTCAAATGAACTTGCTAATTTATGCCCTTATATGCATATCTGTAAAATGGGGATAGAATCTTGAGAGTATGGAGAAATAGGCACCAAATGGATGTACTCTATGTGTGCACACTGTTGGAAATAAATGTGCTGGGCCAGCATAAAGACTGAAATTATAACTGCTTGCTTCTCAAAAAAGCCAGCTCATCTATTTTTGTTATGATAATATCGAAGAAAAATATTAAAGATGGCATTTCCATCTAAGAATGAGTGATAGCCATTGTTAGTATATGGTAAACTATATTTCTTTCAGCATGAAAAATACAGCAGATATTGTAATTTGAGTAAAACACAAAAATATTTTGAGTGATTACTCATTTCAAAGTAAGAATTATTAATCAACTAAAATCCTTTGAGCCATTTGACAACAAGCTAAGATTCACATATGACTAAAATATTACAGAGCACTTGACAGCTTGAGGATGGATAATGTTAGAACAGCACCCCTAAATTGTCAAGCAAAATGTGCTCCTGTAAACCACTAAGAATGACTTTATATATTAGCCAAGGAAGACACAGAGCCTGTTATAAGCAGCACAAGCATTTTTGCTGCCTTACAAAAATAAATGAACACTGTCAATGAAAGCAGTGTCATCTCTAGCAGTCAAGCAACAAAAACGGAATTTTGCTATGCTTCCAAAGTAATCAAAGTGATTCAGTCCCATGCTAAGCAAACAACTAAAAAAATGCATAATCTCCTTAATATAGCTTGCTGTATGTTTTCAGATTTTAAGGTCTCAAATAACTTACACCCAGCAGCAGATGGGGACAAATATATATGGTTTTATATGGCTAAACTTTGTCACTTATATAAAAATAGGTGGATATCCTAAATACATAGTTGCTTAACAGGCATTCAAGGAGCCATAGGACACAGTGGATCTTCCCCTCTGTTCATAGAGGGGGAGGTCCACCACTGGAGGCCTCCTTGATGTGACCACAGAAACATCTACAGCCATCCCTCTTCTAATGTCAGATGTATAAGGGAGGAAGGGGCATGCCAGGGGATTGAGGAAGACTTTAGATCTTCAAAATCCAAAGCTCCCTTGTGCCATTGGCACACCTGCAAAACAGCAAAAATCTATCTACCAGTCATGGATATGGAGTAGTGAATTTCCCTCCCATAGGACTCAATGGCAGGAAAATTTGGAAATCAAAAGAGAGATTACTGTAAATAGCCAGGTAAGATCTGCCCCCACCCATGATTTTGCTTTAGCCCATGTAAACCTGGCAGAGTTTGGATATGGTGATTCCTCTGCCTTGGACTCTCCCCTTCCCTTACAGTAGGATTGATCTATCCTGAAATTTGCCTTCCCATAAAAATATTTCTGTGGTGATTACCTAGTATGGTAAAGTAAGGTAAAGGGCTCCTAGATGGTTAAGTCCAGTCAAATGTGACTACGGAGTGTGGCGCTCAACTTCGCTTTCAGGCCGAGGGAGCCGGTGTTTGTCCACAGACAGCTTTCTGGGTCATGTGGCTAGCAGGACTAAACTGCTTCTGGCTCAGCGGGACAACCTGATGGAAGCCAGAGCACAAGGAAACACCATTTGCCTTTCTGTCTCAGTGGTAACTATTTATCTACTTGCGTCGGTATGCTTTTATGATTACCTAATGCTGAGGTGTGAAGGGATGGGGGGGAGGGAGAGAGAGAAATTCAAGGAAAGTGTTTTTGCCCCTGAAAACAACCGAACTAGTGGAGGTGGAAAGAGAAGCATGTTAGTAACTGCTTTTCCCATCCCAAACCAACCTAGATGGCTTTAAAAGAGAATTAGAGAAATTCACGGAGGAGGAGAGGGCTATAGGTGGCTACTGGCCAGGAGGGCTGCGCTCCACTGTCAGAGACAGGAGGCAGGCTCTGAATGCCAGTTGCTAGGAATCACAGATCAGGAGAATGCTGTTGTACCCAAGAAGATTAATCTGGACAATATGAGAAGCTGATGGTAGGTGGTACAATTTCTCTAGGGCATGGTGGTTCCACTCTTCTGGATGGAGTCACTAAGTTGTCTTAAAATAATTTATTTTTGTTTCACTGGATCTGCTACACTCACCTGGGGTTCTTACTGGAAAAAATGGCTTAGAGATTAAGTGAATGAACAAATAACTATGCTACATATGTTTCTGCAGTTTATATTTCTAATGTGTGAGTTCACATAGATGTTACTGCTGCTGGACATATATTCTTAGATGTTTCTGTCTGCCTCATTGTGCCCACATCATAAAAAATCATGTTATTACTGAGCCATCCACCTTCCTTAAAGGAAAATATTTTGCAAATCATGGCAGAGTCAGCAGCCAAACTATCATCATATACAGCCCACAAAAATATTGAATTTATGAGGAAAGGGTACTGTTCCAGGAAGAAAAAACAAACTATGTTTAGCAGTGCTGAGCTATAATTATTCCAAACTGCCTTTTGTATAATAGATGCCTTGGAACTGTATATACGACTCTTAGCATCTATCAACTGCAGTTGTGTGAAAAAGTCTCAATTAGTACAGCTTCAGGTTGTGAAGAAGACTTAAAACTTTTCAGCCAGCCAATGAAATCCTCGATCCTTCTCTTTCCTAAGTGACAAACTTGCTGGGAGACACAGAATGAACCTATTAGAACAGTCAACATCTCTGTGTGTGGCCCCAGTTCTGTTAATGAGGAGACCATTTCCCGTAGGGTTTCAGGATTAATTTGGCAACTGAAACGCCTTTGGTCCTACTAATGAACCATCTTAGCCAACAGGTAATTTGGAGAAAATGTCATAACATAAAGGTTTTGCAACCCCAAGAAGCTTATCTTTTAGGAAACTACACAGCTGATGCCTAGATATAGGTGCAAAGGGCACTCTTGGCTGTGACTGTCAAGGACTGGTATCCAAAACCCAGGGTCCAGATATTCAGGGTCTGTCACCAGCCCTGCAAGGGACACTGCCAGCACTCTTTCTGCCCAACCATCTTGGGTCAGGAGGCTCCTAGACCTTTACTGGACACCCTCTGATTCTAAAGGAGCAAGAGAGAGAAAACACAGCTCTCTGCTCCCTGAGCATCAGAGTCACCAAATTACTCAACAGCAGGTGACTAATACTGGATTTAGTATCAAGGTTTCAGTCAGACATTAATTTTAAATGAGGTGGACTTATTAGAAAAGAAGGCAGCATAAAATGAAACCAAAATATCCAACAGAAGTACAGCTAGAAAGTCTGATTAACTAAGTAGCTGGGAATTATAAACTGGAACAGGGCTTTCCAAACTTGGGTCTCCAGCCATTTTTGGACAGCAGTTCCCATCATCCCTGACCACTGGTTCTGCTAGCTAGGGATGATGGGGGTTGTAGTCCAAAAACAGTGTAAGTCCCAAGTTTGGGAAACCCTGAACTAGACTAAAAGAATAAAGCTAACATTCTAATTCTAGACATATGATATATGTATAAGTCTACCAATTATAATCCATTGCACTTTAATTACAAAAGGATGCATGCTAAACAAGCCTATTGAAGTTTATGTAAGTCCTGGTAAGTCAGTGAGGAAAAGCCAAGCACGTCTGCCAGACCAGCAGTTTTCTTCACTGAAGAGAGTATCATATTCTGCAGTATAAACAAAAAGTTTTGATGTTGAGTCATTATTCACAAACGTTAGGCCAAATATTCATATATAAAACGAGCCTAGATCTAAGAGTTTCTGAAAGTTCACAATTAAATAGGAGAAAAACCAAGAAAGGCTGCAATCCTATATACACTTACTCAGAAGTATGTCCCATTTAACACAGTAGGATTTACTTCTAAGTAGAAGTAATTGCATACAATTGTGCTGCAAATTGCCTGAATTGCTGCAGTACACTGGCATGAGTGAATGACCCTTCAGCAACACAATGTGACCAACATAATTGTTCACTGACAGATAAATACAAATAAAATGACTCCAAGGCAAGAATCTGTGCATAAGACATATAACTAGACATAACTAGACATTCATAAATTGCAAGTCAGCAATTTGTAAGTCAGGAAGTTGTAATATCTACTTGAATTCATACTTGCCTGTGGCAACACCCTAACGATTTGTTTTCTTTTCAACACAACATTTCCTTGTCTCAAATGCAACAATAACAAAGTTGCCAACTGAAGCCAGTACTTTAGTGGCTGTTTCTGATTCTGTGCTTTCTTTCAGGATACTTACATTTCCCATTGGGGCATAATCTACTGCAGGCATAGGCAAACTCGGCCCTCCAGATGTTTTGGGACTATAACCTCTACCATCCCTAGCTAACAGGACCAGTGGTCAGGGATGATGGGAGTTGTAGTCCCAAAACATCTGGAGGGCTGAGTTTGCCTATGCCTGATCTACTGTGTTTTGATAATGGCATACTCTAAATCACTCCATGTTGACAACACATTCTGCTGATTGTATGCCTTTCATGGGATTTACATTTCAAACACCTCACTGAGGTCTTTTTATGTTCCTCTGTTTTCCTCAGTGACGAGCAAACATGCTTGAAGTTTTTCCAAGTTTAAGGGGGAGGATCAAATCCATTGTGCATCACTGCCTGTCCTCTCAAAACTCTGTCCCATACAATTCTTTTGGTAACTCCATCATGTGGTCCTCTGCCATGGGAAGATTTACTTAAGTTCCAGGATTTGTAAATGATGAAGTCACTGTGGAATACCTGTTCTTAAAGTGGTATCAGTCCATAGAATAATGGGTCTAATTTCAATGCCATGTTTTGCATTGGAAGAATTTCAGTGAAAGAGAAATGCTCAGTTGCATCAAGGACAGCATACATCTGTACCTGCACTTCTTCATCAGTGACTTGCCTATAATAAATCACAGCAGTGTAAATTATTACAGAAGTTCCTTGTTCTGCAGTCCAATGAGCCTGCATCGCTTCGTTCTGATACTTTATGTAATAATTCTCTGCAAAGTCAGTTTGCAGAATCAGTTCACTTTGCCACAATTTTTTCCTTTTGGCTCTGAAGCTCTTTTGCTTGTCTACATATATTGTATGCATGCTTCAATATTTTTCTCGTTTGACTAAACAGCATTTGTTCTATGTCACTCCAGGTAACAGACTGCAGCTCCAATTGATCTTCATTCCACTGATTTACCAGAATCTTCTATTCAATATTGCGTAGTTTATCCAAGTTGCAACTTTGGAATCTCTGCATCCTATAGTCTGTTGAGTTTTTATCACACACAATCAATTCAATCGGTTCTTTAATTTTCTTTTTTCTGTCTTCAAATTTGCGTGCTGCCAAAAGAAGACTTAAGTTCTCACAATAAACAGTAGAAAACTTGATGATCCTTACTAGAGATTAACTCAACCACCTCTGGATGTAGTTCACAAACTTTTCAAATCCCAAAGGGGTTTTGGGATGCTCATTACTATATATGTCATGTTCTTCTTTTAACCTGTATACCGGGAGTTGTTTATGTACTTTCTCCTTTCCCCCGTTTTTCTGTTTTTCATAGTTTTGGTTTCTTTCTTTTTCCTGACAGCTGGCAAGATAAATTATCCCTTCTACAGAAACATTGTACAGTGTCAGTAGTTTCCACAGCCCCCATCTTTCTGCTAGAAGCTCCAATATCACTCTTCTTTTCAGAAGCATTTTCTCTTCTAATTAGTTCTCTTACTACAAGTTGTTTTTTGTGGCCTGGGGGGATGAGCTAAACACGTTTTATGACTTTACAAAAGGTTTGGTGTGAAGCAAATGACACTTCACTAAGGTTTGTTTGTTTGTAAAAAAAAATAAGTTGCACATTTTGGTGCTATGTTTGTCAAAAGAACTGTTACATGTAAAAAAAAATGTTAGCCAACATCTCAACAGTTTTTTTTAATGATAACAAATTCGAAAAAGAAAAAGTTAAAATGTTCAGATTTTTATTTTCGTTTGGGCAGGGAGCATGTGTTTTTTGTGACCTACGTAACATGCTGAACCAAAGTAGGTTTTGTTGTCTTAAGTATGTCTGATTTTGTTCCTAACATTAAAAAAAATTCTCTCTGTGCCAAAGGAAAAAGCAAAACTGTCAACTCAATAAAAGATCATTAATCTATTGTCTATTTTCTTGAAGAGGTCTTAAACTAAACACGGGGGGGGGGGGGCCTAAATAACTTTTGAAACACATGTATGTCTGGTGTTTCTTGTTATTTTATTCATGTGTAAAATGCCGTTTTGAACAATGGTTGCCATATCATGAAACTCTGGGAAATTATATATGAATATGAAAAATGAGTCTATAGGTTGCCATTTTCATGGAATTATGCAGTAGTGAAAATGATCCCAACAGAAAATGAAGGTTTTCAGCACAGAATGTCATATCAAAGCCAGCAACTTGTCTTATATGTCCAGGACTTGAGGATCACTCAAATGCTAGATAAACCTCAATTCTGCAAGTTTATGCTTTTCTTTCTCTTTCTCCCTTTCTCTTTCTTTCTTTTGTTTGAAGGGAAGGTGGAAGGAATGGCACGCAAGGCTATATCTACAGCACTTTTTGAGGATTGGCCCAAGATTGGTTGCAATTTTTAAAGGCTTTTTTCACACTACATCTCTACTTCAAGTATCATAACAGTGTTCACTGGGCCACACTGTAGCACAATGAACATTCACAACAAAAATTCAGTATGTTGTCTCAAACAAAAAATGCAAAATTGCAAAGAAGTCGGGTTTTTTTTGTACAGGCAGGAACAGGTACAAAATCAATATACTGATTTTGCAAAAGGAAAATATAACTGTCATATACTTCCCACAAGTATATTCCTGGGTCAATAGCCACTAAGATAGGTGACATCTAAAATTTCAAACTCAGCCCACTTCCAAATAATATCTAATCAAGGCCAGTGGTATTATAATGAATAAACACTTTCTTCAGGATCCTTCTGGTGGGTCCTTGGTTCCCCAGGGAGTCAGAAGTTACAGCTTTCATTCAAATTCTCCTCCAGATCTTCTTTAACATGGGTTTCTGGTTCCCAGACTGTACTTCCCCTGCTCAGCAGGTCACCTGCTGCTTCTGACTTTCTTTACTGATCTCTCCCTTCCTTTGTAGCACCTTAAGCCCCTCAGCTCTCAACAAAACTGTCTCTCCATCCCCTGTAATGAGCTAAGCCACTCTGCTCACCCACAACTGATGGCCATTTCTTATACTGCCACACCGCACATGGGATTGCGTTCCCTGAGCTGCTACCACTCCAGTGCTCTACATCTGGCCCAGCCATGTTTACATCTGGTCAGCCTGGAAGTGCAACACAGTGCAGCCCAGAGACTGCCACCAACACACCACCACTCACATTCTTTAAACATGAAGCTAAGTTTATTTTACTGAATTTAATATCATAATGAGTAGTAGAAAATGATTTAAATGAGTACGAATAGCTGGTGAGTCATTTGAAACACAGGCTTGAAAACTGCAGTTCTCACCATACCTACTTTCATATTTCAGCCACACCGAATTTGACCGCCAGCCACAGTGAGGGAACAGGAAGTAACTAATGAACTGCTTTAAAAGAAAGTGACCAGGAAGGAGATACTAATAAAAAGAATAATAGTCCTAAAATCTGGGCAAGTGCTGTGCCAGTCCCTACTGGGTGGTGTGATGCTGAAATTGCATTTTAAGACATAAAAGTAGCCTGGCAAAAAGCCTGGACAGTAATCTCACAATGGAGTTTTTTCATAAAGACATGCAATCTAAAAACTCAATTCCAATTAATACTACAGTTCTATACATGTCTACTCAGAAGCCCAATGAGCTTAATAAGACTTATTCCCAAATAAGTGTGCATAGAGTTACAGCCTCAGACTTCCATCCATTAGATCAGCAGGTTTGAAACTTTCCGATTTCCACTAACCTTTTCCTTATCCAAATGGCCATGTAATCTTTATATCTGTCTTCCAGACAGCTGGCTAGCCTTTTTATACAGTTTTTTCTATAAAATTTGATTCAGCTCTTCAGTGAAGGAATATTCCATTGACTACCTGTCATTTTGTATGAGTACCAAAAGGTGAGAACATAATCTTGCAAGGATGGCTGGGAAAATGCTTAGCAGAAATGTTTATGACTATAAGAACACATGTTTTTATTGAACATTTTATGATCTGTTGACATTGTTTTCAAAAAGATTTTTGGTGCCTGGAATAGTACCAAATATTCTAACAAATTCATCATAGTTTCAATTAAGTTTCTTTTATTTTTATATAACCACAAAAATGTATTTATTCAAAAGATTTTGTAACAGTGTTTACAAACAGAGTCAAGCTATTAATTTCATAGAAGGGGGGGTGGAATTAGGCTTACACATTTATTTATTTCTTCTTCTTAAATGAAAGATAAGAGTCCAGGTACCCTGCTGGTGTTGCAAATGCCACCCCCTCAAATTTATCGCCCTGGGCAATTGTCCCATTTGCCCTCCCATAAATACATCTCTGGTGGTGCACAAAACTTAAATCTGCATTGCTTATGAGGCTTACTTCATAGTTTTAGAAATCTCGCTACCTGATCTACTTCACAGTGTTATGTCACAGAAAAAAATGTTGTTTTCCCTTTGGAGGGATATAAATAACATTTGTAGACATGGAACTAGGACAGTTGATATGATGTAACATAACCAAAGGCTTCTATCCCTTTAAGAATCACCAAGAAGGGCAAAATTCAGCAGGTGTCATTATTTTGTTCCCTGAAACACTTTAACGTAAGGTTCTTTCAAAGAATTTCTGCCATCTTTCAAACTCCTGGCAGAATCTTTGCATATATTGAAATACCTGATTTGAGGTCCCCATAAGGACCACTAGATGAGATATGGGATATCAGTGATCCATATCACTCCTGGGTCTGCTAATTTAATTGGGGGAAGTAGCACCAGATATGGGGTGTGTTTAGTCTTTTCCTCCTGTGCTATTTCCTATTTCCTAATCTAAACCACACACACAACTACCTACCTGCTACTAGCTCTGTGTGGCTAAAAGAACAGATACATCAACCGTGGGAACACTCAGAGATGCTAGATGAAGAAATGCAACCTAAAAAGGTTGTAATGAATTTCTGCTGAAAGAATGTATTTATTAATTGTGGCTTAAAGTGGCATTCTGTCTGCATGAGCTGATCTTGGATACAAGGAACATGATGTACCCTAAATTTATCTCAAAATGTTTATGAATATGTAGAATTTTGTCCATTGTCACCAATATCATCATAGTTGGTTTTAAAAGACTTCAATTTAAAATCTGTAAATCTGTACGCCTTTCTGGGAATAAATTTGATTGCATATAGAGGAACATATTTCCAAATACACATACATGGGATTACATTGAGCTTTCCCCCTCTTATTTGCTATTATGTTATAACTGGCATATAAAGTTAGAACATCTGGCAGAAAAGAAAACACAACATTTCAACACTGTTAAGAGCTGATTCTCTCCAATAAAAGTACAATCCGGCTTGAGAGAAAAACAGCCAACCCAATTGTTTTTGGAAAGATGCAGCAGGGTTTGGCATCAATGCTTTTATGTTGAACGGTTTCATTTTTATAAGATTTGCGAGGAAAACTGCTTACTGATGTTTATTTTCAAGGTAGAATATTGCATGCAAAAATTGTATGTGTGCTACCTCACAAGCTGCACATAAATAATATAGTCTAGAGATGAGAATTTGTTTCAAGACCCCTCTATTTTCCTATCTACTACATTGTAACTTTGCCCAGTTGTTAGTAAGTTTACATTATATGACGTCTAGAGATGCTAGTAAAGTTCTTCCAAGTCAAGCTCAGGTATGAACTTTGGGATTCACAGAAGCCTGCTTCAGACAAGAAGAATTTTTTAAAAAAACCCTTGAATTCTTCTCCAGCTCAGATGAAATTCCAAGCTGGAGATTCATGTCTAGTTCTCCCCCACATCATCCTTCACCAGCAACAAAAGCCTTCCCTGTGAGCCCTTCAAACATCTGCCCTACTTCTCTTTGCTTCCTGTCAAGTGGTGATTGTGGGAGGGTAGATAAGGGAGGGTTGCCCCTCCGCTCTCTGTTTGTGATGCTCTGGTTAGCTCTTTGCCACAGAACAAATACCAAGGGAACATGGGAGCAGTAGTTCTCCTGAGAGCTACAGCAAGTTGCAGGAGATCTCACGATAACTAAATCTCCCATAATACCCAAGGCTTTGTGCCATAGTGCACTACCACCCAGTGGAACCCGGTAACAGAGGTAGAAGAGAGAAAGGAGAGAAAAGAAATCTTCCTTCTCTCGTTTCTCCCATGTACTGACACGGGGAAATAAAGAGAAGTGAAGAAAAGTATTGGGATTGGGGGTGGGGAGCAAAAAGGGTTTTCAGTAATAACAAGAGCTGTTAGGGACATTTTTCTGAAACCTCATATTGGCTTGGACAAATTATTAGCGCCCATCCAATTTCCCCTTACAAAAGGTAGATCTTTCTGAGGATCATACAATGTGTCATAAAAATATTTTTAAAGTAGGAAAAATAGCAGTGAAAAAGAATGAAGCAGAAGTTAATTATCTGCAATCTCCTTCATTTGAAAAATACAGACAGTAATTGGCTTTGGAGAACGTTCACAAATTGTTTGCTAATAAAAGTGAAAAGGAACAAACTCAATGTTCTAAATCGCAGTGTTACGTGACTTAGTACTGCAGAAACTAATAAATCCACCATGTACAAAGATTTACTCAGTACAAATATGGTTGAAAGACTCCAAATGACACACACTATTGATGTCATATTGCCCTTGGTTTTGTTGCAGCTTAAATAAGTCTCATCCAGAAAGGTTGAAATCACAATGACAAAGGGAAAGATTTTGTGGTGACATAAATGATGCCATTATTAGTAAGCAGTTATTTCTGAAAGAAGTAAGTAGTAATTTCTGAAAGAAGCAGTATTCAATTTTTACATCATCTAGTCTTCTGATCATATTTCCTTTAATAAATAAGATGATTTAAATTATTCTATGCTGTCTAGTCAAAACAGAAATGTTTATTACACTTTAGTTATTGCTTCTGATGTCTTAGCATGCTTAAAGCCTCTGAGACAAAATGTCAAGCGTACACAAATATTGAAGATAACAAAAATCATTCCCCAAAGCATTCTTATTTGAGAGTCCTGGTAAAATCATTCCACCTGATTAAAAGCTAGATATGTCAGTTACAAAGCTAAACACCCCAGCTCTCCCTCCTTCCTCTCACCCCGCATGTCTTTTCTTATATGACAAGCTTGGGAAGAAACATTTCAACACGGCATGCAGTTTTTTAAACACTGAAATCTCCAAACTGGCCTGAATTGCTTCAGATGTCCCTGATTCTATTTGTGGCAATTCAGAGGGATCCTGCTTCAGGTCATGCAGCTCCTAAATACTGTCTTATCAATCCAATTCAGCTCAAGATTCGGAATTTGTCTAAATGCAATGCACACCCCTAATTTATCTTTTAAAAAATGGGTGAATCTGTATGTCCCAAAATGTGTCTTGGCTACTTCTCTTATATTAAGAGGACATTTCAATTAATGCTGTTTTCACCCCTGTTCTTCCCTGTGTTTTCTATTATAAACAGCAATGCTTCCTTTTACTTCCGTCTCTCTACTTGCCACTTGCAAAACGGTACTCCATTTCTACTTGATAAATTCTTGGAAACCATTATATCATAAAGGTGACTTAGAGATTCCATATCTCCAATCTACCCAGTTTAGGTCAGCTGTGAAGAAACCACATGTAAATCTCTGTCTTTAAGAGCTTTCTGCCTCACAACTAATGCATTATTGCAATCACAATACAACTTTGAGAATCAGGATGCTTGTCTTTTAATAAAGAATCTTGCAATCTTTCACATGATGGAAAGCACACGGCAAGCCACAGAGGAATAACCTAATTTAATGCCAAGTCAAAGCCAAAATTTGGTGAATGATGAAAAGAAAAATGATTTTCCCCTATCACTACAAAACATAGCTTGCTTGTGGAAAATTACATGCTACTGATGATTAAGTGAACAGGTGGCAATGAACCAAAGAAGAACAATGTTTTCATATATGTCTTTCTTCTAAACTTGAGTTCTCCAGATGTTGTCACCAGGGAAAACAAGCTTTTCCTAGTAGCCAGTAAAAATTCAGTAACTCGTATTTTTAGACACATCCAATACTACTTATATCCAATTATAAATAAATTCTGATGATTTCAGCCCTAAAAATTCTGCTGTCTAGGAAACTTGTATTGGATGTAAATTTCCCTACTGGCCAGTGGGTAGGTACCTCCACACCAAAATTCAATAGAAAACATCCTCTATCTGTAACTGAAGTGCAACTGTAACTGAAAGGGGGATTTCCAAAGTTACACTAGCTAAAATGACCCACTTAAATGACAGCAAGATTCAAATATTCTTTCCCTAATGACAAATATTATCACATTTATTTACCAGTTAATTCTAAAATAGGCTTCTAAGCAGTTTACAAGCATAAAAAAATTACACAAGTTTATACAATATAAAGATTCTTAATAAATTAATTTAATTAATTAAAATACACAATGAAAAAGTCCCTTTAAAACATTCATACTACAATGCCTACTTGGTAATCAGTCAGGATATATTCAATTAAAGTACAGTCGTACCTTGGATCCCGAACACCCTGGAACTCGGACGTTTTGGCTCTCGAACATTGCAAACCCGAAAGTGATTGTTCCAGTTTGTGAACGTTCTTTTGGAAGCCAAACCTCCGACGGGGTTCCATGGCTTCTGATTGGCTGCAGAAGCCAATCAGAAGTCGCGATTTGGTTTTCAAATGTTTTGGAAGTCGAACGGACTTCCAGAACAGATTCTGTTCAACTTCCAAGGTACGACTATAACTTTATCTGAAATACAGTCACATTTCTTACAAATAATCAGCTATATTAAATTGTGAAATGATTGTATTTTCAGAAATGTTATACGTCACCAGAAGTGGCGTGATGGGTGGAATGGAGCTGGCATGTTAGCTTCCTGGAAAGTAGTCATTGTTGCTTACTGGGAGGAATAGGGACAAGGTGGTGCAAAGCATTCAAAATAAATCCAGTTAAATATATAAATAATGTAATTAGCTGCACCATGAAAATGACATAACTTAGCCTCTTAAAACCTGACAAAAGGTGTGGTTTTTACCTGACAGCTAAATGAATATAAAATTGGAGAAAGATGCACTTCAGTGGGAAAGTCATTCCACAAACATTAATAAATAAGGCAAATATAATTGACCCTTAATGATATTAATAACAGAAAATACGACGGCATAGGAAAAAGCAGTGGGGGGAAATCAGTATCTGATTAATGCTAAAAGCAATTAGAAATTAAAATTCATAAATGAGAAACAAAGAAAAATACCTGAGGAGATGAAGGGTTAAAAGCCACATTGATGACAGATTCTGTGTGTCCAGTCAATTTATGGGAATAAGTGCTTGAATGCATCTCATATATATATGCCTGAAAGAAATAACACACAATTAAAGCTGTCAGAAGCACCTAATGTAATTTGCATTTTTGAAGAAAAAAAAACAAGCAGGGTTCAGTAGTGTAAAAAAAACCAAAACCATTATATAAATTTCAATCACTGAATCAAATTTAAGTTTGGTCAGAATGAAAAGTATTTACAGACTCTTTTTCATCACACTTTAAGTTACAATATATTTACCATATATAAATATAACTGTAATGTTAGTAATATCTCAAGTAACTCCAAAAATATTAAACTGCTTTTCCACCTTTTTTTCTTTTTTTTTACAATGACATGATTTTCACTGAGATAAGCTGAGAGAGCACTATTAGTAGCCTCTCATAGATAAGAAGCTCAACTAGTTAACAAGGAGTTGTACCTTCAGTGTAGGTGTTATGTATTCAGTGGTCTGTGTTTGCCTGAGCTTGAGTCTGGACTAAGGATTCTGAGCCCTTGTGTTCTGATTTGATACATGATATCCAATCACAGAACATTTCAGGATTTGGGCTACTGCCATTGGCCCTTAAACTCTGAGTTGTGATTCGCAGCTTGGGAATTTAGACAGCCAATCACGTTGAGAGTAGGAGTGGCCCAGGCCTTCAGAGTATATAAGCAGTTGCTTTGCCCCCGTTGTTCAGTTCTGTTACTTCAATAAACTTTCTTGCTGTTATCACTGTGTCTCGCTTCATGGGAACCCACATACACTTCAGTAGGTAACACAAAGGAGGATCTAGTCCTTCAGGGAATTATATAGGTAAAAAACTATCATATAGAATTCCATCTACAGGTAAACTGATGGTCAGTGCAGTTGCATAGTCTCGCTGATATATCCATACTATAAAGGTGGACTTTCAATTGATGCTTTGGGCAGCTCGGTCTAAAACACATTACACATGTAATTCCTTGAGGCTAGAAATATGGTGCTAGCTTCTTTTCAGAAAGAACAAGTTACTGGCTTCACACGCTGCTGCCACACACACAGTATTAGAGGAAGACATTCATCAAGTATTTTTATACTCTATCTTTTTATCCATCCAAATGCAGAAGACAGCTTATCATCAACTTGTGTCAGTGCTGAGAAGTGCAAAGCCTTTTCAGAGGCCTTGTGAGACCCAGTGCATTGAAGAAAATTCCACCTACGTGGGGTTGTTTGGGCCATACACAACAGATAACCACTAGTAAGATCATGAGGCTCTCCTTCCTCTTGGTTTCCACTCAGTAGTAGCAGTCATTTACTGCTTTCTGCCCCCACCTCTTGATTAGTTTTATTAGATTTCAATTGCATTCATACAACTTTAAGTTAGGTTTATGAAATTTATGTATCACTTCCTGCTAAAAAAAGACCACTCAAAGTGATTTACAACCAATGATAAAATCACATGTTGTTCTACAATCATTACTAACCAGTAAGAAATTCTGAAATACTAAATTTTCTGGAAAAATACTAAATGAATAGCAGTTACTCTGAAAATCCATCAGGTATGTGATTTAGTGGTAGAGGTTACACATTTCCTTAAAACTTCAAGTTATAAAGAGAGGAAAAGAGCCATGAAGGAAATGGACAAATAGTGAAAATTCACATGTGCATATAAATCTGGTTTACTAAAGCCAAAGTAAATTCACTTTTTCATATTTAACCCTATTCCTAATAATAAAAATGACTGATTCAGAAACTACTGATATTTCCTTTTCATCTTTGCCCCAGTTCAGCTAGAAGTAAAAATAGTTTACTTCTACTATTCACATCCATATGGCCTTCCTGAGTATGTAACCTCACACCTACTTCTGTTTCCTTTTATTGGAAATGTACAGATTGTTCTCAGCACATTTTCAAAATCAATTACGTTCAAAGGAGAATTTGCTGGTGTCGTTATATTAGGGCTACAAAAAAGAAGCACCAAGATATAAATTCTTTCTAGATATATATATATATATTTAAGTAGATAATGAAACACACTATCTCTGTGAGTTGAGCAGGGACACTATAATACCACATATGTTGAAGATGTGCCCAGTTACCATCCATTTTCTAGTTTAATTTTCTATAACATTTGTAACAAGAGGCTGAAGATGGGGTAAACACATAGAATGACACTGTGTATCGCTGAATACAGACTTGAAGCTCCTTTTTGCATGTGCAGTCAGAAACCTTAGAGCAGTGATGGCCAAACTTGGCCTTCTAGCTGTTTTGGGACTACAACTCCCATCATCCCTAGCTAACAGAACCAGTGGTCAGGGATGATGGGAATTGTAGTCCCAAAACAGCTGGAGGGCCAAGTTTGGCCATCACTGCCTTAGAGGATGATTGATGGGCATTTTAACTATGAATTTTTGAAAAACATACACACAGTCAGGAAATGTTACTGAAGCACTGCTTCAATGTTATTGAAGCACTTTCTTAAATGTTTTACTTGTGCAGTACAAAAACATGTCACTTTAGAAGAAACTAAATGGCAACTTCAACCCAGTCAGATGACTCTCAGACAACAAACATGGAATTTTGTTTAATAATTCTATTGGCCTACCAACAGAAGGCAGCACCCCAATGCTTACATCATGGTTAAGGGATCAGAAGCAGGTTATGGAATCACATGCCACCTATCTTCATGGAATCAATTCTCATCCCTGGCCTTAACAATGGTTAAGGATTATGCCATCTCCAATCCTAACTGCATTACAGTGGCAGTTCTTCAAACAGTGGTTCCTGCCAAACTAATGTAAATCATGTGTATATGTGTGATTTCATTTGGGAAACAGAAGGTTGTCAAAGCAGCAGGGGAAACAGGCTGCCTTTCCGACTTCTGCCAGTGTAGCTGGAGTAGGGCAAGACTACACAACAGAGTCCGTTGCAGACTCAGGTCCAAAACATGATAGCACCAAGCAGTATAAAGCAGAGGTCAAGCACAAGATTTAGAGGGTGGCAGCTAGAAGACAGTCAGAAGATTCCAGGAGCAAGAGCTGAAGGAATATTACATAACCAACACCAGATGCACATACTCAAGTCTGTTCTAAAAGCCCTTTCTACTGAGGAATGCCATTACTCTCAAGAAATCCTTTTCTCAAGTCAAGCAGTGACACTAGACTCTCAGGTTTGCACTCTGTTGACCAACAGCTGCCTGGGCTTGGACCTCCTAGCACCATTTCTATTGAGGATTGGAAGGGGTGACTCAACCTTCCCTTGACTTGACTGGGGACTCATCTGCCAGGGGTGGGTCAAGAACCTACCCTGAAGGTTCTTCCAGGGCATCTCCTAGAAGCCAACCTGGGGGGGGGGAGTCATTCCCAAAGGCTTGCTCACCCAAATCTTGGGTCACTGGAAGGGCAGGGTCCTCACGGAATTCAGGGGCCACCATGACACTGCCAGAGGAAAAGCAGCAAGCAAATAAAAGGTTCAGCACTCCTTGGCTTGCCATTTTCCCACTTGAAATCACCCCTAAGTCCCCTTTTTACAGGTGTTTGGTGACAACCAGTATTTGAAGCCATAGTTATCACATACTATTCTGGCCTAAACCTCCAATGAAATAATCAAGAAACAAGGCATACTTTTAGGAGTATACGTTCATATCCCAGTTTTCAGTGTTCATGATAAACATTTGCACTTCATGCTGGACATATTTATTCTTTTTGGCTTCTTCTAAGCATTACTTTTATTCTCTGTAATATTAATAATTCTCATTCCTCTGGCCAAAAAAAAAAAAGGATATTAACAGTCTGCGTGAGGTGAGAATATTTTCGAGAATTTAACATCACTATGCTTGTCATGGATGACCTCTCAGGTCCCAGGGCAAGGTGAAGGTCATCCAGAATGCTCCTATCCATTATTTAAGTGTGTGTAAATTTTGGAACCAGACACAAGCACTCCGTCAACTTAACTCCTAGAGTATGGTCTGAAGGCACATGAGACAACAGTAAATCACTTCAGGAAGCAATTTATAAATGAAATAAATAATAATAATAATAACTACCATGGTGAAGTTAAATAGGTCTGAGTTTGGTCAGTGCTCAGATGGGAGACCACCTGGGAATCCTATGTATACTTTCACCTTAGAGAAAGGTGGCATCTAATTAACCAACTAGTAACTGAGGTGGCAATTCTAACTACACTTACCTTGGGAGTCAGCCCCATTGAATTCAGTAGGGCTTACTTCTGTGTAGGCATGGTTAGGATTCTGCTGTAATTTTATTCTCCAACCCTTCTCCCCATGAAACACTTATTTTCCTGAATTCTTCAAAGGTCCTTTTATAATTCACAACATTCATAGAGCTAAGGCTACAACACTAAAATTAAAATACTAGCTTGGATTCAACAAACTGCAAATAGAACAGCACTTTTACACCCCTCTTCTTGGCTGCAGCCCCCTGTAGCCTCCCAAAGTGAATGGGTGGTAGAGCGGGGAGGCTTCCTCAGGAATGGTTTGGAGAATGGAGAACTCTTAGTTCATAGCTCCCCAACCTATTTTTACAAGGAGGAAACAGGAGGCAAAGCACCTGAAACTCTTGTTTACAGTAACCTGTCCCAGAATCAAGAGGGAATATGGTTTCCATTTTGTTTTTAAGCACTGCAGCAAACACATATTCTTCCCCATCCAACACTTGTGGAAGGCAGTTTATGATTAATAATCCTACTTTTATTGCTTCTTTTGGCTTCTTATTCATTACACATTTCTTTAAAAGAAGAGGTGAAGCACTAAACTCTCTAAATGGAACTGCGTATGTCACAAAAACAATCGTTGCAAGCTTAACAGGAAAAAGGAAGCTTATATAACAGATCTGTTTCTGGATTCCACTATTTAGAGTCAAGAATAATATCACTGTTGGCCAACAGAATTGATGGGGAGATGGGAGCGAGACCCTTCTGCACAGAATCACATAATAAAATCCATATTGGGTGAACGGGAGGCTATTCCCACTTAATCTGGGTTGGCAAACCGTAATTACTTTGAGGCAAAGCTCAGAATGTAGGGCATGCTCCAGCCTAAAAGAGGTAGAAGTGAATTATCAGCCATCACCACCCTGAGGAGCATCCTCAATTGCATTATTGTTCCCCAAATATACCGAGGAAAACCACAGAACATTCCTCCTAATTACATAAATACTAAAATAGGTATCTTGCCAATTTGGGCCTGGCTCAGTTTCCTCATAACGGTATCCCAACCCCTTCCCATACTTCAGAGCTCATGTAATTACTCTTCAAGAACATGCATAGCCTAAGCCACAGCATCTTATCTTTTAATGTGCCATTTTCCATTTTATTTTTTACACTATAGTCTTGTATATATTAGGAAAAAGCTTTCAAAACTTGCTTTAGAATTCCTTTCCCTTTTTTTTTAAATGATATTTATTGAGAATTTTAAGATTACAAAAAAAACAAAGAAGAAAAGAAGAAAAAAAACAGATAACAATTAAACAATACAAATCGATAAAAGTCAAAATCAAAAAGCAAAAGCCAAACACATAATACATCAAAATCAAAAAGCAGAGATAAACAAAAAAAATTTAAAAGCAGATCCAGTATTCTCAAATCCTTAACTGTCATTACCTTGTTTCATCGACCTCCTCACACCTCCCTTTTTTGTATTCTAGTTGTTAATTATCTCAGCAAATCCTTTCCATTTTTCATAATATTCTGTCATTAAATTACCTTAATCTATTTTAGCCTTATTCTACCATAAAAAACCCTAGAACTTAAAACTTAAATCTTATTTATACCAATTTCTCATAACCATAGCATATTCTTACATAGTTCTTTTTAACATTTCTGCTAAAGACAAATAATTTCGTTCCAACATTTTTCTAATACTCATTAATTTTACAAAACATTCCTAAATAGAATTTTTGAAACTTTCTTCCAATCTTCATCCAACGTCTCTTCCTCCTGGTCTTGGGTTTTGTCAGTCCTTTCTATCCCATCCATCTAGTTCATCAACCTGGTAACCTTATGTCCGAGGCCCTTAAGTCTCTTCCATGTCCCTTCCGCAGATCTTCTTCACATTTATACCTGTACTTTACCTTGTCTTCTGCTCCTTTCACTCGTGGAGACTCCAGCTTGACAATATTTTTGTCCCTTCTCAACAGATCAGCCCCTTTTCCATAGTCCACACTGAACTCCATGTGGTATTTAAAGGCATGTTTCAAGGTCCCTCCAAGGTTGAGGACCCCCACAACTCCAAGCTCCTCCCAGCCCAACGCCAGATTTGAAAATTCAAAACATCCCTGCATAGGGGGGTCTATCCAGCCCCCCATCTCCAAGCCAAACAAGACTCTATCTCTCCAAATCTGGCTTTTTCCAGATTCAGTCGTCAGATCCAACAACTCATGTTCCTGCTGGGCCACAGTTCCCTCCATCTCTGCCTCCCGAGGTCCAGACACAACCTCCTCCCTCATCTGATCTGTCAGAGCACACTCCTGAATTGATTCCTGAGTGGGTTCTATATAGATACCCACTACCTGTCCAAAATTTCTGATCGCATCAGTCATCAAATCCGTCTTCTCATGTAACTGTTCCAATAAAGCACTTGTTTTGCAGAAAGCACGCACCAGAGCCTCAGAGTACATTGTTGTGCAAGGTCAAAGTCTGATCCCACGATCTTAATCTATTGCAGCTGCAAAGCTCCCCCGTTCAGATTAATAACAGTTTCACAAGCTCCCTCTAGGGGAAGAACTTCTATTTGTATCCATCTCTCTCTCTTTTTTTTTTAAAGCAGATCTAACAACAAAGTTTCCTTTTTCAGATATTTTGTCAATATTTTGTTCCTTTTAGCTGCGAAGGAGAACAATGGAATCACTATGTTTCTCTTCTTTTAACTATCTGTCAAAAACGTTTGTCTATAGTCAATGAACTTCCCGAAAATGTCTGTCCTGACACCCCGCTCCCAGGTTCAAGACGGTGGAAAATTGCTTTTCTTTACACTCTCTTCTGCAGGTTTAAACAGTCCAGAAAAAATCCCCCCTCTTCTCCTGCTTCCAAGGGGGGTTCAGTAATTTTAAATGATGAAAGTTGATCCTTTACAAACGATTTTCTAAACTCTAGCTTGCCATGTCTTTGCTTTAATCTTTCTACAAAAAGCGGAAGGCTGACTTCCTGTTTAGACCTTCCCGCTTCAGTGCCAAATTAAAAGGAATTTCTTAGTCCAATTTTCCGTTCTACTCACGGGTCGTTGTTTAGAGTCCAATTGTCCAAATTTAACCTACTCACGGGTAGTTGTTTTTGTAGCCAGATTGTCACAGGAAAAAGGTAGTGCTCTCCGGTAACGGCTGTGCGGCTTCGCTCCACGGAAGAAGCAGTTGACTCTCAGCACCGCGCCACTTGCCCCGCTTCGCTCCGGAGCCTGTAATTGGGTTCCTTTACAAATTGGGGCGGGGCGCAAAAGGTGCCCGCCGAGTCCCACGGTCACAGACTTCACCCGCCTGTGATTTTTTAAAGGGTCCCCGCTTCGCCGTAGCGGAACAGACCCTATTTCCGTAGAGCCAGTCCCTCCGGATCAGAGGGAGTCCGCCATTACCGATGGCGCCACCCCGGAATTCCTTTCCCATTCCCTGCATGGAAAAATGAAATGGCAGCCTATGTTTTCACAGTATTCAAATTTCAATTTCCCTTAGTCCTGGTCTTCATCTTTCTACCTACTCCCCAGACTCACACCTGGATTTACCAGACATAGGTGTAGTTTCATATAAACAGATGCATCCTCTCCATGAAATAATAAAATAGCATAGCTAACTTATGAAATATGCAACAAGTTCCAAAATCCAAATAAACACACAGATGTGATGGAATTCTTGAATTTAGTTCAGGTAAAAAAAAAAAAAGAATCAATTAAAAGGTCAACAATTCCAAATTCCTGTAAGTTCAAAAAGCTATAAGAGATCACAAACTTTCTGTATTTACAATAGCATATATACACTAGAAATAAACTACTAATACATACACATTTATCTTCAGATCCACAGGCAATGAATTGTCCACAAGGAGAAACAGCGATTCCACAAGGGTGACAGCGGCTACTATGACCTTTGTAATGACGTTCACACCTTCAGAAAGGGTTTAATTAAATAAATAAAGCACTACTTCTTTTTAAAAAAATAAACAAATTGCTTCTATGTTTAATCATGCATTAGAAGAAGGTTCACAACCTCTGAATATTTCATTCAACAGTCCATGGTGTACATTAAAAGATGGGCTAGTGGAAATTAGTATTTTCACACTGAAGGCCCACAGAATTTATAGAATTATAATTCAGGGTCTAAAGTCTCTACAAGCCCTCTAAGCATACAGTGGATATTAAGCCCACTAAGTCAATGACAGCTGGGGATATAACCCACCAACTAACACAATCTCATTATGACATCACATCAAATCAACTAATGCTGCTGAAAGAAACAGTGTGGAAACAGAAATAAGGGAGGAGAAAACAAAAAACAGGAGTGGAAAGAAAGACTCTTATAAAAAAGACCTGACAACATTAATAACACATCATACAGCAAGGCCATTAGCTACAATACAGTTAAACTGCTTACCCAGATTTTTCTTTTAACTATTTTACCATTCAACTGCTTTACTTAAATTAATGTTTGAAAAGGAGGCAGTAGATAAGTGACCTGTGAAAAACTTTCCAATTTTTCATTTTTCATGAATTGTAGTTAGACCAGTTGATTACAAAAACATAAGGATGTAACAGAGTCCAACCCCCAAAGTATCTCATTTTATTACTTTTTGACATTTGGTAGGGGTATTTTGGCACATTCTTACAAACTCTCTAAAAAAAGATAAGATTAAATTATAAAACAATAACCAAAAAATCAACTGATATTAAGCTGGCCGCCACATTCTTCCAAAGCAGTTTTTCAAACACACTTCACTTCTACATCCTCTACAATTCAATAATAAACACCGTTTTCCCCATATATGTTTTTTCTGTTCTTCTGCTCTAATCTGCATATGAAATGCTTTTCAAGTCAGATAAGATGAAAAAGGTTTTCAAGATTAAAAGGGTGTGTTTCATTACTTAATTCCAAAGTTCCGTTGCTTCAGAATAGGATTCACCGCCATGTGCGCTCTTAAATGTACATAGATTTTAAAATGTGACTTAAACCATCTCCCTGGTTAAGTGCACCTGTATTAAAAATGTTCCTGCATTTGGACAGAGCAATCCTAATCTACCAAGAGGCAGGTTTATTTACTTATTTAAGTTATTTATATATCACCCACTGCATAAACCACAGGGCTATTTACAACTGGAAGATTGATATTCTAAAATGTTGAAGAAATGTAACATACACACCAACACCTCTTGTTTAAATTACCGTATTTTTCGCTCTATAAGACGCACTTTTGCCCTCCTAAAAAGTAAGGGGAAATGTGTGTGCGTCTTATGGAGCGAATGCAGGCTGCGCAGCTATCGCTGAAGCCAGGAGAGCAAGAGGGATCGGTGTGCACCAATCCCTCTTGCTCTCCTGGCTTCAGGGATAGCCACATGAAGCCTCTTCAGGGCAACGGGAGGAACGCTCCTCCTGCCCTGAAGAGGCTTGGCACGGCTATCCCAGAAGCCAGAACAGCAAGAGGGATCGCTGCTTTCGCTGCGCAGCGATCCCTCTTGCTGTTCTGACTTCACTTCGCTGGAGAGGCACTGTGCAGCTTTCCCTCTCTGTGCAGCGCCTCTTCATTGCTGAAGAGGCGCTGTGCAGAGAGGGAAAGCTGCGCAGCGTCCCTTCAGTGAAGCAGCAGGAGAAACGGAGCCCCTTCCATTTCTCCTCCTGCTTTGCTGGAGAGGCACTGTGCAGAGAGCGAGAGTTGCGCAGTGCCCCTTCAGCAAAGCGGGAGGAGAAACGGAGCCCCTTCCATTTCTCCTCCCGCTTTGCTGGAGAGGCGCTGCGCAGAGAGGGAGAGAACATTTTTTTTCTTGTTCTCCTCCTCTAAAACTAGGTGCGTCTTATGGTCGGGTCCGTCTTATAGAGCGAAAAATAAGCTGTATCTTAACTGCTCCTGGCTGGGGAAGGGGCTGGGGGAGGAGGAGTGTAAATCTGCATTTTCTGCCCTTCCACTGACTCTCGTGGCTTAAATGTTAGCTATACTTGCATTTTTGATGGTGTACACCAAACTCTGTGGTTAGGACCAATGAATGGAGTTAGGATGCAGTGTAACTCTCCCTGGCTGTGATACTCTCATTTCCCACTCTTAACAAGCACTGTGTTTGCCCTTTACACTGGCATAACACTGGCAAGAAGGTTTTCTCTCAGCCAGTGTAAGTAGATATACCAGGGTAAGCCACTTACACCAGCTGAAGGTCAATTCAACCAGGCGTGTGGGGTAGCAGGATATGCCACAACCTAATCTCTCCCAGATGGTGAGGAGCCATTAGGATGCAGTTTAAATTTACAAAGATCATATACTAGCACATCTGCCTTCTGGCATAATTGACTGGTTGGGATTGCTCTGCCCAGCAGCCTTCCTCAATCTGGCATCTTCTAGATGTTTTGGACTCCATTAGCTCCAGCCAGCATGGTCAATGGTCAGGACAGATGGAAGCTGTAGTCCCAAACATCTGGAAGGCTTCAGGTCAGAATAGGATGGTTTAGAGTAAAAATAGAATCTGATTCTATATATTACAGAGTCTACTGGTGCTTTGGACTGTAACTGTTATTCTATACAAAACGTAAATTTGCAGAATCATCAGTACATATCTAGGCATATACAGACACATGTTAAAAAGAATTCACATAAACATGATAGAAAAAGAGACATATAAATTGAACATGAGGGGGGGAAATGGGCTTTGCTGTTCACAAAAACAGAGATTATCCTAGATTCATAGTGCCTAGTGACAATCCAACCACCTTTGTCACAGTTAGCATTTGCGCACAGGCTCAATTAAACTGTTGTTACCTCAGTGTTCTCAAATCCCAGAGCTTGATGCCATCACCAATGGCTGTTGTTAAGAAAAGATTGTAAGCTTCATATTGCTGACTGCTAAAAGCTGATCCCTGCAAAACATTAGTTTAAAATTGCTGAATCCTACGCAAGAGATAATAACCATCAAGGAAATTGCACTAAAAATTGTATAGGCATCTTAGCAAAGGCTGAACAATTTCACTTGTTTGAAACAGCTTTCAATTACTGCAGCAACAACTTCTGAGAAGGCTAGTTGCTTGAATCACCAAATTAGAGGTATTATGTCACAAGCAATATAAACAAATTCATTCACATTAACAGGAGCTAAAACACAGACAATGCTGAAGTAAAGTGTAGGTAGGAAAATCATTAGGAAGAAACTAAGAGGTTATTCCCAGTATACCAAATGTGGAAAGTATTGGCAATGAGAATTGAGATGTCTTCCAATAGTTGGCATTGACAAAGGGATATTTTCCTTCCTGGTAAAGGTCATATAAATATTAGAAGAAATAAGATCCGGTATTACCAATGTTGTGTTTTCTTACAAAGAAGTAACTGTAAGCCCTTGCCATTAATAGTTTATAGCCATTTCATACAAATATTCTCTGAATTCCTATTGATCTCATTTACAGTGCAATTCTATTTGTGTCTACTCAGAATTAAGTCTCATTGTGTACAATGAGGTTAAGTCCTAGTCATCACTTAAACATTAAAGTATCAGAATTCCAGTGGCTCTTCCAGACGGAGTTCTGCTGTGGGATTGTTGTGAAAGAAAATGGTCCACAAATTTTCCCTCTCCAATACCAGAAAAACAAAGATGTTCCTTAAGTGAAATTGGCCAGTTATTTATTAAAAAAAAAATGTATACTGCTCCTCACAAAAAACAAAGCAGCTTACAACAACAAAACATAAAACCATATAATAACAACCATATAAAAAAGTTAAAACTCACGACATCAGTAACTGTCATGGAAAGGTCTACCCAAAGTGCTGTTATTAAATGTTATTGCCCCAAATTAGCTCCAGATTTCAAAGAATCATAGAACTGCAGAGTTTGAAGGAACTCCAAGGGTCATCTAATGCAACTCCCTGCAATGCAGGGATCACAACTAAAACACAGATTTGCAAGGCTACGCCTCTCCATGAACCTTTTCTGTGTCAAAAACAACCATGAAAAGCAACCTCCAAGATTCTCTTCATAAAACAGAGATGGGTATATGTGTTTCAGATCCCTGTAGTGAAAGAAGCTGTCCTCTTTCACCAGGCATTGTTGCTCTATTAACCATCTGAAAGGTATATTCATCACAATGGCAGCTGCATCTTCAACAGCTTTGGAATCAATGTTATTTCGAAGTAATTGTAAGGCTCTTTACTGGATGATGTTTGGTTTCAGCAGCAGACAAAGTTATCTCTGCATAAATAATATCCTGCACTTTTATCATACATCAGTGGAAGGATAGATAAGATAGCATATCTTACTCTGTGCATAATTATTCCAAGATGGCAAACTGGTGTCTCAATTCTTTGGCATACATTAGATCATGGGTTGTCAGCCTGGTCCCTACCGCCCACTAGTGGGTGTTTCCGGATTCTAGGTAGGCCGTAGGGGGTTCTACGGCACAAGCTGAATCCTCCTTCCATCGAGCACTGGTGGGCGGTAAGGAAATTTTACCATCAAGAAAGATGCATTAGTGGGTGGTAGGTATAAAAAGGTTAACTACCTGTGCATTAGATATTATCTGACACTCAAATCTACTGCTGAATCCATATTCCAGCCATATGCATTTTGGTGCATAAGATAATATTTAGCGTGAAAGTCACAGCTAGAACAATAAAAGCTCTTTGTTATTTTTCTGCAGAAGATTCTATGCTTAACATGGATAAGAGTCAAATGCATGTCCCTAACATAGTTAAAGGCATGTCTCTAACATAGTTACAATCGACGCAGTTTAGTCCTTAGTTTTAACATGAGAACTAAAACTATACTACCATTTCCTGCTAAAGGTATATGCACATTTTTAGAATGAGGTTACAAATCAAATATGCATCAGCAAGCACAACTTCAGACAAACAACCTCAAATAGTTTGTGGCAATTGCTAATATTTAGTTACATTTTTTTATTTATTTAGAGCATTTTTATCCTGTTGTTCAGCCAAAAAGGCTCTTAGAGTGGCTTACGTAACTATTAAAAACAAGGCACTTCCCGCTCTCATATTTCCAATCTAAAAGACACAATGCAAAAGAGAGAAGGGGACGAGTAGGGAAGAGGAAAAAAGTAAACTTAGGTACCAATTCTTAATGTTATAGTTTCTGTAATGAGCAACTGGGAAGTTAACAGTTCATGTAGCCTGATGGAATGGTTGCAACTAAATGACAGTTAAGGTAGACTCAAAGGCAGCTGGTCTCAACACAGACAGGAGGAGGGGTGTTCTTCCCTTCTCTCTGTCAGCTGTAGAATGAAGAAATGACTTCCTCTAAGTGACTGGTAAGGAAGAACCAGCAATTATATTTATGATAGTTACTTTAATTTAAGAGACAGTGTGATTCCTTGGCTAATGTTGGGCTTTGAACTGGGAAACCTAGATTTATATTCCTGTTCAGCCTCAGAGACATTGAATAGTATTGTGCAAGCTGTTAGCTGTGAGCCATATATACATAAGCAGCATTGGAGGATTATAGAATCATAGAATTGCAAGTTGGAAGGAACGCCCTATAACACAGGAATCTCAGCTAAAGCATCCATAACCGATGGCCATCCAAGTTCTGCTTTAAAACCTCCAAGGAAGGAGAGTCCACAACCAGAGCAAGAGAAAACAAGCTTGCTCCATCTAACACGTGACTGCCCTTTAGACATTCTGTCTTCTGCAGCATTAGCGACCTCCTAGTTTGGTGTCATCTGCAAAGTGGATGAGCACCCCTCAATTCTTTCTTCCAAGTTGTTGGCCCAGGACAAATCCCTGTAGCACCCCACTTGTCACTTTCTTCCAAGATGATAAGGAACCATTAGTGAGCACTTTGGGTTTGGTCAGTCAACCAGCTACAAATCCATGTAACAGTTACCTCGTCCAGCCCATATTTTACCAACTACTCCATAAGAAAATCATGGAGGACTTTGTCAAAAGCCAAACTGAAATCAAGGTATACTACGTCCACAGCATTCCCCTGATCCACCAAGCTTGTAATTCTATTTTTTTAAAGAAAGAGAATTGTCTGGTATAACTTGTTTTTGAGAAGCCCATGCTGAGTCTTAGTAATCAAAGCATCCTTTTCTAAGTTCTCACAAACCGCCTGTTTAATTATCTGTTCTAGAATATTCCTGGTATCGACATCAAGCTGACTGGTCAGTAGTTACTTGGGCCTACTCCCCCCCCCCCTTTTAAGATGGGGACAACATTTACTCACCTCCAGTCTGCAAGGACATCACCTGTTCTCAAAAATGGTAGACAGACTCTCTGGGATTACATCTGCAAGCTCCTTTAGTACCCTTGGGTGTGGCTCATCAAGCCCTAGAAATTTTAATTCATTTAAAGTAGCTAGGTGTCCCCTCACCACATATTTTCCTACCAGAAGGATACTGAAACAAGGAAATTCTGTTGGTATCCGTAGTCCAACACAGACTGAAGTATGTTTAAGCCCACCAATAACAACAAGCTTAAGAGTGTACTTTACAACTGTGCTGGATCATGGCCTTTGTGCCCAACAACAAAACAATTATGGATTTTATACGTAATGATACCATATAAGGAAAATTGGGGCATCATGTTGCATTAAAAATGAATGATTTATTAACTACAGGCTGATTTGATAATTTTACATAAAAGAGATTGTCTGACTTATACTAATATGATGTAAAAGTCAGCATCTCATCTATCTCATCAACATGTAGTTGTTATAGACTATGATCCAGAGAAATATCACTTTTGCTTTCAGTGGGATTTCATCTTTTTTATTCTTCTAACAGCAGCTTTCCAAAGCTTTTCCATCTGAAGGGACTTGCTGGAGTGTGGCCATAGAGTTTTACCACTAAGCATTTTACTTAAAAGTTTTAATGTATGTTACAAAACGGCAAAAGTTGATTTAGGATTGTAATCTTCAATTTTCCATAAAAACAAGCTCCAATTTCTCTCCCCATATGAATGTGTGTCCACAGCTTCAAAATGTGCTCTACTTAAATAACTTGAAGTCACTTTGCTGACAGAGGAAAAAGAAAAGCCAGAAGAAGTCAAAGCATCGATGTATTACAAATAATACTGCAGAAGTTTAGTAAAGTTAAGTGTTATACCAGACCAGGCTCTCAGAAAACCACAAAACCTATGCTAAAGTCATTCTAAGGAACTGCTTTAAAACCACAAAAGAAAAGACATTCAGAACTGAGGACGGACTGCTGTCTGTAGCTTAACCAATGAGCTTAAGCACAGCAGGAAGACAAAACTGGGCATGAGGAACAACTACAATATCACAACGTGTCTGTAATCCCCAAACTTCTTGTATATATTGCTGAAACAACTTGGCAAATTAGAAAATGCAGTGAATTCTGTGTCATCTGCCCAGGATTGAAGTGGAGAAGCAACCCTTTGTTTAGAAAAAAAAATACCACCATGACTGTAAATTACTTCAAGTCCAAGGTTAAATCAGGGTCTATGGACATAGCAAGTCAATATAAAAAGTCAGTTTACTTTTTATACAGAGACATCTTTGTGCATAATTGTTTCTGAATAAGTGTTAACAGGGAGGTTTTCTTTTCATTTCTTTCATTAAACACTTATATCAGAATCTTGCACATAATCAGCTCATCAAGCTGCTATAGCTTTTGCAATACCATTCTATTTCCTATGAAGCTTTCCCCTACAGGGTTGTTTCTCTAGAACAACCTTCCCCAACCTAGTGCTGTCCAGGTGTTTTAAAATACAACTTATACTATCACTGGCTATGCTGTCTGGGGCTGATGGGAGTTGTAGTCCAAAACATCCCAAGCAAATATATTAGGCAGTCATGTAAGACATTAACTTTACTCTCCAGTGATTGAACACCACAACTTATGTTCTACGTATCGCAGAACCTGGCAACCATCATTAATGAGATGCCAAGAGCATTTTACACAGGATTACCAATGGCCCCATGCAAATTCCATTGCATATTGCAAACTGAACTACAAGCATAAAAGTTCAATTGATCCTATATCTAGTATTAAATAGGACCCGAAGTGCTGATTCAGAGTGTAAACAATGTTTATGGCTGTACTGGATTTATTCCATTATTTCCTAGTATTTTTTTTAGCTCTTATTATGATTAAATATCTATCCTACCCTTCCAAAGGAGCCCAGGGCAGCAAGCACAAAAGAAAAAAAACAACAACAACAATTAAAATCTCCAAAAACAATTCTAATGCAGATGCAGACTGGGAAAGATTGTTAAAAAAAACCATAAACCATAAAGGCAGACACATAAATATCAGTACACAAGTATCAAGTTGAAGAAATGTGCATCTTCCTTTCACACTTTCCTGCAGGAAATCTGGCATAGCCACAGTGAAGTGTGAAGTGACCCTCAGGGCAACTTCAAACACTTTCCTCAATGGTATGGAATATTTGGAAACCTTGCAAAAATGAGTTCTCCCTCTCCCTTCCATGTGTCATCTTGCTGAACAGCCTCTATGTTCATAACCTGAAAGCGGACATATATTAACAGAACTCCAAACATTAAAAAAGCTTGCAGTTCCTTAACTGTGGAGAAAGCATAACCAGTGAAGCAACCAAACAGGGAAAAGCTAAGGACAACTAGCTCAAATTGATGAGGATAGACGCTTCCTACTAATACCACATGTAAACCAGGATGTGGTTCCACGATATGTCCTTGCCAAGCCAAACTTTACCCACCATGTCAAACTGTTCTGAACCTGCATACTCACATGCATACCACTAATGTGACAGGAGCAGGAGACATGGGTGGCAACAGCAGCAAAAAGCTGCTGTTTGGACTTACTTTCCTCCATGTGACTGATTATGCAACTTTTTAATGGAGTTTGTTCTGTTAAAATTATCTCTGTAGCAGACATCTAAGAGAATGATCTAGTTTCATGTCATTGAAATAAAAAATAAAGTCTAGATTACAGAATACTTAGCTTTCAAAACTGCATTTAAAACCTTGATTTATAGATTAACAAGAAATATCGGAAACCACAGGAACTGTTTTGCACTACTGAAACTTAGAAGGTGGAATCTATTTAGATTAAATTTGGGAACATTTCCCCCTTCTGACTACCAAGCTTTAGCCAAGAGTGAATTTTTATTTTCGTTTTATAAATACAAGAAGAAAATTGGGATTAAAATGGAACTGCTGACAGACCATTTTTTATAATAGCAATGTTGTTTTAGCTCTAATGATGCCAATCCAGCATTTAAAAAATATTTTAACTAAGATTGTGATCTAAGCATCAAATATTTAGAAATATGCTTAACTGAAATTTACTTCCAAGTAAATATAAATATCAGGGTACAAATCAATGTTTGCAAGTTACTTGTAAGAAGCATACTGAAGTAAAGCATGCCAACTGAGGATGGTGTGGTATGAGTTACATCTCAAGGGACTGAAGATGGTGGCTGAAATCCAGTGAAGCATATGTGTGCCAGATGTGTGTAAACAGCAGAACACAACAGTCCCCGTGGTGGCACATCTGAAAGGGATTTCCAAAATGGTTTACCCAAACAATCCTAACTAGGGCTGTGCAGTAGTGAAGTGAAATAGAGTGGAGCAACAGATACCGTATTTTTCGCTCTATTGGACGCACCGGACCACAGGACGCACCTAGTTTTTAGAGGGGGAAATCAAGGGAAAAAATATTAACCCCCCCCCCACAGCCCCAAAGAGCAAAGAAGCCAAGACAGCGAGTGGGATCCATAGCCGCGCAACCTCTCCAGCCAGGAGCTAAACCTCTCCAGTGCGGCTAAAGAAGACAAGGAAGTGAGCACGATCCATCCCGCTCACTGCCTTGGCTTCCTCTTTAGCCTTGCGCAGCATCTTTAGCCTTGCGCAACGGGATGGATTGCGCCCACTGTCCACCAGGGCTGGACTAGATGACTCCTAGGGTTCCCTTCCAACCCTGCAATTCTATGACCTCGGAAGGTGTTGGGGGTCTCCACCACTGGAGGCTTTTAAGCAACGGTTGGGGGACCATCTGCCTGGCATTCTTTAGCTGTGATTCCTACATTGTGAGGGGGCTGGGCTAGATGACCCTCGGGTGGCCCTCCCAACTCTATACAGTCCTACAGTTCTGCGGCAGGAGATCCAAGCCATTTCACACAATGCCCACTCCCAATTTTCATCGGAGAGACATGTGGCTTCAGTGTCTAGGTAGGTACCCCCCTACCTGCCACACTTCCCCACCCCACTTAAGCTGAGGGAATTCCTGCCCAGAGAAGCTCCCAGGTGAGGCAAGGGTTAAGATCTACCTCTGGTGGATCGCGCTGGCTGCCCTGGCTTCCTCTTTAGCCTTGTGCAGCCTCCCGCAGCTGGAGAGGAGCGCAAGGCTAAAGAGGAAGCCAGGGCAGCGAACGGGACGGATCGCGCTCGCTGCCCTGGCTTCCTCTTTAACCTTGCGCAGCCTCCCCCCCCCTCCCGCTGGAGAGGCGCACAAGGCTAAAGAGGAAGCCAGGGCAGCGAACGGGATAGATCGCGCTCGCTTCCCTGGCTTCCTCTTTAGCCTTGCGCATCCTCCCCCGCCCGGCTGGAGAGGTTGCGCAAGGTTTTTCTAGAGGAGGGAGAAGGGACTGACTGGCGGTGTCAGTCCCTTCTCCCTCCTGGGGAAAAGCCCGCAAGAGCCACGCGAAGCTTGTGTGGGGCTCTTGGGGGCTTTTCCTGCCTGCCTGCCCCCTGCATTCGCTCCATAGGACGCACCGACTTTTCCCCTTAGTTTTTAAGACGGAAAAAGTGCGTCCTATGGTCCGAAAAGTACGGTATATCACTGTATCCCAAGCCCCGCTACCTCACACCAAGCATAGCTAATGGGGGGGCATTTGCCTCACTATGCCAACCCAAGGCTGGCATAGCTGGTGAGCTTTGGATCCAGCAGATCTAAAGCTGATGGTGCCCGGCCTGAAACACCATGTTTTGAGGCCTCTCACTTCCTACCGCTGGCTTTCAGAACTTGAACTGCACTCTTAATTTTTCAGCATAGTATCCCTCAACGTGCACACACAATCATGAGCATTCATAAATGGGATATCTGGACCACATTCAATAGGCACTCAAAACTATCCTTATTTAATTCTTAATGTTCTGGAACATATGTGTAAAACATGTTGCAACGCTGCTTATGCCTCTGGCTTTTGGGTGTCTGAGAGCACAACAGAACATTTGGCAAAGCAGATGCCAAATCATACAGCACCACACTGACTATGCCGCTATATGCTTGGCTACCGATATTCAAATAGAATATGCAAGTTAGCACCAGTTCTCCAACTCACAAAACGTTTCCCATACTGAGTCATGGTGTTGCTTTCCTTTTTCATAATTATGGTCATCACAGTAGAGAGTAATTCAGATGAACTACTGTAGCAACCATAAAGAAGGCTGATCGCCGAAAAATTGATGCTTTTGAATTATGGTGCTGGAGGAGACTCTTGAGAGTCCCATGGACTGCAAGAAGATCAAACCTATCCATTCTGAAGGAAATCAGCTCTGAGTGCTCACTGGAAGGACAGATCGTGAAGCTGAGGCTCCAATACTCTGGCTACCTCATGAGAAGAGAAGACTCCTGGAAAAGACCCTGATGTTGGGAAAGATGGAGGGCACAAGGAGAAGGGGACGACAGAGGACGAGATGGTTGGACAGTGTTCTCGAAGCTACCAGCATGAGTTTGACCAAACTGCAGGAGGCAGTGGAAGACAGGAGTGCCTGGCATGCTCTGGTTCCATGGGGTCACAAAGAGTCGGACACGACTAAACAACAACCACCCTGTAGCAACAAGCTAGAGAACGATGTGGGTTGAGAAGTAGAGCTTGATGCTTCCCTATCCAATTTATTAGACATGTAAAATTCTAAATCTTTCCAAGAAAGGGAGTGCCATTATGAACAGGAGTCTTTCATGCTCATCGCCATTTAGAATATAAGCTTTAATTAAAATTATTAGGAGATCTTAGGCTTACCTTGTTTTGGCAAATCTGGTGAACTGATCTAGAATGAACATCCGCTATCACTGCTGCACTACAACCCACATTGAGGTCAAAGACTTCTAGTGCTCGATTGCTACCAGCTGCCAGTACAATATCTGTTATCTCTGTAAGTTAAAGTTCTGTTAAGCTGTGTATATGTATGTACATCTCTTTCATATGCAAGCAAAATGCACACTACATTTAAATAAATTAAGCAGTTTTGCCTGACTTTACTAGCCAGTGTTGTTCAACACACTGGTAGAAATAGCACCAATGACAAAGGTGCATCATCATAATGCATGTTTCCAAATTTATACCACTAATGATTTTACAGCATGATAATAGCAGCATAGTAAAGCTAATGGCTTTGCTTTTTATGATATTAAAAGATAAATCTATCATATCATTATATTAAAGAACTGAAGTTAGCTAAGGGTGCAAGCCTATGCATGCTTACTTGTGCAAAAGTTCCACATAACTAAATGGGACTAATTTTATTTATTTATATTTAACAAAATTGATATACCAATTGATTGTAATAAAACCTCAAAGCAGTTTACACAAAACATAAAACATTAAAATTTATCAATAAAAGACATATTTTTTATTTAAAAAACATTCAAAACTAATTAAAATCAACAATAAGCTACAGACTAAAACACATGTAGCAGCTTAGTAATCATGTTAAGAGGCTAATGCCAATTGTTCCAAATTAAGTGCTTCTGACTGAATGCTGAACATAGGTAATAACTGATAAGAGGATACAAGAATAGAATTCATTGACTGCTGAAAGGCTGGTAATTTCCACTGTAGATGCCATGGGGAATTTCTGTACTGATTTACAAATGCTCTTATTTCGGTATCTACAGAAATATATAAATAACATCAAATAATAAAAACAATGAAATAAACAATGAATTTTTTAACAGGTATCTTATAAACAGTTCTTATACTCACAAACATAAAGTAAAAGATGCCTATGTAAAAATATTTTACATAATTTTTTGTTATGAAATTTAAATCTAGTGTACATCTCAAAGCACTGCATCAGTTAATTTTCTTTTGTATTTCTGTCTATTCCTATTACTGGGAAAAGAAGGAAGAAATGCTTGAACTCTTGGTCCAAATGCAGCAAACTTGCATGTGTGACTATGGCATCAGAGATCAAACACCACAGTTTTTAAGGAGGGAAGGAAGAAGTGAGTGGATAATTTAGACTGTGTTAACATGTTCTTCTAATTAAGAGATCTAACACATTCCTGATGTTTCTGTCTATAGTTGCACTGAATCTTTTCCATACAAGCTTTTTTCCAAATCTGACTCATCAAAGAACTGAGTGAAGAATTAGGTGAAATGGGAGTAACAGCACAATGGTACATAACAAGCAAAACTAGTGGGAAATCGAAATAAAGAAAGCCACAAACAAAACATCAGGACAAATTAAACTTTTTCTTTTGTGTTTCTTTACTTATATCAAACTTGGCTGTCAGGATAATTTGTGGGTGTTTTAATTTCCCCCCCTCTCTCCTTCTGTGTGCTATTGTTTGTTTGGCATTCAGCACTGAATTAAATCCAGTAAAGGAACTAAGCACAGGCAATGAAATCAGTTGATTTGTTAAGTGAAAGAAAAAATGTGATCCTAGTAGTTATTAATAGCATAATCCCCCCAAATAAACATCTTAGACATCTGAAATCAATGAGATTTAAACTTGTGTAACTTTGGTTGATGTATGTGTGTATTAACTTGTTTGTATATTTAAAATTCCTCACATCCAACTGCTAATGGATCTATACCCTATGAAAAGTGTTTCATTACTGTCCACTGATTAAAGAATTTTATCTGATTAAGCATCTGCCTGTAAACTGTTTGGAAGAAATCAACACATTTGGAAGGAACTGTGAGATAGCTTTTGTTTTTTTACATTATAAGGTAATGTTCACTGATGAAAGGCAAGGCCATCTTTAATACCTTCTTTTTCATTCCTTGTTACATTAACACAGCAACACCAAATTAGCCTCAAAAACAGACCAGTGTTCCCGGAACTCTCAACCACAATAATTAAAATTTGCTCTCAGGATTACAATGGATCAAATCATTAACTAAAGCAGGGTGGGGAACGTCAGACCCAGCACTCAAATGCAGCCCTCAAGGTCTCTTTTTCTGGCCCTTGGGAGTCTCTCCAAGCCACACCTCCTCCCAAGCTATTTTTTTCTGCAGAGCACATCTTTTACCAGCCTAGCTTCACAGCCTCAATCAACTGTTTCTGCATGGCTGGAATGTGTCCTTGCTTTCCTAGATGGAAGGCACAGGGGTGTGTGAGGCTGTGTGTAGAAACTTGCCCACTGTGCAAAGGTAATGTTTATATTCATTGATGATCCACCCACTTTTGCCTCTGGCCTCACTCATTACTGGCGTGTAGCCCCCAGATGGGAATGTGACCCTAGAGTTGAAAAAGGTTCCCCCATGTCAGGGAACTGCCATCGGAAGGAAGGGAGGTGAAAGGGCTCACACAGGTTGGGAGAGACTCAGCAGCTGAAGAGGGAACCAGTAGGGGGAGAGGAGCTGAGCTGAGGGAAAGTGAGCTGGAGGGATGGCTCAGAGACACTTCCAGCGAAAACAGTGGGGAGGTTTCAGGACCTCCTGTAGGAACACCCACTCCTCGCCGGAAACTGTCACGCAGAGAGTCCAGAAGACGTGTTTCCGTTAAGGAGCTTTTATGTTGGAAGCGATTCCGAAGCAACCACTGTCGGAATCTGCTAGTGACTAGAGGAGCCATGTCTGAGGGGCTCCGTCACAGACAGAGGTTTGTGGACTTGAACAAACTCTGAGGGGATACTATTTTACGCACAAGCAGCTCATCATCCCATCACAGCATTCCGACAGTCTTTGAAAGCAGCTTGTGCAGGAGAAGGCATCATGAGCAACCCAGCCGGAACCGGAGAAGCAGGAGCTGGAGCGGGTCCAAGCCTGGAAGAAAGGTACCGGGTGTTGGAGGTCCAGCTAGCGCTGCAGACGGCGAGGCTTGAGGAGAGGAGGGCTCAGGATGCAGACAAAGGGGAAAGCCACCCAGCTCGCCAGAAAGGTACCAGGATTGGTGCAGAAGTTTGGGGGGGAGCCCAAAGACTATCATGGCTTTCGGACAGAGATGCAATATGCCCTCAATCTGCAGTTTGATGAATTCCCTGACGAGGAATCACGAGTGGCTTTCGTGATTGGGCATCTTGAAAAGGGGCGAGAGACTGGGTTAGACCCTGATGGCAGCGAATAGTGACGTACTAAAGGACACGATGAAGTTCTTTCGCGCCATGGATCTGATGTTTTCCAGCGATATTGAACAGGGAGTGGTGCGCAGACAGTTAATGGCTTGCAAACAGGGGAGCCGATCTGTCCGTGAGTACTGGACTGAGTTCACCATGCTGGTTCACAGATTGGGGTGGGACTTATCGGCGGAACCCATTCAAATGCTCTTTGAAGAAGGGCTTTCTTCGGCTGTGAAAGACGAACTTTCCCGGGCGCCCAGGGCGGAGTCTATGGACCAGCTGACCAAATCAGCGCTGACCATAGGAGCGCGCGAGGAGGCGGAGAGCATTGGAGAGGCGGGAAGGGAGGGGGAACGTTGGAAGGAGTTCCGCATTCCAGACATTCCAGAGCCAACTTTCCCGCCGGCAGAGCCGATGGAAATCGGAACAGTGCGCGCGCGCACAGTTTCAAAGCCCAGTGAGGGGGGAAAGAAGGAGGGAAAACGCGCCCGGAAATGCTATCTCTGCCAACAGCCAGGTCACTTTGCCAGAGTCTGCCCCCAGAGGAAGGAATGGCAAGGGATGGTAGGAGCTGTGGAGGGAAGAGAGGAAGAAATACCGGAGCAAGTAAAAGCCAACGCCTGGCTGCCACCGTCGGGGCACAGCAGCCAGGCCAAAGAGCAGTGAGAGTGCCCACGCCAGAACCTCCTAAACCCGCCCTAGTGATAGAAGTGGCGCTAGAGCTGCCAAACGGACACCCTCTAAAGATAAAGGCGCTGTTGGACTCAGGCAGCTCCTGCAATTTCATGAGCAAAGAGTTTGCAGCTGAACACCAGATACAGACGATCCCTTTAAGCAACCCCTGCAGGTGACCACGATCGATGGCAGGGAGCTGTTGGGAGGAGAAGTCAGCTTGCAGACCGTCCCAATGATAATGAAGGTGGCAAGACACACCGAACTGATAGCGTTTAATGTGGCCACCTTGGGAGGAGCTCCCATTATATTGGGGATGAGCTGGCTAGCGTTACATGATCCGCTGGTGGGCTGGCATCAGAGAGTGGTTTCTTTTGGTTCAGCACATTGCTTAGAACACTGCAAAGAGGGAAAGGGTTTGGCAGGGGCCCAAGCCACCCTAGCAGGGACTGAAGTAACGGAGAACGTGAAGGTACCACGACAATACGCAGATCTTCGCGACGTCTTCAGCGAAAGGGAAGCTGACCAACTACCCCCGCATAGACCCTTTGACTGTCAAATCAATTTACTCCCTGGGGCACAGCTCCCTGTAGGCAAGCTGTACGCCATGTCAGACAGAGAGATGCAGGAGCTAAGAGAGTTCATTGACAAGAACCTGAAGAGAGGGTTCATCAGAGAGTCCAGGGCGGTGGGGGCAGCCCAGTGTTTTTGTGGATAAAAAACACGAACAAGCCGAGGCTGGTGTGTGACTTCAGGGCCTTAAATGCAGTGTCAGAACCAGTGGCCTTCCCTATGCCCAGGATTGACGACATTTTGACAAGGGTGCGGAAGGGAAAGATTTTCACAAAGCTGGACCTAAGGGGGGCGTACAACCTGATACGAATAAGGAAGGGGGATGAATGGAAAACCACCATGTTCACCCCTTTAGGGGCATTTGAATATTTGGTTATGCCCTTCGGCCTACAAGCAGGCTCCGCATGCTTTCAATCGCTGATGAACCACGTCCTGGGGCCTTTGCTTTACAAGAATTGTGTGGCCTTCTTAGACGACGTGTTGGTGTATTCTGAGAATGAGGAGCAGCATGTGAGAGACGTCAGAGAAGTGTTGAGCAGGCTGCAAGCCAACCAGCTGTGGGTGAAACTGGAGAAGTGTCAGTTTCATACCAAGGAGGTGGAATTCCTGGGGTATCGCCTGTCAGACAAGGGATTGGCCATGGATCCCGGCAAGGTCCAGGCGGTGCTGGAATGGAAAACACCCAAAACAAGGAAGGATGTGCAGAGGTTCCTAGGATTTGGGAACTTCTATCGTAAGTTCATCCCAAACTTTGCCCACCTGACGGCGCCCATTACGGACTGTCTCAGCAGTAAGAAGAAGTTCGTTTGGACTGAGGAGGCGGAGCGAGCATTTGAGGAACTAAAAGGGCCTTCGCCTCGGAACAACAACTCCTGCATGTGGATTTACAAAAACCGATGAGAGTGGAAACTGACGCATCAGACAGAGCGATTGGGGCGGTGCTTCTGCAGCCAGGGAAGGAGGAGTCAGAGTGGAGACCGTGTGCTTTTTTTTCGCGAAAGCTGAACAAATCCGAGAGGAACTACACGGTGTATGACCGAGAACTACTAGCCATTCATGAGGCGTTCCGGAGATGGAGGCACCTGCTAATTGGCGCACAACATAAGGTGCAAGTGCGCACTGACCACAAGAACCTAGAGTATTGGAGGACGGCACGAGTGCTCAACTGTGCTGGTCCCGGGGGTAAGGTACCTTGGGTGTAGCAGAGTCCACACGAAGAGGGGCAAGGTCCGAGGCAGAGAGCCGGGCGGGGAACAGGAATGCTGGAACAGGAGGCTGTGCAGGGAACAGGAACACCGGATGGTCGGGAACAGGAGGCCGAGCAGGGAACAGGAGTACCGGATAGTCAGGAACAGGAAGCCGAGCAGGGAACAGGAGTACCGGATAGTCAGGAACAGGAAGCCGAGCAGGGAACAGGAGCACAGGAAGGTCCGAGCCAACAACGACGTTGCTCCCGCAACCTGGGGCCGGGCTGACTGGGCTTTTATCCTCTTCTAAGGCCAGGGCGGTCCCGGTCCCCAGGAGCCCCGCCTCCTCTGGCCTTAAGGCGAGCACTCCTCCTGGGGGCAACCAGTTCCCTTCGCCTCTCTGCCCTAAGCCTCTGCAGATCAGGAGAGGCCGAAGGGTTACTGGGCCCTGGAGGAGGCTCACCTGTGGCCACTGAGTCATCAAGCCCCTCTGGGGCCAGAAGGGCTTCACCTGGGGCCAGCTCCTGATGCACTGCCACAGGTGCAGGCTCTTCAGCATCTAGGCCTTGCCCCAGTTCAGCCGGCCCTGGAGGCGGGGACTCCTGTGCAGGCTGGGATTCCTCTGTTTCATCCTCCGAATCGGAATCCCAGGCCATCACACCATCCCCCTCCCAGGCCCCCTCAACCGAGGGTCCGGACCCGGCTTGCCGGGGTACGTCGCATGGAACTCTCGGAGGCAGGCAGGTGCGTGGACATTGGCCGCTGGTTCCCAGGAACGGTCCTCCGGTCCGTACTCCCTTCCAGTCAATGAGATACTGCAGCTTTCCCTGCGGTATCGGGAGTCCAGGATGCGTTCCACCTCGTACTCAGGCTCTCCCCGAACCAACACTGGCTGCGGTCGGGGACGGTCCGGGTGGAACTCGTCGGGTGGGGCCACCGGACTCAAAAGGGACCTGTGGAAGACCGGGTGAACCTTCAGGGTTGCGGGTAACCGGAGACGGAATGCCACAGGAGAGATTTGGTCTACGATAGGGAACGGGCCGGTGAAGCGGGCGTCCAACTTCCGCGAAGGTCGAGAGGGGTGGAGGTGGCGAGTGGAGAGCCAAACCAGGTCACCGACGCGAGTTCCGGCCCCACCTGGCGGTGGCGGTCGGCCTGGGCTTTGTACGCTTCCTTGGCCTGGTGCAGTTGCTCCACCAAAAGCTGTTGCTGGGACTGGAGCTCTTGAAGCCACTCCGTCACCGCCGGGACCGCGGATGCCGGCAGCACCTCTGGAAACAGCCGTGGATGATAACCATAACTGGCCTGGAACGGGGTCTGCTGGGTGGACGCATTCACCGCGTTGTTATAGGCGAACTCCGCCAATGCCAGGTGGTCGACCCAGTCATCCTGCTGGTAGCTGCAGTAACACCGGAGGTACTGCTCCAGCACCGCGTTCGCCCGGTCCGTCTGGCCATCGGTCTGTGGGTGGTAGGCTGACGAGAGGCAGACCTCTGTCCCGAGGGTCTGGTGTAATGCTCGCCAGAACCGGGATGTGAACTGAACGCCCCGGTCGGACACCACGCGCTCAGGTAGTCCATGCAGGCGGAAGACATGCTGAAGGTACAGCTGAGCAGTTTCCTTGGCTGTGGGTACAGATGGACAGGGAGCGCAGTGCACCATCTTGGTGAAATGGTCGGAGAAAACCAGAAGGCAGGTACAGCCACGAGACGAGGGTAAGTCCACTACAAAGTCCAACGAAACCGTGTGCCAGGGGCGCGGTGGAACTGGCAATGGCTGAAGTAGGCCGGGGGGTCGCCCGGTAGGTCCCTTGGCGCGCCGGCAGACATCACAACCAGCAACGTAGCGAGCCACGTCAGCCTTCAGGCGGGGCCACCAAAACTCTCGACTGACCAGATGGGTGGTCCGATACCGTCCAAAGTGCCCCGCTGCTGGGGCATCATGGGCCATCCGGAGAACCTCCAGCCGTAGTGGCCCTGGCGGGATGTACAGACGACCGTGGTGCAGCAGAAGGCCCTGATGCAGGACCAGCCCCGGATACTGTGGGCTGGACCCTTCAGCCAGCTCCCGGAGTCGTTCCTGGGCCCAAGCGTCGACCCGCTGCTGTTCCCGCACCCGAACCTGCAGTGGCTGCGCCTCCTGGGTGGCCAGGAATGCAGCCGGAGGTAGGATCGTGGTGGGTTCTGCTTGCTGTACCGTGCCTGCGTTGTCTTCGGGTTTCCGGGACAGGGCATCCGCCTTCTGATTCTGAGAGCTAGGGATGTAGCGGATCCGGAACTGGAACCGGGAAAAGAACAACGCCCACCGGATCTGTCTTTGGTTCAGCTTGCGGGTGGTCTGGAGGTACTCCAGGTTCCGGTGGTCGGTTCTCACCTCCACCGGATGTCGTGCCCCTCAAGATGGTGGCGCCAGACCTCAAAGGCTACCTTGATGGCCAGTAGTTCCCGCTCCCACACAGTATAGTTACGCTCCGCTGGTAGGAGCTGGCGAGAATAGAAGGCACAGGGTAAGAGTGGCGCTTCAGGACCAATCTGTTGAGACAAGACGGCACCGAGAGCCGTACTGGAAGCGCCGGTCTCCACCACAAAGGGTCGAGAGGGGTCAGGATGTTGTAAGATTGGTGCCCTCTGGAAACAGGCCTTCAACCCCTGAAACGCCTCCTCTGCCTCCTTGTCCCAGGAAAACGGCGTCTTTGGGCGCAGTAGCCGGGTCAACGGGGTGGTGCGATGAGCATAATCAGCGATGAAGGTCCGGTAGTAATTGGCGAACCCCAGGAAACGCTGCAGGTCCTTGCGGTTCCGGGGTGCCGCCCATTCTTGAACCGCTGTCACCTTCCCCGGGTCCATTTGCACCCCATCTGGAGAGAGCCGGTGACCAAGGAAGTCCACAGTCCGCTGATGGAACTCGCACTTGCTGAGCTTTGCGTACAAACGGTGCTCACGCAAGCGCTGCAGCACGGTCCGGACATGTCCCTCATGGCAAGCCGGGTCACGGGAGTAAATCAGTATGTCATCCAAATACACCACCACGTACTTGTCTAACAAGTCCTGAAACACGTGGTTGATGTAGCGTTGAAACACAGCAGGCGCGTTGCACAAACCGAAAGGCATAACCAAATATTCGAACTGCCCGTACCGGGTCCCAAACGCTGTCTTCCACTCATCCCCGGCTCGGATCCGAATCAAGTTGTAGGCCCCCCGGAGGTCCAGCTTGGTGAACACCTGTGCCCCTTGCACCCGCTCCAGCAGTTCCGAGATAAGGGGCAAGGGGTACCGGTCTGGGACGGTAATTTTGTTCAGGGCTCGGTAATCATGGCAAGGGCGGAGTTCCCCACATTTCTTCTTAACGAAAAGCACTGGTGCCGCGGTAGGCGAGGTGGAAGGCCTAATGAACCCACGCTCCAGGTTCTTGCGCAAGAAGTCCTGCAAAGCCTCGCGCTCTGGCTCTGTTAGGGAATATAAGCGACTCACTGGTAAAGGCGCTCCGGGTTGGAGGTCTATGCCGCAGTCAAAAGGCCGATGTGGCGGCAGCTGGTCTGCCCCCCGTTTCTCGAACACGTCCTGGTAGTCCTGGTACACGGCTGGGAGCGTGGGTGCTGCCTCCTCTGAGGGCGCGGCCGCCAGCGTTCCGGATTGAGCATGGGAACATGGGTCTGGGAAGTGCACGGTCCGTTTGACCCAGTCAATCTGAACGCTGTGGGCTTCCAGCCAGTCCATCCCGAGCACCAGGGGGAAGCGGGGCATAGAGGCAATGTCCAAAGTCCGCAACTCCCGGTGCTGCTGGAGACACAGGACCAAGGGCTGGGTCTCCTGAGTAACGGCACCTGAACGCAGAAGTCGTCCGTCAATCGCTTCCACCTGGACCGGTACTGGCTTGTTCCAAGTGGCACCTGATGATGGGCGGCAAAAGCAGCGTCCATATAGGAGCGGGTTGCCCCTGAATCTACCAAAGCATGGGTGAGGATCCAGGGCCCACCTGGAGGGTATAAACGTACTGAAACCATAAGATGTTGCAAGTCCATTGGTGCGGGCCCATTCTGTACGGTTTGGGACCCCGGTAGCTAGGGCCATCAGCTACTGGGGTTGGCGGCTTCCTGCGGCTGGCGTTTCTCAGGGCAGGACCGAGCGAAGTGTCCACTTCCGCCACAGTAAAGACAGAGATTTCCCTCCCGACGCCGCGCCTTCTCTGCGGGGAAAGGCGTGGCCGCACTGCCCCGAGCTGCATAGGCTCCTCCGTTAAATCAGTTGTGACCGTGGGACTGCCGGAAAAGCTGGTGCCGTGAACTGGAAGTGTCGGCGACCCCGGGCCTGACGACGATCCTCCAACCGGTCGTCTATTTGTAGACTCCGTTGAATGAGAGTGTCCAGCGTGGTGGGGCGTTCCATTGTGGCCAACTGGTCCAGTACCTCGTCCGAAAGCCCTTCGAGATACTGGTCCCGCAGTGCCGAGTCATTCCAGGTCAAGTCCTGTGCCAACAGCCGAAACTCCGTGGTATATGTGGCCACCGTGGACTTGCCCTGTTTCAAACGCCGAATCGCCCGGTTGGCTTGACTCTCTTTCTGGGGGTTGCCGAACGCGGCCTCCAAACGATTGCAAAACCCCGTATAGTCTGCCAGCAAGGGGAGTCTTGCCTGAGTAACGGCAACGCCCACTTGGCCGCCTGGTCCTTTAACAAACTAATCAAAAAGTGCACCTTGGTGCGGTCGTCAGGAAAGTTCCGGGCTCGCCCCTGAATATACAGCTTGGCCTGGGCCAGGAACATGGGAAAGCTGGCCGGGGCTCCATCAAATTTCTCAGGCAAAGCCACTGGGTACTTGCCCGGAGCCGGGCGTCGGCCCCAGGAGCCGGTAGGGCTTCCAAGCGTTGCTGAAGTGCCACAACCGCGTCGCTGAGCTGCTGCACGGTGTGATTCAAGGCCTGGTTCTCCTGGGCCAAAGCCACCAGTGCAGCCGCCTGTTCAGCCATGGCCTCTGGCTCTTCCCGAACGCACCCCTACGAAGGGGAAGTGCGGGTGTGGCGGGAGCAAACTGTGCTGGTCCCGGCGGTAAGGTACCTTGGGTGTAGCAGAGTCCACACGAAGAGGGGCAAGGTCCGAGGCAGAGAGCCGGGCGGGGAACAGGAATGCTGGAACAGGAGGCTGTGCAGGGAACAGGAACACCGGATGGTCGGGAACAGGAGGCCGAGCAGGGAACAGGAGTACCGGATAGTCAGGAACAGGAAGCCGAGCAGGGAACAGGAGTACCGGATAGTCAGGAACAGGAAGCCGAGCAGGGAACAGGAGCACAGGAAGGTCCGAGCCAACAACGACGTTGCTCCCGCAACCTGGGGCCGGGCTGACTGGGCTTTTATCCTCTTCTAAGGCCAGGGGCGGTCCCGGTCCCCAGGAGCCCCGCCTCCTCTGGCCTTAAGGCGAGCACTCCTCCTGGGGGCAACCAGTTCCCTTCGCCTCTCTGCCCTAAGCCTCTGCAGATCAGGAGAGGCCGAAGGGTTACTGGGCCCTGGAGGAGGCTCACCTGTGGCCACTGAGTCATCAAGCCCCTCTGGGGCCAGAAGGGCTTCACCTGGGGCCAGCTCCTGATGCACTGCCACAGGTGCAGGCTCTTCAGCATCTAGGCCTTGCCCCAGTTCAGCCGGCCCTGGAGGCGGGGACTCCTGTGCAGGCTGGGATTCCTCTGTTTCATCCTCCGAATCGGAATCCCAGGCCATCACATCAACCAACGGCAAGTGAGATGGGCCCAGGAGTTCTCCAAATTTAACTTTGAGATTGGTTACGTGCCAGGCCCAGAGAACATTAGGGCGGACGCTCTCTCACGCAAACCTGAATATTTGGAGGGAGGAGCACCCGAAGAGAGACATGTCATTCCAGAGGACCGCTGGGTGTGTGGGGCGGCATTGGTGGGACAAAGAGAACTGGTAGAGGAAACAGAGAATGATGAATACGCCCAGAATAAGCTCAGAGGTCTTAGGGGTGAGGGAGAGGAACCAGGGGTTTCGAGGAAAGAAATGGAGCTTTGTATTACAAAGGGGCACTGTATATCCCTGAAGGAGACTTAAGGGGAGGGTACTCAAGCAGTTGCACGACAGCCCTACGGCGGGGCATTTTGGACAACACAAAACCATGTGGTTGGTCACCAGGGAATTTTGGTGGCCTAAGGTGAGGGAAGATGTACGTGAGTATGTAAGAGGGTGCGAGCAATGCCAGCGAGCCAAAGGAGAAAGGCGGGCGCCGGCGGGGCTCTTAGAACCCTTACCAACCCCAGAACGACCTTGGGAGGCAGTGTCGATAGATTTTATGACTGATCTGCCGAAGTCCAAAGGGAAAACAGCCATCATGGTGGTGGTAGACCTACTAACAAAGATGTGCCACTTTGTAGCTTGCTCGCATGCAGTCACGGCGGAAGAGACAGCGAAGTTATTTGTAGAACACATTTTTAGGTTGCACGGGGTGCCATTGAGGGTGGTCTCAGACCGAGGGAAACAATTTACTTCCAGGTTCTGGAGGAAGCTCATGAGCTTACTGCAGGTGGAGGTCAATTTTTCGACTGCCCGGCACCCTGAAACCAACGGGCAGGCGGAAAGAGCAAACGGTGTCCTCCAGCAATACCTGAGGTGTTATGTCAATGACAGAGAGAATGACTGGGTAGAAAAGTTGGCGCTGGCGGAATTTGCCTACAACAATGCCGAGAATGTGTCCACAGGGATGAGCCCCTTCTTGGCTAATTATGGGTGTCATCCCAGGGCTTTCCCAGGTGGAGATGGGGAGAGATGGAGCGTCCCGGCAGCCGAGCATTTTGTGGAAGAAATGGAAGCAATCCATCGTCAGCTCCAACTCAACTTAGAAAGGGCGAAGGAAGAATACAAGAGGCAGGCAGACAAGAACCGAAGGGAAGGTGTAACCATAAGGGTGGGAGATAGGGTGTGGCTGTCAACCCAAGGGTTGCCGTTCAAAGGAGGTTGTAAGAAATTAAGACCCAGGAGGTTGGGTCCCTTTGAGGTCATTCAACAGGTCAACCCAGTGGCTTTCAGGCTCCGGTTACCCAACCACATGAAACTGCACCCAGTATTTCACAGGTCGTTACTGTCACCGTACGAAGGGGGACGAGAAGGGATGGCCACTCGGGGACCGGTCATAGAAGAAAGAGAATGCAGCAGCCATGTAGCAGAAATCCTCGACGCCAGGTGGAAGGGGGATCAGGTGGAGTATTTGGTAGCGTGGGAAGGAGAACCGGAGTCAGAAAACACTTGGGTAATGGCCGAAGATATCAATGACGAGGTATTGATAGAAACGTTCCATCAAAGGTTCCCAAGGAAACCTCAGCCTGTGGAGAGGTTCCGGAGGGAATACTTTGGGACCACTGATGAGGAGGAGGAGTTGGAAGGATTCCCGGACTCGGAAGGGGAAGGGGAGATGGACTCTGAGGAGGAGGAGTACTTTGAGACCAGGAACCGCAACAGGTGGAGAGAAGTGTTCGAGACATCGGAAGATGAAGGAAGTTCATTCCGGGGTTTTGCCTCCTCACCGCCCGTAGAGGAGGGGGCGAGAGGGGTGAAAGGGGCCCTGGAGGGGGAGGTGGATGTCAGGGAACTGCCATCGGAAGGAAGGGAGGTGAAAGGGCTCACACAGGTTGGGAGAGACTCAGCAGCTGAAGAGGGAACCAGTAGGGGAGAGGAGCTGAGCTGAGGGAAAGTGAGCTGGAGGGATGGCTCAGAGACACTTCCAGCGAAAAACAGTGGGGAGGTTTCAGGACCTCCTGTAGGAACACCCACTCCTCGCCGGAAACTGTCACGCAGAGAGTCCAGAAGACGTGTTTCCGTTAAGGAGCTTTTATGTTGGAAGCGATTCAAAGCAACCACTGTCGGAATCTGCTAGTGACTAGAGGAGCCATGTCTGAGGGGCTCCGTCACAGACAGAAGTTTGTGGACTTGAACAAACTCTGAGGGGATACTATTTTACGCACAAGCAGCTCATCATCCCATCACACCCCATCTTAAACTATAACTTTTGCTGATCAAACTGATCAAGGCTGCAACCAAATACATCTAGAATTATGCCCCGTTGAACACAGTGGGGTTTACTTTTGAGTAAACATGCATAGGCCTGTACTACAATTTACAGCCCTAGAAATAACATAGAATAATACTTTAGCAAAAGATGCCGAAAAGACAGTAATGATTCCAAGGTAGTGTTGGGCAGAATTAAATCTGAGGTACAATGAGATTAACTTCAATAGAATTGAATGTGACCAGAGGCAATTTTCATGCTAACAATATTCCTATTTTTATTTTCTGATGCAAGATGTAACATTAATAGCAAAATCTGATGCATGTATATTAAAAAGTCCCACTCTATTCCATAGCACATTCTGCAAAGTAACTATCCATAGGACTGCAGTTTTATTTTTTCCTCTTTCATTACTTTGTTTAGGTGTCTTACAGGATCTAAAGAATACTTGGTATTTCTAAGAATCGTAAGACTTTACCTACCGTTTCATCTCATCCTTGCTGGTATCAAGGTAGCATCTTAACATGTGAAACTCTGCTCCACAAGACAACAATATAAATGTATCTATATAATAAAACTGTGCTGATCGAATGGATTTATGAAACATTTCCTTTCCCTAAAAGTAAAATATATATAATTAACTATGTATACTGTATAATTTTCCGTCAGAAAAATACAGATGGTTTCTTTATGGCACACTGTCAGATTACTTCTTTTGTTAATTTTCTGACTAACAGGTGATTTCTCTAAATTACAAATCTTGCTTCATCTCACACCGTTGTCCATTTCTTTATAATTACTATTAAATTAGTCAAGGCCTAAAGCCCTAAGAAAATACAATGTCACTCTGAAAATCCAGTCATTTACAAAGAATCTAGTCTGACTTCAGTGCTCTTTCCCACAATAACATCACATCACAAAAATTACAATGTCCTGAATGCCAATCTCTCCTCAACCTCTTTGACACACACAATCAATTTCTTCTTCTTTGCATTCTCTATATTAGAGGGGGAGAACTCTTTTTCAGCATGAGGGCTACATTCCCTTCTTGGCAACTTTTATGGAGCCACAAGCGAGCATTGGGTGGGGTCAGAAGCAAACATGGACAAATCTTAACAAATCTAAAATTTACCTTTGTGTGTAGACTACGCACGCGCACACACACCTCTTTCTCCATTCCAGGCAATGGCCCATGATGGAAGTGGAGCATTGTAACAATTTAGCAACCATTTTGAAATACCAGAGAACTTCGAGGCGAGTGGCACTCAAGTCATAAAGTGCTCATGAATTACAGAACACACAGTTTTATGTGCTTGATAATTTCAGTGCCATCACTATTGCTAACTAGAAGTGTTAAACTATCCTAGAATTTTTTTCACAATTACTAAGGTGGCAATTGGAAATACATTCCAAATGATTTTGGGGTCATAGAGAACAGGCGTCATAGAGAACAGTACCCCAAATCTATCTAACTGGCATGAGATGTTTATTACCAGACATAAAGCAGGTTCTGCACTGCCGACTGACCAGATCCTTAATGTTCTGTCTTCAGAAGATGAAACAAGCCAGTTGTTGTCATGGCTCCAACCAACTGAGTTAACGGCACCATCATGCCCTAAAAAAATAAAGAAAAAATGTTTTTGGAAAACAGGTCTGTCATACATTCCTAATAAATCAGAAGACTTTCCCCCCCAGAAAGATCATTGTTCATCTAAGAAAATTCTTATATATAATAATGTATGAATGTATGTGGAGATATAAAGAGGGGTTTTAAATAATTAAATGAAAATTTCAATCCACAAAGGAAAATACAGTGGTACCTCAGGTTAAGTACTTAATTCGTTCCAGAGGTCCATTCTTAACCTGAAGCTGTTCTTAACCTGAAGCACCACTTTAGCTAATGGGGCCTCCCGCTGCTGCCGCGCTGCCGGAGCAAGATTTCTGTTCTCATCCTGAAGCAAAGTTCTTAACCTGAGGTACTATTTCTGGGTTAGTGGAGTCTGTAACCTGAAGCGTATGTAACCTGAGGTACCACTGTAATGGATTTTCTATTGACTAATAAGATACCTATTCTTCTTCCTGCTGAGGTGGACTTAGGGAGACCTGGAATCAGTGTGGAGTTAGCCATCTCCCTTATTTGTCAAAATTCCCATCCTGGACAACTAAACTGCTTCAGAAATGCCAATTACAGAGATTGTTCAGCAGAGAGGAAGGGCAAAGTAGGGATTCATCGGCCTTACCAATAAATCCCTTTTCTTTTTGTTGCAGTGTACAGTTTCACCCTCCAACTTGAATTCCTCCTTCTTATAGGTTTAGGTATCCTCAGGCCACATACAGGCTACATTTTTCCCTGTAAGCTAAATATTTTAGTGAGAAGAGATGACTTGCTCATTCTTCATTTTGTTAATTCTCATGTCCTGATACTGTCTTTCTTGTAGAACTTTATTTGGCCAAAACATACTTGTCCAGAGGAGAGGCCATTAGCAAATCCGAGACTGACCACAACATGCCGTTAACCAAATATTTATATAAATTTCCTATTATCTAGGGAAATCAATTTCTAGTACTGGAATGCAATCAGTAAAATATGCAATGGCATAATGCTTCTTTCTGAATCCACTAGGATGCCTGGTTTAACAGGCATGGAAACTAAAGTTAAATAGCTAGTATCTATGTATTTTTCCATTTCTGCAATTGCAGTCTGAGCTGATTTATAATGAAACAAGTATTACTACACATAAACAAATTTTTTTGTTTGCCCTTCATGAAAATGTCTCAAGGCAATTACACATCCCAGAATTTCCCAGTATTGCCAAACATTCTTATGGAAAATGTGACACCTGAGAAACCAAGAAAATGGAATTTCCCAACCCCACTTAAAGCATCTCTACAGCCTAGGATGTGGGGAAAGAAACAAGAATAGCCTGATTCTGCCCACCTGCCCACAGCTGACTCTATTTAAAAACAATTTATTATTATGAAAAATTCTGAGGCAGAGATATAAATACACATAGCAAAAGTATGAATTTGTGACACACTTGTTCTTGTTTTTTCAGAAGTCTAGGTTTAGAATCAGAGAAGTCTCAGAATGTTTTACTTTATACACGTCAGTAATATGTTTAACAGAATATACAGTGCAGTTGGAATTTTACCATGATGAACAGGAATATATTCCTTAAATTTTATTTCAAGTATAAAGATTGCTTCCGACTACAGTTTGTTTTAGCCAGGCATTCTGATATAAATATACTGCAAATTGGTAGCAGTATAAAAGCATGGTTAGCCTAAACGTGTTGTTACTACAGTGTTAAATGATGCCCTTTATTGTGCTTCACATGCAAATCAGAGTTGTAACTGAACTGCAAGTTTCATCAACACTTATGGAAGAAATAAACTTCTCTCTTTACAAAGGGAAGACTGGCATTGTAGAACATTAATTTAGCAACTTCAGTTCAGTGTGGCCACTTCATTTTTCAATCCTATAAACTGTAAACAAATTCAAAGTGTTAAAAGAGCCGATCTAACATCCCATTGTCATAACCCAGCACATATCATTTACAAAGATGAAAACTGTTAATGTTAAAGATATAGTATTTTAAAGTCCTAGACTGCCCCCTGGTGCACTGAATTTAAATTTGCAATATACATGTATGCATTTCATTTATAAATTTATACGCTGATTCTCCATTTTTGTCACAACCAATCTCCATAAGCTATGAACGACGGGTTTCAGTGAGTTTTCAAGGGGGGATTTTTGAGATGGGGTAAACCTACTGGAAGCAGTGGGAGATCTTCTTTGGGGCATTGCTAACCAACAGCCATTATCGTTCTTCCCAGGATCCCCTGGAAGTGGTGTCATTCCAAGGCATTCTAGGTTAAGGTGGGGACTCCACTGGCAGCCCCTGGGGGGGAACAGCCACAATTTCCCCATGGGATGCCTTAGACAAGGCACTGTTCCCGAGCTTTTGGAATGACAGGAGGCGGCAGCAGAGGGTATTGTAGTCTGGTAGGCAGGCACTGAGAGCAGCTCTGCTGCTGCTGAGCTGGCGAGACTAACAGGGAAAATTCAAAACCAGCAGGACCAGATTTTCCTAAAGGACTGGAAGAAATTTATGTTGTATCTGGAAGACAATTGTAATTACTTAACATCGCTTGTAGGGTTACAAGAAGTTTTGTAAGGAGGACTTTATAAATTATTGGGAAAAGCATTAAGATTAGCTGGTGTAAGACTGGATTTATAGCAATAAGCACAGTAATAAAATGCAAAATCAGAAAGAAATGTAGAAAACCATTAGAAGGGGTCTTAGGCTGTGATAGCCGAAGATTTGTTATATTGCTTTGCAGTTGTTATGTTGGAAAATTTGTGCAAAAATAAAAAAGAGAGCAGCTCTGCTGCTACCACCAGCAGAGAAGCCCACACCTCCAAGGAAATTCTGCTTACACAGCCCCTGTAAGCTCCCTTCAAACCTTTTCAGTGATTTAATCAACCCCTGAAAACAAACAGAAGAAAATTTCACCTTCCAGTCAGGTTTAGCAATATAAGACAAAATAGGCAAATTAGTGGAAATGAAACCGAGCATGGTGGGCTTCAAGGTTCTAAAATGAAAAAGAAATCATAGCAATAATATACAGTACTAGCGCTAAAAACAGGTAGCATAGTAAAAATGACATTTGCTTAAAGTGCTGTATCTTGCACTAATAGGAAGTAAACAGAAGACCTAAGACTGAAAGAGGCTGGAATTAATTTACCTGAATAAACTGTTGGTGTTCCTGTAAGATTTGAATTGAATGCCAGCAAAGTTTTGTCAGCCAAGCCACAAGCCAACAACTCTCCATCCCCTGTAAGAATAAGGAGTATAGGAACTTAATCTGATAATTCTAAACCAAATCTAAACCAATATACCAAATCATTTTTTAAAAAAATATTGTAGTTATATATACGCTGCATTTAAAGAATTCCTCAGAAGTCAATGGGATGTATTTCTGTGTAGACATGTACAGGATTGTGTAGTCAATGCTGAAAATCAAGGCAGGCTTGCTGTCTGAATGAACCTTTATGAGCCCTATGTACGTAAAAATGATGTTTAGCAGGTGAATGCTGCAGACATCTAACGTAATGCATGAACATTTTTCTGTACCTGAATACTGAATACAGCATATAGAAGTTGGCTTATCAGCTACGATAATCTGTCTCTCAGATTTGTTTGGAGGAATGTTGACACGTGGATAGTCTTCCTTATTTCGTCTTCAATGGTAAAGAAACAGGAGAACATTTAAAAAGATAAATGACAAACTGTGATGTACACTTAAATGTATTACCATTGAATTTACAATATTTTCTCATTAACAAGTGTTGGTGTAATAGAAGTTACATACTGCTAAAATAATTTTAATGCCTCTTTTATTTGGAATCTCCCCCCCACTGTGTAAATGCAGGATAATACTAGTTCTGCTTCAGTGTCATTAATGCATTTGTTCAGACATGTCAGTTTTATTGCTTACCGTTTGCAACTTCTCTTGCACTTCAGTTCCAGATTGTTTTGCTTTGCATTGGTCTTTGGAGAGAACATGGTCATTCTGCAGTGGAAAACAGTGGGCAATAGTTCATAGGGCCAAACAAGACCTGACAAGAAATGTCTCTTTGCATTTAATGTATAGGTTTGTAAAAGTGTAAATACATCGGGAAGGGTACCATGTTTTCCTAGCTCACTAGAGACAAGTGAAAATAATGCAAACGTCCAGTAACTTCATTTTCTATGGATTACGAAATGATTGTAACATTTTGGTGTTACTGTTACAACAGTGAGCTGAATCCAAAAGTTCTCTTCCTCAAGAGGAAGCTTCTTCTTTCAGAGGAAGGGAATTCTTGCATTCAAACCCATTAAATAAGCAATCAGAAATAACCGCCTCAGTATAGGAATATCAAAATCTAAGTTACACAGACAAGCAGGCTAGCAATACACATATAGCCACTAACTCATATATAGCCATGCTATGATTCTGAAGGGATGCAGAAAGAGCGCAGGAATCTCAGAAGACGGAGATTTCCAAATAAATTATGAAAAATAGTGCTATTTGTAGACCAAGCTATGCAGATTTTGCTAAAATTGCATAATTTTAGACTTACAATTTTAATTTATTTGTGAATGTGCCAGTTTCCCAAACAAGCATTTCTTTAAACCTTAGTTTTAATAGTGTCAGACTAATATTTTTTACTCTTTAGCCCATTTTACATTACATTTTCCATATGTCAAATATGCTGTGACAGTCATGCAGCTTCTCTTTCTACAATAAAATTTAAAAATCAATCTTAAAACACTAAAAATAATTACATAATATGTACTCACTGTGGCGCTGATGTGTAACCTGAGGACTTAATTTTATTATGGAAGACCAGCGGCTGATCTTTTATTGGGCTTTTTGTACCTGAGTTTAAAAATACATACAAAAATAGATAAATAAATAAATAAATAAATAAATTGTTATAATTACAACTATATAGTTGTAATTATAAAATAGTTAATAATTACAACTAAGAAACAATAAATAAATACGTTTTAACAATCACAGTTACAGATATGGATACCCAGGAAGTTCAGGTTACTTTGTTTCAGCTTTTAAGATGTTGAACTTCTGCTATATAATTCTGTCTTTTAAAAGCATAATTATTTTTAAATTGAACAAACAGGATGCTCTGAGCAACAGGCCTGAGTTCCAGAGATGTAGTAATGCAAATCTACAGTCCCTGTTTGTGTAGCCTCTCTCACTGCTTCAATTGAGGGGAATGTTTCCATAAGTATTTATTTTGTCTCCAGTGCAGGGAGCATTAATATTATTTTATTTCTTATACACCACCCTTCCTGAAATGTCCACAGTGACTAATAATAAAAATAATACAAAAACAAAACTAAATATCATATCCTATAATGTCAGTATTACATTATACATAAGATATACCCACGATGTTCCAGAAGCCTACAGGAACAAGTAGGTTTTAAGGTGTCAACTGAGAAAAAATAATGGGCGGGTCAGCCTGATCTCAAGATGGAGGAGGTTTTAGAGCCAGGTACCATCAATGACTAGGAAAAATCTTGCATCAAGTAGAACTCCACATGTGCATGATCTTGCATCCAGAAATTATTGCTGGATATAGTGGAATAATCTGATCTTACATCAACTTACCTGGGAGTATCTTCTACCAAAACATTTATAAATTAATATTTAAACCAATTCTTCAGTCCAAAAACCTCAAACCAGCTAACAAAGTCAGCAATAAAAACAGAAGAGAAAGAATAACACAGCCCCAGAAAAACAGACAGACAGACAAATGATGACTGGTACCACCCCAGATACCTAGTCTGATGCCAGCTGTGTTCCCAGGTGGTACTGGGTCTTAACCCATCCCTTTTGGATGCTTCTTCACCCCAAACAAAGAATAGCTATTTATAAATAAGTGCCAAACTAGTTGAAAGTTTACCAAACTTACCTTTTTTACTTACAAGTTGGCTTTTTTCTTTCTTCAGGCACAAAGGAGAGGTTGGCAGAAGAGAGCACCTAAGAAGAGACACACTTCCTTACCTGGGCTTTGGACGCAGGAGATGTGCATTTTTAGGACCCACCGTGATTTTGTAATCGTATGCTGTTTTAAATTGTTTTTAACACTGGGCTTCAATTGTTGTAACCACACTGGGATCTTAGAGTAAGGGTGGGTTAACAACAACAACAACCAAACAAATCAAACAAATCAGAACTCATATATATATATATATATATATATATATATACACACCCACACACACACACACACACACCATTTATGAAAGAGCAGTACTTGCGACTTTGTGTCACTGCTAGAAACATTTATTTCCAAAAAAGATCAGCTCCTCTCATGAGCTTGAAGATCAATACTTGAAGCTGGTGATTACAACCCATCAACCCAGAAAATCACAGGAGTTGTAATTTCACTTGATAAAATCCGGGGCAGTATTCGGGTATCCCATCCTTTCCCACCATTTAAAATTAGCACAACATGGTGGTACGTATCAATCAAAAAGTCACATTTTCATTATGCAGCAGGTAATGCCATGTAAAAGGAACATTGGCATCTGGAATAGAAGCACTAATGCTACAATCCCCACATCTGAATGTACCCTATAGCTAACAGTTTATCTTCTAACCTGTTACAGATGCTAGCTGTATGGTGGAACTGGTAGAGATTCAAATAAAACCAAGTGACTTAATGATTCATTACCTGGCAACTACAGAAAGGCCTTTCTCACTTCCACTTAAATGGAGTTCACTCTGCTGGGATCTCAAGAGGGCAGCAACATTAATCTCCAGTAAGGCAATTCTATTCTCAAACATTGAAGTTAGCAAACAGAACACCTGCAGAGACATGTCCATGAAGCATTTCTCCCTTCAAACCAAAATAACGCCAACATAGTAAACAGTAATCAGTGGTTTGTAACCTAATATCTGTGGGCGGAGTTCGGCTCATGGAACAGGACTTTCCCATCTCCCCTTTCTGTGCATCCCCCTCAACACCTCTAAAATCCACTCCTTTGGGGTAGGAATCCCTTTGGGACAATGTGGGATGCAGTGTGCAGGGATGCAGAAGGGTGGGGAAATTGGTGAAAATCAGGAATCCTCACACAGGAGACCTTTGGATCCAAGCCATTAGAATTAGTAAGACACGGGCTATTTCAGTGTCATGCATGTGTGTCTGAAGCTCTGCATTCATTTTACTTGAGACTTGTCTACACCAGAATTCACTGTCTGTTTGCAGCTGTTTGCCTTTCCATTTAATCTGCATAGTCCACATGACATTAGTCTCCAACAGCACCAGTCTTGATGCTTCCCCCCTGTAAACTGAGGTTTACCTGATATGGGGATACTCTGATGAACAGGGGAAACTGAACAACAAATTTGAGGTCACATACTATTTGTTTCAATGTTTCTGGTTGGATGGCTCAATCCCTGCTGTCTACTACTCCCTTTTTCAAGCCTATCCAAGCCTACTACTTCCTCAATTCTTTCATTTCTTTTCCATTTGTACCCCTATTTCCAGGGCACTCCTGAACAGAAGACTGTAGCCTTATACATATTTTAATTGTTATCCCTCGTATTTGCACAAAACTAGAAAACTGCACAAGCAAATTCACATTTGTCTGACTGTGTGCTTTTGCACATTTCTTGGTTGGGGAAGTGTTTTCTAAAAGATAAAAAATAAAGATCCATGCACAACTATATACACACATGCCCTGTTGGTGCTTTATTAGCATAATAAAATCAACAAATGAGAAGGCAGGGACAAACACAAAAGGGAATGCCTACTGGTATGAACAAGAAAGATCGAAGTTGCTCTGCATATACAAACTTGTGGTGTAGACTAATTCAAATAGGAAAAATGTGGATTGACAGCTAAATAATGCTCAAAGGCAGAGAATCGCAGATACTTTGGATAGCAAAATTGGAAAATATTTATGCCTTAGGTCTGGGAGAACTGTAGCTGATTAGCGCTAACACAACAGAGCCAGTGATATAAACCAACAGCATAATTCTTTTTTTATTAGTAGTGTGCCACAAATGTGAGGTTTGCTTTCCCCCCAAATTTATGGTTCCTCTAAATTTTCAGTTTCAAGGAAGAATAAACTGTGCTATAAACAATAAAAAAAATAAGATTTAAAAATAATTTCAATACTGTACTCACCTTGCCATTGATTGCCTTCCTCATCAAAGCACATGATCCAGCAAACTGAATGCTGAGGGCACTGAAATCTTTACACACAAAAACCCCAATGTTATAAAACATTTTTTTCCTTTGCTAATATAGAAAAGTTCCACATTAAATTAAATACTGGCTACAAATATTTCATCATATGTATGGTAAGTCAATATAATTCCACTGATTTCATCAACCTAATGCCAACGCATAAACTTCCAGTGCAATAACAAGCCAAACCTGCTAGCACACAAGCACACCTCTGTAATTCTAACTAGCTAGTAGAAACAGAAACAAGACAGTCACACATGAACAATCAGCTTTGGGTTGATGTTTGCGCAACAGAACCTCTCCCTCCTTTCCTGTCCCCTGCAGCTCTCTGCCCATCAGCAAAATCTGCTCCAAAGGGGCAGACTTTGAGGAGCACACAGAGGGAGCAGAGAAAGGAGAATATCTGTTGTGCAAATGGAACTCCGCTTAAGCAGTAATGGACTTTCCATGTGTAAATCACACCAAGCTGTAACAATAAATTATCATACCTCTGTAATGTAAAACAGCTTCCAACTCAAAATTTGCCACGTTAATTATGAATAAACCAGTAGAGCTTCCTATCCACAAGCATCGGGCATTCACAGTAGGCAAACTAATTGAAAATAAAAAGAGAAATAGAGTATCTACTTTAAAATAAAAACAAAAATCTGGCATTCTCTTCATTATAGATACAATGAGGTATTTTTAAGTTTTATAGCTTTTATACAGATAACTCATGATGTGAGCTGGATAATAAGCACACATGAACATGTGTTCTTCCTTTCAATTAGGAACATTTAGGATTTCAGAAAGGGTATCTCCCAATCCTATCTCAATATATTGATGATTGAACCTAGGACCTTCTGCGTGCAAAGCAGATGTTCTACTACTACTAAGCTATAGCCTGCACTTTAAAGTATGTTTATGTTTATGTTTAAAAAGAAAGGTGAAGTGTCAAGATGATGAGGGAGGTTAGGGGAAAACAGAGTGGTTTTACGTGGCTCATCAGCTGCATAGATATAAATGAGCACTGACATGAAGATAGAAATTTAAGGTTAGGAGTTATGATGCTTTAAGTGTGCAATTTTATTTGTAATTTGCTTATTCAAGGGTTTGACACTACACATTATTAAAATGGCATGCATGTCCTCCGTACAATGTCTTCAGGTTATTACAGCAAGGCTGTAATACAGCATTAAAAAGTCATCACCTACTATAAAATATTACCTACACAAAATACCTTTATATGATTTTCTAATTCTTCTTATTATTCCCTTTTACATGACATACAATTATCAAGCAGTGAATGAAAACTTAGTGCACTTACCTGTGTTCTTCATCACCTACATTTGTCGACTTGTCACAGAGTTCAATTCTGAGAACTGGAAAGGTAGTTTCAACTGTTTCTTCTTCCCTTAAATTATTTGAAGTATATGCCTTAGAAGGATTCTGAATCTCATCTAGGGAAAACAGACAATGCCTATTAAACTAGAAACAAGTTGCTTAAGACATTTAATGAAAGCTAGAAGCAATAAGCTAAGTTCATAGCTATGCACTGCTGCTATATAACTCATCTGGCAGAGCTGTCTAGCCTGGGAAACTTGTGCTAGCAAAACACAGCTCCAAATTAGCTTCGATAATTCTCAACTAGTATAAGACAATTTCTGTGTAGTACTATCTATCACAGCACACAGCAGGAGACGGTATCATACTGTCAATTGAATGTGACTACTTTGGAGCTGACAAAGTTCACACATATTCACATTATAAGTAAAGGCCTCCTTCAAGATCAGTCTTTCTGAGCTGTCTATTTTGGAGGCCTTCTTGATTTGTGTGCCTGTATTATCAATTCCTATGACATCTGGATATAAAGTTAATCCAGATTCGTAAAAAGTATCTATATGAAAAATACATTTTAACCATGTCATTGGCTAACTAGTAATATTTTAAAATGTATTCCAGAAGCATCATGTTACCCAATTGTTCGGATTTCCTTATTTTGTTGTAAAACTTCTCTCTCTCTTTCTTTATATTTATTTGTACCACACAGCGATACTGATGCCCGCTATTCAAGCTGAAGATCCAAAGCTGAAAGAGAGAATAAAACTATAAACTAGCTTTCTGCACTTCTCTTTTAATAAGTAAATGTTTCTGGTATTATCATCTTAATTCAGTGGTGTGGCCAAATACCAAAACCTATAAATATAACAAAGTTCATCTCAAACATAAATTTCCATATTCTCCAACTTGTTCAGGAAATTGTATTTTGGCAACCAACTTTTCTCAGGCAATCAGCTCAAGTTGACTGTCTTTGATTTGGGCTAGATTTCTTCCTATATACCAGGCTTCCTCAGCCTCAGCCCTCCAGATGTTTTTTGGCCTACAACTCCCATGATCCCTAGCTAGCAGGACCAGTGGTCAGGGATGATGGGAACTGTAGTCTCAAAAATATCTGGAGGGCTGAGGTTGAGGAAGACTGCTATATACATTGTGTAGATCCCATTGGAGGATTTGTAGTGCCTCATCACAATTTAGGATTTGCATAATGTCTGGGGAGGAGAACAGAGCAAAAGAGAAGTTAGGTTGCACAACAGCAATGGCCATGACATAGGAGCAAAAAGGGAGGGACAAACAGCAGAAGTTTAAGTAAAGCTGGGGTGAGAGAAAAATGGCAGTTTTAAACAGCAGAGATTTGAACAAAGCAGGGATGGAGGGACACAGAGTAAAATGGCAGTCTTAAACACCAGAGGCTTGAGTAAAGCACGGATAGAGGGGCACACAGTAAAATGGCAGCTGTAAATAACAGCAAATGTTTGAGTAAAGCAGGGATACAGAAGTTGGAAACAGTGCTTAGTACTCAAAATGTGTGTGGGGAGGAAGAGGCAGAAACTTAACACGTGGATAATGTGTGTGCAAAGCAGGTTGCACAAAAGGAGCTGAGAGGAGGCATGAACATACGGATGTAGGTGAAAACAGGAGTATAAAACTCAAATTACAACATGTCAAATTCCCAGAATGCTTCTTACCTGTCCATCTGCACATCCAGTGATAATCTGTTTATTTTCTTCATCAATGAAGAGACTCAGAAGAGGAAATGCTGGAGAAAAGAGGCAGATAAGAAGCACAATATGGGAAAGAAAAAGAAATAAGAAACCACTGGGCCTAAACAGAAAATCCTCACTATCAAATCAATACAACAGTAAAACACAGAAATCAAAAATAATTAATACTCAATATAATTTTGCATCCCAATATAATGCTATTTTATGGATACAGGAACTCCATAGCACACATAGCTGCAACATCTGTCCCATTCATTTCTATGTAGGTAACAGATGCAATTGAGATCTGCTGCCTCCACTGAAATTAACAAGATGGCACTTTGGAATGGAGAAATTCTACATATGCACGAAAATATACGTGAAGACTCTGGGTCATGGCAACTATGGTAAGTACAATTACTGCTGTCACTGGGAGTAGCATGGAGAATGGGAGTAATGATATGGAACTGAATGCATATTGCATCGTGTTGTTCTAACAATTTATTTTGTTGTTTTCATCCAAAAATAATATTGGAATGGATTAAAATGCTCATCTCTTATGTCAAGTATTATTCTATATGAAAAAGAGGTTGGTTGATACTGATTCATTATTTTTAAAAGCATACCTGTTATTACTGCTGACTGATATATTAACAGTCCAGTACAATAGTCCCATACCTTTTGGAGGGAAAAACATGGTAACGTATAAATGTCAGTTTATATAATAATGAATGTAACCAATGTAATACTTTATAAAAGCCATTTGATTTTTCTGTTGATTCCATGGGATGGGAACAGAACCCCACAGACCAAGCAATGCAGAAAATTTAATTATGACTGAACAGTAGCATTCACTTTTAATATCTGATCATGGAAAGCAGATTTGAAGATTATATAGTATACCCAGTCTTTATTTTCCTTCTTCTAATTAGAATATTCTTTATAGTAAAACAAAGCACATTAGCACTATATGTTTAAATATTTAAGTGCTTCTCCTTTTGTCTTAACATCATACTAAGCCTCATAGCCTGAGCCAAAATAAAAATATTTTTAAAAAAAACACCAAAAAGAGAATTTCCTTGCCTTAAAACTTCTGTCTTCAGAAACTGATATAAGTCTATTTTTTTCCCAAGAGCAAAACTCAGCAGCAGTCACTGGAGCCAAGTGACCCTCCAATTCAGCAAGTATAGCCTCATCCTGCAATTGATCCCAGAAGAAAAACAGATAAAATTTCAAAATAAAATTGGTAGTGTTTGATCCCAATAAATGTGAGAAGTTCAAGTAATGTACTTGTCCATCACTTGTGAAAAATACAGCTACTTGATGGACCAGAGTACAACTTGCTTTCAAATGATTTCTACTTCTTTGATGGCACAGATAGCTATATTTCAATATCACACTGTGGTATGTTTGACAACATAGGCTCTCACCTTTGCATTTAGCATGTATATCCGATTGCCAGCACATACTGCCACTGTCTCATCATCTGGACTAAATCGCACATAAAGCACCATTCCCAAAAGTGTTCCTATAACAATGCCTTCTGGCATTACCCCTGCAATATTTGAAACATAACACTAAATTATTATGACTATTTGACAAAACTAAAACTTCAATAGTTATGTGAAAGCTAGTTATTTTTAATAGCAAACAACTTCATATATATTTTTAAGCTGGCTAATTAACATACTGATTTCTGAAGCAACGTAGGCTGCAGTCCTAACCATGTCTGCATAGAAATAAGTCCCACCTAATTCAATAGAGTTTACTTCCAGGTAAGTGGGATTAGGATTGCAATCTATACAATTCTACTCAGAAGTAAACCCTACCTACTCTCAAGTAAATGGACAGAATTACAGCCAAAAACATACAAAAACCCCCTCTGTACCATTGTTATTTTTTCCCCTTCTGCAATACAGCAAAAGACTAAAGTAACAGAAATTAGAAGTTTAAAACTCAACAAAACCTTCACTCAGCATCTCCCACAACCATGGAATCTTCCCTCTTGATAAGCTCCTTTTCACAAGCATAAATCGAGGCTGGTTAGGAGAATGCCGCCCACTGAATTTTTATCACAAAGTGTTCACCTTGTAAAAACTTCTTCATGCATTCATCCAGATTCCACACTATTACGTAGTCCCGTGAAGCGGAGCAAATGAGGAGTGGATTGTCTTTGCTCCCAAATGCCAATGCAGTAATTGAATGGTGATGACCTAGTAAGTGTAATGGCTGACAAAAGAGTATTTGGTAATTTGAAATAGATATAAAATACGCAGCCAATCAATCAGTTTCTTCCAAAATATTCATTTTAGTTATACAAACTATCTCTTGATCTCAGAGTGATTTATAGAATTTAAATACAAACATTTCAAACATATATAAAAATATAAACATACAGCTAAAATACCTCCAGTCTAAGAACCAACTAGCAAATATCTGCCCGTTTTTAAAGGCGTAGCTTTTTCAGGGAAAGCTACTCATTACTGAGGACCAATGTGGCTGCTAATTTTATTAGTATCAAATATGGCTATCAAATAAAGGCTGCCCTTGCTTTTTCACCCCAGATTGTAGTGACTACCCCTTCTGGCTCATATACTATATTGTCTCCTAAGCACTGTTTCCATTCATTTTCAAAGAATTTGCACAGGAGTACTGCACAGTGGGTTGCATTCTTTGGAACATTGTTATTGTTCTTGTGACTATACATCTTACATGCCAATCTTATGGATTCTTGAACATAAACTAAATCCTCAGAAAGAACTAAGTTTTCAACCTGGCGGTCAGGATCATCAGTAGTATTCAAAATACAAAGCTCATTCCCATTCAAAGGAAAAGCACAGTAATGCATGCTACAAGCAAGCTGGACATGTGATTCTGGCACTTTGGATCTAAAAACTTGTTTTTCAAGAACAATGCTGCTGCTACATCCTTCTTCAGCAAAACAGAGGTCCACAGGGCTTTCCATTGGACAGCTGAAATAGACACCAAATTAGCATTTAATTAGAAATGTCTCATTCATTGGATAGCAGCTACATTTATAATATTTTAAAGTATTTATGATGTTGAAGTAAAATATTTATGATATTTAATAGAAGGACAACATGGCTAAATCATCACAAAATTATTGACCCCTTTATTAAAGGATAATAAATATGCAAGAGTAAGTCAAGGGCAAAGCCTCACAGAACGCATAGGCATGACTTTGCAGAGAAGAATTCAGACCCATCATCTGCCATGAGCCGGGAGGGGGGGGTTAGCTTTGGGAGGATTTAGGTATCCTGTGCCCAGTTCTGCCAGCAGAGTTGCTCAGTCATCAGCAAGGGAGACCCAGCAGCAAGGAGTGCTCCAATGCACCCACCTATTTCAACCTGGTCTGCAAAACCCCCCAAAAGAAATGAAATTTTGCCCAATTTGATTTCAAACCATGTAGGCAAATGAAGTGTTTGTCTTCAGATCAGGGTTTGCAGGTGCTGCTGACCAGCTGATAATTTACAATGCAAATCTTTACATCAAACACTGCTGCTTACCAGTTCCAGTTAAAGTACTGCGATGTCTCAAGACAGTCAAACTTTATCCATTTCCAAGAGTGTAATGTTTAGGACTGCCACATCACCATGACTGTTTGGTTTTCTGGTTTGTTTTCCTTTCTTGAAAAACCATAGTCTTCATCCAATCATACACAACTGGATGAACACAGAATGCTGGAACTTCAGTTGTGCATTCCATTTTTGCCCATTTTTTATTTTGAAACAAAACGTAGACAAGCTGAGCTTTGTTGCCAAAGATGGGTAACTGTGAAAAGAGAACTGCTGGTGATTAAACTTCTAAAAAAGCAAAGAGGATTAGACAGTTTCAAGTCCCTTGTTGGCAACAACATAGCAAAAGCTGACAACAAAGGATTTCCATCAGTGTTGCCAGACAGGCAACAATTCTCTTATATGTAAAACAATTCAGACTTTTTAAATTTTATCTTCAGTGCCAGCATCCTACAAGAATTCAAGCTTGTTCACTGCAATGCTGTACTAAATTATTTTGGCATCAGCTTTGTATGGGAGGACAGAACAGTATTTACTTTCCAGGGTGGCTGGTGAGTCTCAAGCAGACAAGTGTGTGAGCAGGGGCAGGATTTTCTCTGCAAGTGCTGGCAAGGGAGTCGCGGATCACTGTGCTGTAAGGAATTTCAGCAGCAGAAACAGAGAGCAGGAGAGGGGCTTCCTTCTCTCTCCATCTGTCTAGTTTGCAGGTGCCAATGGCTCCAACTCCCATTAGCTCTAGTCAGCATGGCCAATGGTCTGGAATGACGGGAGTTAGAGGGCACCATCACAGCTGCACTCACCCCAAGTCAGTGTTTTTCAATCAGGGCTCCACAAGTATCTCCTCACACCCAAAGGTCCTAAATAGGAAAGAGACTCTGAATTTTGTAATGGTGAAATAAATTATTACCAGTTTTCGCTTTGTTTTGTTTTTCTCCTTTATATATGGGAGCGGGAAGCAAGAAGAATTGCTGGCTGCTTCCAATGGGCAGCACTGCTGTACAGCAAGAAACTTCCGCTGAGAGAGGCAAAGGCCTGGCAGACTTGAGTTCGAATTCTCCACTCAGCCATGAAGTTCACAGGCCAGGGTGACCTTGTGCCAGTCACAGTTTCTCAGCCTAACTTACCTCATGGGGTTGTTGTGGGGACACAATGGGATGGTGGGGAGAGAACTGTACACCCCACCCAGAGCTCCTTGAAGGAAAGGTCTAAGTGCAGGGCCGGATTTAGGTTTGATGAGGCCCTAAGTTACTGACAGCAATGGGGCCCTTTATATGTTCAGCTGTCCTTTGTCAACAACAAATTGTCAGTGTTTTTTGTGTTGAATATATGCTATATAGTAATTTATGGACCTAATAGGTGTCTAAAGCCAATTGCACATGTTGCCATGCAACCAGTCCATGAAGAATGTAGGCACCCTATATATAGAAATGAGCAAACCAGTGATATTTTAGGGAGCAGGCTAGCAGGTGGCGCCCATGACTTACATCCTACACAACACAAAACACTGTTGCTGTATGTAGGTTTTATTTTATTTCGTCATCATCAAACCTTTTATTGGCATCACATACAAACATCGATAACATAACAGTACTGAGTTACCAATTATTTTATTTGGGTTTTTTATCTTATATTTTGGAAATGTACATCCAGGGTTTTTTTTCTTTAAATTTTTTGGGGACCCCCAAGAGAGTGGGGCCCTAAGCTATAGCTTATTTAGCTTATACGTAAATCCGGCACTGTCTAAGTGTCAACAAATAATACAGAGCCGAAAAGGCTCGAGCAAATACTTGGGGATTCTGGCGTGCTTTTAAACCTGGCCGCCGAGTCCTTCACCGTGGCTCGTGGTGTGAGAAGTGTAAGGGGGAAGCCCTCGGGGAAGTGGTCGCAGCTGCCCCCTTCCCTGAAGTGGAGCAGCCCATGGCCCTCCTGCTGCGGAGGAAACAGGAGCGTCGACTCCCCGGCGAGGGGTCCGAACGCAAACTGCGCTCTGAGGCTCCGGCACTTGGCCGTTGCTGGATTCCGCCGCGAAACCGTTGGGGGCGTGGTCTCCCGCAGGAATACTTACGTCAGCCAAGGCGCCGCGAGAGGGACGTTCAGTGATTTTCTTCTCGGAGAGCAAAGGGGCGGGGCTTGCCCCTTCCTAGCCCTTGCGGACACAGGCGATTAGCGGAGAAGGGGACGCTCAGACTCAGGTCCGCCTCCGCCTCTGCCTCTCAACCACCAGCCGGGTACAGCCTTGGTCCGCGCCTGTCTTCGCCGTCCGCGGCTGCTGTGGAGACACCCGCCTGCCCTCGGAAGTGAGGGGCCAGGGAGGAGGTGGCTCTAATCCTTCCCCAGCGAACGGTCGAGTGCGAGGAGCAGTCCGGTTTCCTAGGTTACAGTGACGCCTACGGCGAGGCCGCGAGGCCAATTCCAGCCGCCGCCTTCGCGTCGCCCTCGCTCTGAAGTTGTCAAATGAACGGAGACTAGTTGACCACACGCGCGCTCCTGCCCGCCCCTTGTAGCAAGCCTCCTGCAGATTTTGCATCTCCCGCGCCGGGGTGGGAGAGACATTAAGAGGCCGACTTTCGACCATGGCTGTAATCCTATTCACATTTACTTGGAGTATGCCCAGATGAACTCAGCACTGTATCAATTTATGTACACAGTGAGAACAAATTAGAAATACCCCTCGTACTGCTAAATTTCTTACCCACTCTTACGCCAAACTTTTTAAAATTAAGGAAAGTGCGTTCATTGGTTCCACTGCAAAGGGGGGAAATGTACAGTTGCAGAGTTGCAACATGGAAAACCACTCTTTTAGATCCACTGCCAGCTGCCAGGCAAGAGCTGCATCTGTGCCTACCCATTTCTTCACTTGTATCAGTTTCACTCTCCATAGCCATCAGAGTGAACAGCATCAGATAGGGAAGTCATACAAGCAACCAAGGGTGCAGGGAGCTGCGAGAGGGAGCTGACTTGTTTCTCACTTGAGATCAGATAAACATTTGTTCTTCAGGTTGCAGCCTAGCAGTGCTAGACTAACAGGGTTGAGGGCATTATATGAATCATTCCATTTAAATCTGTATTTCTGATCCAGAGAGCCACATGAGGCAACAGAAAGCTGTGCACTACATTTTAAGTGAATGGATAAACAGTGCCAATTAATTCTTGGTGTATAGATTTCTGTTGCCTCCTGTGGTTCTCTGTGTATAAATTGCCACAAAGAAATACAGACGCTATTATAATAATTCATGAGATTGTGTTTGGGATGGCTGGAAGTGGGGTGCCCCCACTCCCAATAAGATATTTTAAATGTACTGGATGTAGCAGATCATATGTGCAACACCTGTTTATTCACATTGGATGGCTCAGGATAACTACGTTTAGGATTACAGTATACATCCTATTGATTTCAATTAACTTGCATACTTTTAGTAACTGAGTGCAGCACTGCACTTTTAAGTCATGGAATCTAATACAAAGCAGCCCAAATGTTGTGTTTTTCATGTCTAAATTAATCTTCCAAATCTGATTACCTACAAAAACAAAGGACCAACCTTTTCTAACAGAAACCATATATGCCAAGGAAAATATTCAAGTCTAATATTGTGACCATGAAATTAGAACAACATGTGGCTTCCCTCTTCCAATAATATGTACTGATTTAAAATTTATGGAAAGAGCCCATTCTAAATCAGTTCACTTCTAGCAGTGCTTACATATTTGCAATTGCATGCATTTGCCCCCACTATAAGGGAGTGGAGTTGGGCACTGCAACTGCTAACATATTTACCAAGGAATGAAAAAATGAGAACCAGATGAGGAGCACCCAAAATGGCTGGCAGGTAAAAGGTATTGCCAAGAACATTCCTGCCAGTGGTAGACTACAGTAACTCCAGAGACAAATGTTTTGAAAGCAGAGCTGGACCCTGGAACCTCTGTGGGCTCTTCTGCCATCTCATGATGGCTAGGAGCTGGCCTATTAACAGTCTTGCTTGCTCCCAAATAACCACTTAGCAGTCACAATCACTAAAGTGCTTTAATGCTCTTATGTAGAAAGCAGATTGCACCATACTCTCTAGCAAAAGTTATCCCTAAGTCTTGCTGGGTCTCTTGTGACTTGCAGTCATCTGTCATCAAGGGTGCTCCATAGATGGAGATGCAGTGCAAATAAAAATATACCTGACATGGGGACATATTGAATATGGGTCTCTGGGTTGCAGTTATTTTTCATATTAAGGGATAGTTTTTTAATAAAAGATTTTCTGTGCAACATTGTCAGTTTGAAGTCCCACTACTGAATCATGACATCCCTTGACGTTTTGGTTACTGCTTTTGGATAACTCCCAACTTTCTTTTTTGCATTGCTGGTAGTATGTGGGAAGACTTTTGTTTTCGTCTAAAAGCTTTTTATGCTCTTGTACCAGACGTGATGTATTTCGCTGGTCTTTTTCATCCTGGCCCAGGCCTGCTATTAGTTCTTGCTTTCTTTGCAACAGCAATGCGATTTCTCCGTTTGAGAAAAAATAAAGTAGCCAGCTAATGGCAGCAGCCCATGGTGCCAAGCACATCGCAAACAAATCACATGTATCTAAACGGGTTGCATTTGTATAAGGTATTTATTATTTAGTTTTACGTATAATTGTGGTAAACCGCTCTGATTTTCATTGTTACTAATAGCGGCGTATGAATACTTTTATAAATAAATAAAACACACAGCGCACGGGCTATTCTCAAGGTTTCACATATTTTTGAAAGAGTCCCGCACAGCTGAATCCACCCACGTTGCGACCCTTCGGGACCCGGTTGCCATGGCGACAGCAAGAGGCAACGTCGCTCCCCCTCCCCCGCCCCTCACTTGCCCCGCCTCACTTGCTAGCCTAGGCGAAACGAAAACCAGCAAGTCCAGGAACAGGCCGGGGAGTTTCCAGCCTCAAATCTCGCGGTGTTACATTGCTGCGTGCGTCGCGCGCGGGGGCAGGCGGGCGGAGCTGCGCTCGACTCTCTGTCAGAGGCTCCGGCGGCCTCTTCGATGGTGGGCGGTGGGCGAGCGGAGTGAGCTGGGGCGCGGCGCTAGGGTGAGCACGGGCTCGGGTGGGGAGGTCGGCGGTGGGGAGGACGCTTCAGCAGTCGGTGGTCTTCCCCTTCCTCAGCTTGGCACTTTTTGCAACGGCGCCTGAGTGTAGGGGGCGGGGAAGCTTTTCGTTTTCTCTCCCGCCGCTTCTGGGGCAGCTAAAGGCCGGGGAAGAAGGGGGGGGGCTCTTCCTCCCGACCCCGTGAGAGATATGTGAGGGAGGCAGAATGCGAGGGAGGCGTGGGGGGGGGGGCAAAGTCTTCGCTCAAAAGTGAGCTCCACGTTCTCCCCGCCCCTTGAGATTCCCGCCCACAATGCCTGCCTTCTCTCTTTCTCTTTCGTTCCCCCCCCCCGCCCGAATTCCTTCTCGGAATCGGAAAGTTCGGGTAGATTGGTGTGCAGAGTTCCGCAGGTGGGGTCGGAGCACCGCTGTCTCTGCTTCTCTTTCGAGACTGGGTGCAACTCTTTCCAGGGAAAGCGAGGCTGCTGGTGGGTGTCCCGGACATCGCCCGTCTCGGGGAAGATTTGCACAGGTTGTCGTGCCCAGTTGAAGGTGCCAAAACATGCGTGCGGTGGGGCAGAGTTGCGGAGCTGCCTGTGACAACAGGTGTTGCCGCTGCTTCTCTGGACAGGGTTGGGGGGTCCGGATAAGCGGCAGCAACATTGGTGTCAGAATGCATGTGCTGCTGTTGAAAAGCCATAATTGACTTGGGGCCCCAAAGATCTGAAGGAGTGCCTGCCAGCTCCCACATCGACCTGGCCAGGTGTAGCCTCCAGGTTGTGGAATAACTTCCTCACCAAGGTGTGTCTTGTGGCATCATTACATGCTTTGGGATTTTTGGTCAAGATGCACTTCTTTATCCAGGCCTTTTAGCCAAGTGGAGGACTTCCCACCTACTATGTTGCTGTCCTGTGCTGCTGTTTTGTTAATTGTGTTATTGGTTAGTTTTGTGGATTTATTGTATGACTTGGGGCGTTTTCATAAACTGCCTGGCTGGGACCTCGTGATGAAAGGCAATTTTGTCTCTTATTGAATCTGTTGTATACTTGTAGTATTCTGGCCTGTGTCCTTATTTCCCAATTTTTGTGCTTCTCATAACATTGGCATGTATTTTTGCTATTCAGAATTTAATGGGTTTTAGCCTTTATGTAGGACTAGCCTATGACACCAGTGCAAAACCTGATCAATATCTTGTGTAGTATTCTCTGCACTCATGGTAGCTTCAGAGTTAATGCAGAGGCTGCAAAATAGGGCTCTGGGGCAGCGGGGGGGGGGGGGGGAGAGCCTAAGCCAGCCTAGAATCCAATGAATTCTGAACCACACCCACTGCCATTACTTTACAGTATCAGACCTGGTTGCTATGTGTGCTTCTGGTTGGCATAGCAGTGTTTTTCCTACCACCACCTCTCCATGTGTGGCAGGGCTTTGGATGAGGTGTTGATTGCACTGTGCTGGCTGGCTGCAGTTAAGATTGCTCACTGTGTTGTATTTAGTATATTTGCATTATGTGTGGCTTGGCTCTTTGTGCCATTTGGATTACCTTGTTAACTTTACCGACTGTCTTGCATTGGTGTACCTGTGCAAACTGTTATGTGAGAGTAGTAGTGATTGCTAAGAGAGCACAAATTATTACAGCTACTTACAATGAGACAGTATGTTGACTGTCTACAAATATTCATAGCTACTCTTGGAGAAATGGAATCTTATTATTTGACAGTATAATTTCAAGTGACAGAACAAGATTTTTCTATATCCAACACAGGTGTTATGGCAGTCTACTGCAAGAGGGTCCTAGTAATACTGCTTGCTTTTCAAGGACTTCTAATAGCAACTGCTTATAATGAGGAAGAAGACATACCTGAAGAATGGATTCTCCTTCATGTGGTTCAAGGTCAGATTGGTGCTGGAAACTACAGCTACTTAAGGTTAAATCATGAAGGGAAGATAGTGCTTCAGATGCAGAGTTTAAAAGGGGATGCAGACTTGTACGTATCTGATGTGACCCTTCACCCCAGTTTTGATGATTATGAATTGCAGTCAGTAACTTGTGGTCAAGATGTCGTTTATGTGCCAGCGCACTTCCGCCGTCCAGTGGGAATAGGGATTTATGGCCATCCCTCTCATCTGGAAAGTGAATTTGAAATGAAAGTGTACTATGATCAAACAGTTGTGGAATCTCCATTTGGTGGTGGCTCCTACAATCCAGAAGATACAGATTTGAACCAGAAGCAGTTTCATGCAAGAGAAGATGAGTCTCAGGATGAAGAATCAGTCTTCTGGACTATACTAATTGGAATATTAAAATTAATACTTGAAATTCTGTTTTAGATTCAGAGCTAGACAACTGGTCTTCACATGTGAACAATATAGACAATTGAATGAATGCTGTTATGTGAGCATTAGTACTAACTGATACTTTCTTTGCCAGGGAGGGGGAAATAAAGCCATAACAATTTTTGTATTGTAAACTTTTCCCACAGGTACACTGCAACAGGCACAGTATTTGTATAAGTTTTCTCTTAACTGATCAGGGTCAAATATGAATATTACAGTTCACTGTGACTTTGAATAAAACTGATTTTCTATACAAAGATTTTAAGAATAGTAAAAAGACTAATTTCCATACAGTATTTCAGCACATTTCAATTATAAATACTTTAACCTCTTCTGTATGAATACACTAGGAGCAAATACCATTTTTAAATGCTAGCAGCTTTTGGAACATGAAAGCCATTTAACTAAGGCTGCTTTCATACGATATAACATCCTAAAAAAGAAAATATGAATTATCCTCCTTTTCTTGTGGTTTGAAGGAAGAAGCATTGATTTAAGAGACATAATTTGGCATGACCAATATAAGGTCTACATGATTTCTTGCTGTAAACCTAAATTCATTATATCATATGAGATTTGTACCACTTGATGGATTTTTTTTCTTGTCAGGCATTAGTACTCTGCTTAAAGGCAACTCCCATCAGAAAACAGTAATTGCCAACTAGTGATTCAGTCCTTTTCTTTGAGCTGGACAGAGAACACAATTGATTGCTATGCAATAAATAAAGTCTGTTGTGCAATGACTGCTATGCAGCAGCACTGTATCCATGAAACAATTGATAGATTTACAGAATTTCAACTGGGCACTTTCCCTTTGCATGGGATTTTCAAGCAAAGCTACTGGAATAGAATGTATCCTTCCCTGTCCTCCTAAAATTAAAAACTTTATTTGGTGAAAAACATTTTGAGTGGTATTTTTCCTTATACAGAGTGGTAGGTAAATAGCACCAAGCTTAGCACTTGTTTTTGTGCAGTTATATATAAAGAGTGTAAATATTGATTTTAGCCTTCTTTGCTGTTCTTCCCTCTTCTTCCTCTGCCTCTGGGTATTGGAGGTTGTCTTTCGCAACAGTCACAAATCCAGCGACCTACAAAATTAGAGTTGTCAGTTAACAGTAGAGCAAACATCTGCTACTATAAAAACGTCATTCACTTCAAGTGCTTTTGGGGAGCAGAGTACGGAAGGACACAAATGTTAATAAGATTGCAATCATATCCCCACTTTCTTGGGACTGTGTCCCAATGAATGATGAGGGACTTGCTTTCAAGCAAACTTGCTTTTAATTTGGCTGTTATTTTTCAATTTCATGCAACTTAAATTTCAGGGACCTTGAAGATTTTTTCCTCCTTCCCCACAGGCAGGTAAACAGACGCAATGGTGGGAAGAAACTGTGCTTGCTTCTCAATTCTTTATATAATATGCTGAAAGCTATTCAAGGTTGGCTATACCGGTGACACTCAAGTCATGTGAATTGTTCAAGAAGTATGTGCTGAGCCTCTTCAGTTTGTTTACTTAAATGTCAGTGCATCACTTAATATTCATGCTCCAGCACTGAGAATGATTCCCTCTGAGATTGAAACAGCACACTATTGTTCATTTCCTTAAGTAAGCTTGAAAGTAGGTACAGCAGTACCCTACTCAATTATTTTCCCTAGGTAAATTTAGGTAGGTACTCATTCAATGTGCTATAGGGAAAGAGCAAAATGGTGAATGAGGCACAGTGGGATTAGGTTAGCTTTAATGTCCTTTGTCCAATGAAGAAAACAGTCTGTAAAGTATAATTACGTGCCTGAATGGGTATAACATCTGCTGTTTGATAAGGAACCACCTACATTTTTCGCTAGCTTCAAAAACCTGTTTGATTTATGATGTGTTTCCGAAAAGCTTTCAGTGGCTTACAACACTGACCATTTCTACTTGATTAAAGTCACATAAACTTAAACTACACACAGGGTGTGGGATTGGAGGAGAGGGGAAGAGAAGAGAAGGTGTCAGTTCAATGAAACAACTGCACTGCCAAACCCACTGAGAATAATTTTCATCAGATGTCAGCTTCTCTCTAGTTAAGTTTCTGACATCCGACTTCCCATCTCCAAACTTTTTACTTCTTTCAATGTTTATTATCATACTGTTAAATCCTAAATTGCAAACACTTTTTATGAACAAGAATTGAGAGAGTAAATGAAGTGTGTAAGAAACAGCTGCCTCCAAGATTTCACTAAAATAGATACAAGTGACATACAAAATGTTGAGATCTGAGCTTTCTGAAAGGAGTGAAGCAAGATTGTGCTTCATTAATCTTGGATCTTGGTTCAATCTCTGAACAAGAGTAACTTATATAATTACCTGTTGGAATAGCACCAAGCCCCACACAAAACGTATGATAGCCACGGTCACACACATCACAGAACATCATTTCTTCCTCATGGTGAGGTTGCCCACATATAATGCATGTTTTACACTCCATACATTGCCAAGGGTAGGTCTTAATTATTGCAACAAGCTCTGCAGACATATCCAGACAGGATGGGTGGCCTAGATCAAAACCAGTATTGTTACTAGAATGGTCAAATGAAGCATCTTTAATGAGAATAATTAAAATGGTTTATTTCACAGAACATTTTGAGTTCATTTCAGCATGTCAGATATGCTAAATTAACTTTTTTTAAAAAATTGCAAAAGCATTAGTTTGATTCTGCATTGCAGGTTGTTCTTTAAAATGGGTCATCACTTTAAATATTTAGAGATTTATTCAAAGCAGATTCTGTTACTTACCACTGTTTTCACATTGGGAGCAGTGTATAAGTGCTTCAGCCTTCCCTTTCTTGTTGGACTCCTTACCCTTCAGACAAATTCCACATATAGCATTTGGAATGGCCTTTGGCTGGAAGGGTAGAAGAGGGCTATAAATTCATTCCAGAAGAATTGAGAACAGGTTTTTGTTGTTTTTTTAAAAAAAATGTACTTATTTTAACCTTTATAAATTAATGAACCTTGTGAGTGGTGTGGATCAAAGGGAATGATTAAAAATTGGCAAGCATTGATTATACTGGATACAGAAATGAACAAACTACAGTGGTGCCTCGCAAGACGAAATTAATTCGTTCCGCAAGTTTTTTCTTCTTGCGAGTTTTTCGTCTTGCGATGCACGGTTTCCCATAGGAATGCATTGAAAATCAATTAATGCGTTCCTAGGGAAACCGACTTCAGACCAGGTCCGGGGACAGTCTGTCCCCCGACCTCTTCTGAAGGCTGGGGGGGACAAGGGCTTTTCTTCTCACCCCCAGCATTTGTAAACCCCGGGACAGCGGAGGGCTTCTCCGCTGTCCGGGCGATCTTAAAATGCTGGCGGGCGGCATTTTGAATTGCCCCGGGACAGCGGAGGACTTCTCCGCTGTCCGGGGCAATTTAAAGCCTCTGGGAAGGCAGGCAGGGGGACAAAGACTTTTGCCCCCGCCAGCCTTCAGAAGAGGTCCTGGACCTCTTCTGAAGGCTGGCGGGGCGCAAAGTCTTTGTCCCCCCCACCTGCCTTCAAAAGCTGTCCAGCCAAGGCTTCGCGGACCTCTCCGCAAGCAGCGGCAGTGCTGCCGCTGCTTGCGGAGAGTTGCCGGCATGCCGAAGCCTGCGCGCGCTGAGATCAGCGCGCCCAGGCTCCGCGGACCTCTCCGCGAGCAGCGGCAGCGCTGCCGCTGCTTGCGGAGAGTTGCCGGCATGCCGGGGCCTGCGCGCGCTGAGATCAGCGCGCCCAGGCTTCGCGGACCTCTCCGCGAGCAGCGGCAGCGCTGCCGCTGCTTGCGGAGAGTTGCCGGCATGCCGAGCCTGCGCGCGCTGAGATCAGCGCGCCCAGGCTTCGCGGACCTCTCCGCGAGCAGCGGCAGCGCTGCCGCTGCTCGCGGAGAGTTGCCGGCATGCCGAAGCCTGCGCGCGCTGAGATCAGCGCGCCCAGGCTTCGCGGACCTCTCCGCGAGCAGCGGCAGCGCCAGCCGCTGCTCGCGGAGAGTTGCCGGCATGCCGAGCCTGCGCGCGCTGAGATCAGCGCGCCCAGGCTTCGCGGACCTCTCCGCGAGCAGCAGCAGCGCTGCCGCTGCTCGCGGAGAGTTGCCGGCATGCCGAAGCCTGCGCGCGCTGAGATCAGCGCGCCCAGGCTCCGCGGACCTCTCCGCGAGCAGCGGCAGCGCTGCCGCTGCTCGCGGAGAGTTGCCGGCATGCCGAGCCTGCGCGCGCTGAGATCAGCGCGCCCAGGCTTCGCGGGATCGGAGATTTCCCTATGGGCTTCGTCTTGCGAAGCAAGCCCATAGGGAAATTGCTTGTGAAGCGCTCCAAAACGGAAAACCCTTTCGTCTAGCGGGTTTTTCGTCTTGCGAGGCGTCTGCCTTGTGGGCACCACTGTATTCAAAACATGTATAGTTTACAAAATGTATCCCAGCCAAAGAAAGCATATGTAATTAAAACTCTTTCATTTAAAAATGTCAGTCAAATGATCAAATTACACAATGAATATGAATTTTACAAAGAAAAATGCTGATAATTTCTAATAATATTACGGTTTGTCTATAGCCTGCACATGATGCATGAAAATCAGTAACGTGGGAACGTCTCTTGAAATGCAATTCATATTATTTGAACTATAAATATAAAATATATATGCTAAATCATATATGATGCTTTTTGCCTTCTACAAAGAGATTTGGCAAAACATTCTGAACTGAATTAATTAGCAGTTCATAGTGTTGTGTGTTGCCTTAATACTAAAGTCTTGCAAAAAGCCACTGGCAACAATGTTATTAAGACCAGTGAGATGATTCACTATACAGTATAGAGTAATTCATAGTAGTATAAAGGTGCTGTCTTAACATCAACTCAAACAAATGACCCAGCCAGCCTAGTATTTTCGCTCCTGAAAGGCAGATCTTGAATCTAGAGACCTGAACTTCAGCAAAGCCATAGGCAGAAATGTTTCCCAGCACAGCTGAGTCTTGCTGATTGAAGCCTGCTACGTTATCTCATGTTTATCAGTTGAAGCCAATGCCGAAATGAAGCAAGCGGCAATTGGACACTTAGCTGTGGGCATGTGAAACAAAATCTGACCCCGTCGCTAGCAAATGTAAGCTCAGAAATAGAGAGCAGGTTTTAAATATATAGCCAACTTAGTCCCACAGACTGCAGCCGGTTTGGTTCGTCCCGACAACTGTCTGCACTTTCAATGTGCAAAACACTGTCCCCTGTTATTCTTTGTCGTTATGTGACAAAGAGATGGAACTCTAGCTCATACCACCCTTGAACAGGGTAGATACCAATTCTATCCCTTATGCAATTGAGTTTGCATACTGTATTAATTGTTGTCTACATACAAGGGCAGCTTCTGCTGGCATTAAGAGATACTGTATGTATCTGTACCTGAAACACCTTGTCATGTTACGTTAGCAGAATGGGAACCTCCTGGTGTGAACTTGCTTATTTGTTATAACTAGAAGTTTTTGCTTTGAAGAAGAACCATATTTGCTTAGCAAAACAAGCACCAAAACATCTGAACATATCCCCAGCTTTGAAAGAGTGAGAAGTGTGAGCAGGTAGAACTTTGCAAAGCCAATAAGGAAAGGAGGAGGAGCTTTAAACAAATTAATGTGGAATGGTCTCTTATGCTAGTTTTCTAAACATTCAGACAATGAAATGTTAACAGCTACCCTTGCTAAATACACATCCCTGTCAGTGATGTTTTGGTTCTGCTGAGAGAAGCAGCATAGATTTGAGATGTTCTGATTGCTGTTAAGTAATGAAAAGTACTGGTTTATAAAAACTTTGCTTATCAAATGCAGAAAACTACAGTGGTACCTCGGGTTACATACGCTTCAGGTTACAGACTCCGCTAACCCAGAAATACTACCTCGGGTTAAGAACTTTGCTTCAGGATGAGAACAGAAATCGTGCTACGGTGGCGCAGGTACAGCGGGAGGCCCCATTAGCTAAAGTGCTTCAGGTTAAGAACAGTTTTCAGGTTAAGAACGGACCTCCGGAACGAATTAAGTACTTAACCCAAGGTACCACTGTAGGTTCTTTAGAACTTATTGTATAAGCAAAACAAAAGTGAAAAATCAAACCTTAACACTGATTTTTAAAAATTTTAACCTAGTATTTCCTAATAATTTCTAAACCGCAGAGAAGTACATACTAATAAGCCTTAGTCTGGTTTCCTAGAATATTTGAATATCTAAATTAAACTAGGGCTTCAGAGCACTTTAACTTGCCTGGCCTCCAGAGGTTTGTTTAAATACCCACAAGGCATTTATAAACAGCTTGTTTTCCAAAAGATGACAGAAGCATTCATGAATAATTTTTTGCTTATTTATTTTTTAAAAAAGCATAGTCCACCTGTTTTATACATAAATATAATTGAATGATAAAAGGAGACTAACATTCACAAATGTCTCTACAAAATAATAAATACCACGAAAGAGAAAACATACATATAAAAATTTTCTATTACCTATTCTACTCCTACTTTTATACCTTTTTATACCCTGCGCCTACCAACAAAATATTAAACCTCATTCCTGCAATGATCTCCCTCTTGTATTGCTACATTCTATGAGTAATGTTTGTGTTTTAAGTTATATCAATATAAAACAAAACAGCAAGTGCACTTCTCTAATTCTTTTTATCATATGTATATTCTACTGATGTGGTACACAGTAGCAACCTCTCTTTCAGTCACCCAAAGCAAAACAACCATTGAGTCACTAGATCTGTGCTGTGGTATGTGCAGTTAATACTATGATACTTAAATGCGAAAACACTGGTGAAGGTGCAGTTATTAATAACATTTCCCCCTAGTCCTAGTTCCACAAAACTAGGAGTGAAATAGTCACAGCGTACTAGTTAAAGACCCTCCAAAGACATTGGAGTATTCCCCTATCAAAATGAAATAGAAAGGAAAGCCTGTTCACATTTCAAAGCAATTTTAAGTGAAAACAGAAAAATAAAAATGGCTTTGCGGGAACGTTGGAAAACACTGTTTGACATATTGTTCTCCTAATCATATTCAACTCGACAAAAGAGGTGAGGGGGAAAAAGAGTTCCTGGCTTGCTGCTCCCAAAATTGGTTTTATGACAAAGGCTGCAATCCAGACACAAGCTGATTAAATCCCATTGAAAACACTGGCCTGGTTCATATGTAGCATCCCTGGTCCAGGGTTTAATCCAACTAAATCTTACTCAGAGTAGACTCATTGAAATTAATGAACATGACAAGATTAGGTCCATTAATTTCAAAAGGTTGCTCTGAGTAAAACTTAGTTGACTATCACCCCTTGGGATTATATCTGACCTAGTCATACTAGGAATGGATCCCCAGAAGTAAATTAAGTGCATTTATTTCAATGCTTTGCAGATTCCATGAAGATTTCCTGGTGGGTTAAACTACAGTTTCCAGGTTTGGCAGATGACGGATGGGGAAGATGGAGAGCTCAAACTCTTCGCTTGCTCCCACTCCAAAACCATGGTTTCTTGGACCAGAAATGTTACACTTGAACAAGACCAGTGGACTTTAAGCAGCTAAACTGTAGCTAAATCAAAAATAGTTTACAAGCACACCATGTTTCCGAAAATTACTTTGCCAGAAAATAAGTTCTTCCTGTTTTCATAGTAACGGAATGTAAATTGAAAAATTCTGGGATGGGGGAAAGGGCAAGTCAGTCTCTTCCCACATGCTCAACTTAACATATGTGCAAATCTCCCTTATTCTGAGAAAAGAATACTGCATGTGCAATTATAACAGCCAGTCCTTCATCAATTGCAGTAAAAATTAATGGCTATATAGGAATGGTATATCATGAGGAGGAAAAAACGTTTCAATAGTTTAAAAATAGTAAAAGTTAAACAGAAGTTAAAAGGAGAAAAACTCTCAACATTTGCTTTCTATGGCATAACAACAGTATGCCTGGATTTTGTAAGTCTTCTTAAGCTTGAATTTTAGTTTTAGAGTGAATATTGTAATTTAAAGACTGGTAAAGGATGATAAATGGATAGTGCATGTTGCATAATAAAATCATTATATATTCCTGGGACATTAGTTGAAGTCCCATTTTCAGCACATAATGTATAAAAGAAATACCTGTTATAGATAGTTATCTATCTATCTGTCATGTTTTAATCAGCTCCATAAAATCTATCATGTGTTTAAAATCATCCTGGCCTTACATTCAAGGAAGTGTAAGTTATAGTGAGAATAGCCATAAATTGTGGGGGAGGGTTGGGTGGGTTGTTGGCATCATTGTGTTTTCAAAGTAGTTTGTGCTGTCTGCTTGGGGCCCAATGCACCAGGAAAGACTCCAGCACCAGCACCATTGAAATGAATGGCAGCAGCGAGAGCACAATAAGCATTTACGACAGGAGATCTTGCATAGAGCTTTCCTGTGATTCATCTAGACTTACTAGAATATGCTTTTGAACCGGTGACCAGCAATCACCAGGATCCATTTTTGAATCCAAGTACTGAAAAAAGATAGTTGTATCTTTAGCAGTCACAAGCCTCGGCAATCACTTCTTTATGCTATCCCTTCACAATGAAAGACTAGCCAAACATTTGCTGAATCTTATGGACTTTGTTCACATAATACTTAAAGTTCAAAAATGCTACTAAGCCTTTCAAGCTTCATCTTTGGATTTCATAAAATTACATTACTGGCATGAGTTTAAGTCTGCAATAAAGTAAACACTTTGCAATGCAAATATGTAAAAATAGACATGTTCTGCAAACGTTTAAATCTCTTATTTGCATCATGTAAAATTATTCCTGAAATGAGATATAGATGACATATAACATTTCTGTAATATAGTCTAAAAGTATGCATTTATCCTGTTGAAACAATATTCCTGCAAGTCTTTTCCAACAGAAGCTGCACAATGCAAACTGGAAAGTGAACGGTTTGATTTGGGGGGGAAATAAGCAATTAAAATAAATGATGCAGTTTGGTAACAGTTTGCAGAACTTTAAAATTAGGTTACTTGTGCTACACAACTTCTCAGGCTAGACGTTGTTTAACAATCATGCTGGCAACTCAGAATTACCACCCTTAACTTTCTTCCTGTACCCTTTCCAATCCACATGCCTTATCTTCTTCCAACTATAGTATAAAGCAAATATCCCCTTGGTTTCAATGGAAACCAAATAGCTTGCTTCTTATTTTCCTTAACACTAAACATGAATTTCCACTGAAATATGAAAAATACTTTTAATCCTAAACTGAAATCCATCCGTTGATTACAAAGCTGGATGTAATCATCACTGTTCAAACATGACAAGTTTAAGATAAGGTTCTGAGATTCTGGACCTGTTCAGATACTACTGCTTCCCCACTCACCTCTCTGTGCAATGATATCACAGGCAATCTCAGGATCGTATACTTTCTCTCTACCCTCCCCCCATAATTGAACACATAATGTGACCGCAGCAGGAGATCCCATTTTTTAGTCCACAATCTCCCCTACCCTATGATACGGAACCATTTTCTAAATTACAGAGTTGGATATCTATATACTGGCAAGGTTAGGGAGATGCTCACATTCAAATGTGGAGACCTTCAAGTTTAGTCATTATTCACACAATTAGGAGAAGGGGCATGGAGGAAGCATGTGAGTCCCAAGAGCAGCTCCTGACCCTCACTGCCCATAGAGGTAAGGGTGAAAACGTATTGTCCAAATGATTTCTTACAAGGTTAGCTGAATATTTCCCCCTGCAAACAATAGTGCAGTGCTGCTCAAATCAAATCTAGGTTCCCAGCATCCTACATTCTAGGGAAATGTTAAGATTACTATTACCAAATCACTTTCTAAACAGTTAAAATGCTTTTGACCTGTAAAGAGTTAAGAAAATATATGTGCAAAGTTTTTGCAACATTTTTACAGTCCATTCCACACATGAGCAAGGTATTTTAATTCAATCCCAACTGGATATTTGATATGTAACCATCTACCTTATAATGACAATAAAAGAACAGAACACCCCCCCCCACCCTGCAAAACGAGAGGGGGAACTTCCTCTATAATGGGGTTTCATGCTGCAGTTGCTTAGGAACCAATTTAAGTATAGAAAATAGAAGCCACTCCACAGCCAGGGTAACAAACAGTAAGGCCCCAAGTAAAATAAAGCAACAGGAAGTAAAGAAGCGAACAGGAACGCATAACAGGAGAGCAGCTAGCCAAGTATAGTAAGCAGAAGTTCCATATTTTTGAAAAAACAAAGTTAAATGTTTCAGGGAGAGAGGCTGGTCAGTAAAGAAGCTGAGTCAGGGGCTTTTTTCTTCTACCTTGTACCCAGGAACTGACTTGGATACAGATCGTTTGGAACCCTCTTTTCTTGGTGTAGAGTTTTTCTCTCTTGTTTTTTGTCTTCCCTGAATAGGTTCCTCCTGGTTTTCAGGGGGGCATTCACCTTCAGACACATTGCCAGATGAGTTGTCCTATAACAAAAGCACCATCATTTTGTTGGTTTGCTTGGAGTGGACAAAGGAAAAAAATGATCTCTTTCTAAACTTCAAACTTTGCTTTCTTTACTCTGAAGCATAGGGCACTTATTCACCATAGAGGTACCCAATGAAATAACTAATAGCCTGGCCCTTCAATCCAGTGCTCTGTTGATAGAGTGCTAGGGATCACATTTAACAAGTCTTAAGAATGGCACAAGGTTAATCGATTGGACCTCAATCAGAAATAACAATAGGTATATAGACAAGAATACAATTCAAAAATATCTCTAGTGCTTTATTCTTACAAAACACTTGGATAATAATAGGGTATTTATCCTCTGTATTTTCGAAGTTTCTGTTAATTTATCTAGCTATATATGAAAGCATACATACATAGGCAAACACTACTTTTGCTCACCGAATTGCCTTTGATTTTCCTCTTTTCATCACCACGCTCTTCTGCATCATCAGAATCTCCATCACTATCCAGTGCAGGCAGCTCTGGATCTAAGGGAGGCTCATAAAGAGCTGTATTTAGCGGCAAATATCGAAGCTCATCTGGAGAGTATCTGAAGTGAAAAAGTAATTATTTTCAGTACCATCTTTTGATACACTATGTATACACTGTATGGCAATAAGGGATAATACAAACAGCTTGGACTTCAAAAACTACTTTTCAGTGATTCAACTATGATGAATAAATTTGTATCTGAAAGGTAACAATAAAACAATTGTATATACAGTTCGATTTCATGCATATGCAAAATCGCCACATAGTCAAAAGCTGCTGGCTGGAAGTGGGGGAGCCCACACATGCAGGACCTCCCTATGTCTCCACTGCCAGAGGAAGAAACAGCGAGGAAGCAGTGAAAGCATATGGGGGAAGAAGAAATCTGGCTCCCTTGGAGGAAAGATAAGCAGGGAAGCGGTAGAGGCAGAAAAAGGAAGAAGAAACCTGGTTTCCTCCGCTGCAGAAGGGAGAGGAAAGGTAGACAGGGCAAGAGGCAGGCAGAAGCTGCAGCTTCATCTCACATCCACTCCAGCATTTTTATTCTGCCAACATCTCTCTCTGTCCACCTCTGCTCCATTCCACAACCAAGGGAGCCAGGGTTTCTTCTTCCTCCATCTGCTTCCCTGTTCATCTTTCAGGTGTCTTCTGCCTCTGTCAGCCTCTCTGTCTCTTCTACCTAAGTCTCTCCCCGTCCTCCACTGCAACCATCCCCAGGATGGCCACTGCGTGTATAACAGAATTCATGCAAGTAAAATGTGTGAAAGCACTGTATATAAAGGGATATGTTCTGTAGACCCTACGTACTGTACACCATTGCCATGCAATTTGGAGTGACACAGGAATGTTTTCTCATTTGTTAAAATCCTGATCCTCTGAATCCAATCTAAAGTACATGCTGAACAAGGCAATTCTTATATTTAGTTATTCTATATTTATATAGAGAGGTAACCAAGCCAGGTTTGCCAAGCTTGCCCTTTAAAAGTATGTCATTCCCTTATATATATTTGGGGGTTTTTATTTCTACAAGCTACATTTTCCTAAAGCAATAAATAATTAGTGCTTGTTTGCTTTTCCCACCACTTTTGCAAGAACATTTCCTTTTGTGTCGTGACTTTTAGATTACAAGCCTAAAGGCAGGGACTGTTTCATTACTGATATTTGCAAGCTGCTCTGACAGCCTTTCCTCCCCATTGGCTGAACAGCACAGTAAAATGCTTTCAAGAAAAAAAAACAATCAGCTACAGCAGAACAAATGTTATTTGATTATTTTTACAATTACCTTTTATAGTACTCCTGAAACTGGCCTGGTATGAGAGACACTGGATAAGGACTAACCTTTGTCCTTTCTGTAGGTAAAATTTTATATTTTCCTTGAGGCACCTGGATAACCTGGATTAACAGAAAAAATAAGGAGCTCATTTCCTACATTTAATGAAGTGGCTTGCTTTTCCAAATGATCATTTAGCTAGATTCATTGGAACTATGAAATTTCTGTTGCCAACTCGCCCTCATGCATAATGCATCGTATAACCTGAGATTCAATTCCAATAGATTGGATAAAATTACCAGATCTTCCATACCCCAAGGAGTGGATCACATCCCAAGGAGTGGATCACGCAGCTACTGATTAAAAATTCTGTACAGACGGTGAGGCATTAGTATTGCGTGCACCCCCAGGTACATGTTAAATAATGTGACCTAGGCTGCATGTATCTACATATATTTATGTGTTTTCTGGATCACAATGGTATGGCATATGCATATTGTGTAGGAATATCTGTAGTGTGACCCTCCATTCCACATCCCAGAATTTTGCTGTGTAATTGCATCAATCAGCCTAAGAGGGGATTAGGGCAAGCAGATCCATACTCCTAATCGCTTTACACTGTGGCCGAGGGGCAAGGAGAGGGGAAAGAACATGGTCCAAGTTCCCCACTCTCTGTACAGAATTAAGGTTCAAGAAACACACCTGAAGTGGCAGTTTTCCTATGTGCTCCCATAAAATAAAATAAAATTCCTTATCTTTTCCATCAGAACAGAATACAAAATAAAACATAAAGAATGAATATTGCTAAAATGCATTTGTGATCTGAAACGCTGATTATTCCATTTTCATATTTCTTTTTATAAACAAAAAGGGAGCAATTGTACTGGAAGTGAAGCAATATAGGGATGGCAAAACCTTGTTGTGCATCTCAAAGCATCAAGAGTAAAAGAGGGTGAGCTCACAGTGATTTCAGTCTGGAGTAATTCAAAACCCAATCAAAATAATGTTTCACTGTTGTAAACCAGTGGTGACTACTGGGCTACTCCAGAGGGCAGTGGCAAGATCTGAGAAAGGCAGTTCCCTGCTCAACCAAGAAAAAAACTGGATAAATAACTTCCAACTGTATTCTCTCTCCTGAGAAATATCTACTGAGGTTTAAATAAAATGCTATATTTTCCAACACCTCCCCCCCTCCCCCTCCCCCAATCTGGCATCTTTACTATAGGTAACAAGAAGCTACCTATAGTCATTTGAGCAAAAAAGTTAAGCCATCCTACATGTGTCTGTAAATCAAAATAGGCCCTTCTTTCTTCCATTCGTTCCCGGTTTAAGTTGCTGTTGAACTCGGCGGCTTTCTTGGCAGCTTTCTTAATGTATTCTGGAACTTTACTTGCTTCAACTTTCTGTGTGTTCTGCTGTTGCATTTGCTGAAACAGATTTTTTTTCCATTAGTTCACAAGCTGCAGAAGCTATCTATCCCAAAAGACATTTAATACGTTCCAAGATTGTAAACATCTTCACAAATAAATTTGGAGACAGAACTTACAGAATACTCTTTATAGTGATCGGTTATTCGCTGGCGTTCTTTTTCTTGAAGTATGACAGAGTACTCAGCATGTTTCGCCGGGTATTCTTTAATCATCAGATCAATTACTTCATCACTGCGTAAGGCAGTGAGACCTAGGTTACATCAAAAAGTCACTTGTGCAATTTCATTACAAAATAAGAGACAAAATTAAGGGCTTTGGGGGTTTTAGTTCTTTTTAAAGATTTGTAGCCATCCTAACTTAGAGCATCAGTGCAGTGCAAAGTGTGTGTGACAATTGCACAATGATTCACCCCACAGAACTTCGGAATCAAGTTCTGACATCTCCTGCTCCAACTGCTGTATTGTTTTATTGTCTATTTTAATTATGGATTTTTACATTTTATATTAGCGTAACTGATTTTTATATTTTGTAAACTGCTTTGTAAACTACTGGTCTTAAACAGTTACATAAATTAATAAATAATCATAATATAATCATAAGGCTGAGCTAAACATATTACATATTTTCACAGTTTATTCCCAATCTACTTTAAGGAGCAATGAAGTAATAATCTTTTGAATAACAGTTTCCACATCTTCACAAGTTTATTGTTAAAAAAGTAAAAACTGAATAATCTCTCCTACATTTTACTCTCTTGGAAATGTTTACATACTTCATTTTTTTAAAAGGAAAAAATGCCCTTTTTGTCCTTACCTAAGGTACACTGTGTTTCTGTAATGACATTTAACTCTCTGAGGTAGAGTTTCTCTTTGTGAGATAGATCTCGTCTTTCTAAATCTCCAGGAAAAGGGAGGAAACGTAGTAAAAAAGAAAGTGTAAAGGATTTTTGCAACCTCTCCAAAAGTACAAAATAAATATAGCTGTGTTACAGTTAAATTTCACTCAAGTACTTGTAATAGAAAGTTACTGCTTCTGTCACAGGAAACAATAATAAGATAACCCATGCATTATGCTTTTTGCCTCTACCAAACCTGAGAAGCATGTTGGGCCGGGGGGAGGGAAGTCACTACTGCTTTCCCTAGCCCACCTTTTCACTAAGTCAAGAACAGGGGCAAGTCTACTTATACACAAAAAATGAGAATGTGCTGCAAAAAGCCCCCTGCTCAAATTAAAGGCATTCAAACAAGTTGCAACAGAAAAGATGTGAGTGACTTGCCCATTCATCTGTTGTGCTTTTTCTGCAAAGTATGAAGCATGGACTCATACATCATCTATGCAGCAAAATGCACAAGTTCCAAGAATATGTGGTGCTCCCACATCTGATCATAAAGTAGATGTGCGATTCCACAATTGCACAGGAAGTACAATCACTTTTGCTTCCTTTGTTGCTGCTTATCCTTCATGCTCACAGTCATGTTGAGAGGAATGTCCTCATTGTTCCCTTATTGACACAGAGGGAACCTGAGGTTGAATGACAGTAACTGGCTCAAGACTACCAGCAACAATCTGCGGAAACCAAACAACTGAAATGTTCATTACTGTGAATAACAAAGAAAATATTATCTCGATTCTTTTTATTAAAGGGTTTAAAAAATGAACAGAATTGCTTAAAAGCCTCATCTTTTCAAAGTACCCCAAGTCAGGCACTCAAGACAACAGACAAACATCACAAAAATAACATTTTAAAATGTAAAACGTTTTCATAGATATCAATGAAAAAAGAGACAAAAACCAAATGTGCCATTCTCATATAATACATTCCCAAAGGAAGCTGAGGAATTCTGTAGTCAAGAGCAAAATAATAGGAGCCTCAATAGTCCTAGATGAAAACACATTCATACATCCTCATGGATGCACATTTGATTTGTAACACTTCACATAAGGATTTCTAACATTAATACCTGGATATTTTCGCTTAAAGGAGGTCACGCCCAAGTATTCACTGACTTGCTCTTGAAGCATATAGTATTCTCCAGTTTCATCAGGTGGCCATTTGTACTCTATCAGGTTTTCAGCTGGAAAGTAGCTAAAGCTAAACACATAAAGATCAAGCTTGAAACAATCAGTGTTCAATTAATTAATTAATTACTTCTTAAATTTATAATAATTTAATTATACGTCCTTCACCCATAGATCTCAGAGCAGTTCACAACATAAAACTACAAGATAAAAATGAAATACATAATGAAAACAAGAACAAAAAAACAAGCAAACCCTGCAGTGCACCGTCCATCATTGTATCCCACATACCATTTCACTTGCTCCATAGAAGGATTATTTGTTTATTTATTTAAATTGTTAACCACCTGGACACGCTTCAGGTGGAATTTTTATTTTTAGAATATAAATTTTAAAAACTGCCCTTTATTTCATGGACTATGTTCCAACTGTTAGATGTTAAAATGCCCCGTTTGCGGGTTAGTAATGGTGTCCTATAATATGCTGCTTCTTTTTATAAAAAAAGAAAACCCCAAATTTCGACTTTCTAGGTAGAGTGAGGCAACTAAATAATAAGAGGCACAGTTCCAGTGTACCTTTTTGAGAAAGAAAAGTACTTACAATCTATTTTCAAATTCCTATAGTGACCATCTCTGACTGCATGAGTACAAAATTTCAGAGCTCTAGTTCATGGGGAGTTACCCTAACAAGCTTGAGGGTAAGCAAGTGAGGGTCAGACATATATTTCCTATTTCTATTTAAACGATCTGGAATATATTGGGAAAGGTTACATACCGTATGCATCTAGAGAAGAAAAAAACAGAATGCATAATACCTAAGGTCTTGACTTGAAGTTTCACAACTTCGTGAGCTGTCCCCTGAGCCCATGCGTCGTCTTTTTGATGGTTGGCTGCCATCGTTTGAATTCTCTTCTGTATCATCCTACATAAAGAGCAAAGCGACAAATGTCGAAAAGCAGAGCTCCCAGGACTTACAACACATACTCATCAGAGACCTAGAATATAATTATTCTGGATTTTAAGGCCCTAAATCAAGACTGAGGAATGACCTGCCCATGGCATAAATCCCCATCCAGTCTGCATCCTCTCCTCAGCCTCAACCCCTCCTCCCTGGCCCACAATCAGCGGGTGTCTCTTGATGCTTCATCTCCCTTTTTCTGACAGAAATGTTCAGGAAGCAAGCTCACCTGAGACCTGCCACTTCATGGCCCTGAGCAATTTGAAGCAGCAGTTCCTGAAGCTGGGATGGTGGAGACAGGCAGGGTGGCCCTACCCACTACCAGAAAATGGTTTCCAGCAGATCACCACCACCCCACCCTTGAAACGAAGCCCTTGGCAAGAAGAGAAAAAAGTTTCCTAGCTTCTGCTTTAAATAGTTTAGGATCTGACTATTTGTTTTATTTATTTATTTACCTCATTTGTAAAGCCATAAGAGACGCTCTCTAGCTAGCTCACAAAGACGAAACCAAAGATTAAAGTACAGTACAAAACTATTAAAAGAGTAATAAATTAAACAACTGAAACACAATTTTAAAAGTTCAGAATTCAGTTTTGAAATGCTCTCCAACTCCAACAATTTATATGTTATTTGTATTCCAATTTGTATTCTATGGAATTACAATCACTGCAAGAAACAGAAAAATCATTATGTGGCCTGCCAAGCCTACCAGCAATTTTCAAGTTGTCTGTAGGGAAAGAAGTTTGGAAACCACTGTTCAAGAATCTGTGATAATATAACAAGGTATGCTGGGGTGAGAGGGACTTCTTGGATTAAATGCATTTTATGGGATCAGACTACAGCATATATCACTGACAGTGTGAGATATAATTATTTGCAGAAGCTGAAAATATGCTGAAAGTATCATGCTGCCCCCAAAGGGAATGCTATATGATATTTCAGTAAGACTAAAATCCTAAATATACAAGCTGGAAAAGAATCCCATCAGTGGGACTTACTTCCAGTAAACAGGCTTGCAGAGGTAGATAACCATATGGGAAAGATAGCAACAAGAGAATCTACTATGTATATGAAAGTGAATTACCAACACTAGAGAGACCAAGAAACAAAACTCAGGATAGGGCTATGCAGATGAACAGGCAGGTTGGGTGCTTAAAGTGGGGAGGAGGGGTTACCACCAGAAGCAAATTTATCTGCCACCCCATGGTGTCCCCCCAAAGACCCTTTAGTTTCTCCTAAGTGAACACAGCCATTCACTCCTGTAGGGGAAAATAAAGCACTGCATTTGTGATACTGTTGCAGTGAAGGCAAAACCTATTTTGACACTGCTGCCGGAGAATCCTAACAGGAATCCCACAGAAGGATCCTATGGTGGAGGGAGCGCTCTATGCCACTGCCGTAGATCCTGTGCAATATATGTCCACTTTTTCACACACACATACACAACTTCTTCCATGGGAACATTTGCGAGCGAAATGTAAATGTCACGGAGGGGTTGTAACGTGGATAGACCAAGGGTGGACAGGGAACTTGTGGCCCTCCAGGTGTTGTTGGGACTCCGGCTTCCATTAGCCCCAGCCAGCTTGGCCAATGGTCAGGAATGATGGGAGCCCAACGCCATTCGGAGGATCGCAAGTTCCCCATCCCTAGTGATGTAGTCATACGCGCAGCATCAACTCTTAGTCCCAGCAGCAGTACAGCCTATAGGCTCACGATGAGGATGATGAAGGAACCTCGCCAGAAACCGAGCAGCTTCAGATCCAATGCGATCCTGGATACAAGAACCACTGGATTCCCCTCCGCGGGGGCGAAATAAACACAAAGCGAAGGAGACAGCGAAGCGGCAACTTCAAGGAAAGCGCTCCTGCCCATCAGCCTTGGAGGGGGAGGCTGGGGGCGCAGAGGCTTTTGGGAGACTCGTCTCCAAGGCAACGGCAGGGGCGGAGGCTCCTTTCGTTTCCTCAGGGATGAGCCCGGGGCCGGGGAGGCGGCCGAGGCAACAGGGCCGCTCGGTCGGTCCCTGCCGAGAGTCCTTCACAACCTGCCGTTTCTCGCCGGAGGTCGCCCGTTATTTCTTTATTTATACTCCCGCCCCGGCAGGCCGAGTCGCCTGAGAGAGGACGGCCGCCTCCTCCTCCTGCTATTGCTGCCCCGCTCACCTTGAGAGACTGGGCTCCAGGCGTGGCCGGGTCGCTGTCACACACCCGCGGGGACAGGACGGCCGCCATCACCAACGCCGCCGCCGGCCACGGACGGACTGGCGCGGCTAGAGAGGCTCTTTGTCCCCGCCCCCCCCTCCGGTTTTTTCCGGGAGTCCTGCCGCGCCGAAGGACAGCGCCACCTGCCCGCCTGGAGGTGGTAGCGCAGCCGCCGTCGTGACATCAGCCTCACCCCCGTTCTCTTGGCTCTTGGGGGCGGAGCCTGTGAAGCAGATGCGCTCCCTTCGCCGCCTCTGTCTTTGGTTATTGGACCAGGGTCCAGAGTTGAATCGTAGAATCACAGAATTGTAAAGTTGGAAGGGAGCCAGAGGGTCATCTAGTCCAACCCCATAGTTAGGATCTCCCTCGTCCCAATGTTGGCATTGATTTTTATTTCACTGCTCCCTTAGCACTTACAACCCTTTTCTCCAAACTGTTATTGATGTTATTAGTTTGGATCAAGCCTGGCTTGCTATGGCCCAATTCTGGCGTGGGGGTTCCCTCCTTCCCTTTCTCACACCTCCCACCCAGCCACGACCCCCACCATCTGGAAGGGGCCCCCAACTTTTGGGGGAGCTTTTTCTGGAGGACTGGCCAGGGGAGAGAAGGCGGTGCAGGGAATTCTATTTCGACAGCCCCTCATTTCTCAGGAACCTACTTATTTTATGTTGTTATATTGGACAGGTGGCAAAAATTGGCCCTTATATCCCAGTTCAAGGACAGAGATTTGCAGGAGGTATGCTGTTTATTGTGACCAGAGTGGATGAGACACTCATGGTATCGACACAAAATTAAGCATTTAGTGCGGCCAGTCCTACAACATGGAATGCCCTCCCCATGGAAAATCTTATGTTCATATTTCTAGAGACTATTTCTAGGGTCACCAGGTATTTTGATGTGGTTAGACAGGTCCTTAGGATTTTATATTTGCTGTATATAATTTAGATGTATATAAAAATTTGTATAAATATATTTTTAAAATGACATATTCCTATGCATAACTCTTGACATACTTCCATGTTACTTTGTTGCATCAAAAGCAACAAAAAGTATTTTGGCACCTTAAATCTATGAAATGTTTTCTAGCATAAGCCTAGAAACCAATATTAGCTAAATATGTCACTAATTTGGCACCAGTTCAGACTCCTTGTGTACTATAGTGGTTTGCCCCGTATGGGTGCATGGGATAGTTACAGCCATTTCTCACGACAAGGTGCACAATAAAGCAAATGAAGAACATAAATAGGTTTTCTTTTAATCAAAAAATGTATACAAACCATGCAAAAGAGGAGTCAGCATAAAAAGTGCACAACTAGAATCAAGTTTTGTAACTGTTTTCTGAAAGGGCTCGGCAAGCAGCAAAGAATTCTGTTGTGAGTTTGGGGTCTGCATGATGCCTGAGTCCCTACTAATTTTGGGGTTCCCAGATCCAGCAAGGGGTAAAATCTAAAGGAGGATTCCATGGTTGAACTGGGCAGGAAGTTCCTTTGTGAGAGAATGGCCATAGTCGCCACTTAAGGACCACCATTACTATAACAAAAGAAGTGATTGTGCCCTCTGGGCAAATGGGGGGCATTTCCCCCTTCTTCACCTGGCTTGTACTTAGAAGGACAGTAACCAGGGTAGTTGTTTGTGAGCTGAGAGCTAGGAGCAGGCAGAAGATAGAGAGACACAGCCATGCTTGATTTCTGCTGGAAGCCAAGGCTGTGACTGGGAGAAGCAAGACCTTTTGGGGTGTGAATGCTGTGAGCCCCTCCATCTTAGGCTCAGGTTGTGTATAGATGTGTAAATAAACTATATATCATAAAGACACCACAGTGCGCGCTGTCTCTCATGCCAAGGAAACCAAACCCTGGTAAGTGCCTGGAACCTTGTACCACTCAAGAGATTGGGGTGACATGCAACAATACTATTAGTATCCACGTTGTTGTAACATCCTCCTGTGAATTAAAGTCACTCAAACAGCATGTCTGGGGGGCGGGAATAACCAATATGACATTTATTTGAGCAAAATACAGCATACGATTGTATAGAGCCACAGGAGTGTTCTCTTATTACAGTGGTTGTTTGCGATAGGTCACTCATAATAGCAAGCAATGATCAGAGCTATTATAACAAAATCCTCAGTTTCATGTTGAGCTTGAACCCAGGTGTCCCTTGCAACATCCCAGACCCATCTGCTGGCAATCTAGAGTGGGGGAAAGAGAAAATAATTGACCAATTAGCCCCACAAGAAATTTGAAAACAAATACCTTTCTTGTAGCAGGAGATCCTGCACAAAGGATCAACTCCTTTACTGACTTTTTTAAAAAACCAAAATTATCTGTGAATTACAAGCACTACCATTTCAGAAGGGATCTTCAATAATTTCACCTGCAGATGGGTATTAATTTGCTTTTCCAAAATCAAGCTAAAATAGTTTTAATAGCCCAAACAATCTTAAATTCTGATCACAGACTCATGGAATTATTTTGCAACATGCAGTCAAAATAAATGAATCTCTTGGCTTCCATATACAATCATTTGCCGTAATGGGCCTTACATTAACTGGAAGAACTGATCCAATGTGCATCTCTGGCTCATAGCTTCTGCTTTAACAAATTAGCTAAAGGAAAGGGCACATATCGCACACTTTAGGGTAATTTAGAAAAACGCAGGGGAAAGACACCTTGATAGAAGTTTATGGAAAGAGTAACAGTACAGAGGGTGGATGTGGGTCACAGCCGCACCATGCATTTAGATCACATCGCTTCCCCCAAAGAATCCTGGGAACTGTAGTTTATCTCTGCAGGAAACCATGTGTATGGTATGGATGTGACCATGGAGATGTTTTCCTTCTGCAGTGTGGAAGTATTTTTCCATATAGCATGCAATGAATGGAATTTAGTTCTAAAATCGCTACAAGATGTCAGGATGGCTTAAAAATATATACAATACAAATTCCTGGGGGCTACTAATGAGCAAGCAGCAGAGACTGGCCATCATCTGAATGCAAACTCCCAGATACATCTAGCTAGCTCCTATTGGAAATGAAATGCTGGACTAGATGGGCTTTACTAATCTCGTAAAGTAACTTAATATTTCTATGCAACTAGAGCATATCAACAGGTGATCTGTTTTAAATGTTTTAGGTGGTTTTTGGTGTATGTGATGTAAACCACTTTGATTCTTTTGGTGAAATGGTGGCAATTTTATAAAAAAAACACTTATTTTATGTTTATTGTTTATTTCTTTACAAACCACACATTCATATAGAATATTACAAGGCGGTATGCAAACCAAAAACCACAGTATTTGCCAAGCACATCAGTAAGAGAGCCAGTGTGGTGTAGTGGTTAAGAGTGGTAGTCTTGTAATCTGGTGAACCGGGTTCACATCTCCGCTCCTCCACATGCAGCTGCTGGGTGACCTTGGGCCAGTCACACTTATTTGAAGTCTCTCAGCCCCACTCCCCTCACAGAGTATTTGTTGTGGGGGAGGAAGGGAAAGGAGAATGTTAGCCGCTTTGAGACTCCTTAAAGGGAGTGAAAGGCGGGATATCAAATCCAAACTCTTCTTCTTCTCTTCTAAGAGCTGGTTGGCAACGAGCCTTGGGTTTGAAAGGCCTGTCTGGATTATACAATTTTTAGAAGACATCTACAAACAAGCAAAAATGACTGCTGCTGAACCTCTATTGGCAAGAGCCCCACAAGGCAGAGCCTGCTGCACTAAAGGCTCAGCGCCTGGTAAAAGCCATTGGGGAGGGCATGGGGGGACGACCACCAAAGGTGCCCCATCAGAAGACCTGTGCAATTAAGTGGGGAGCATAAGGAGACAGGTGGTCCTGATACGCTCTCGTCTGAGATGCACTATTCGACACAGCTACGGTGCAGTGAAGGATTTCTTCAGCAGTTAGGTTTTCAGAGGGGGTTGTAACAAGTGTATTTCTTTACTCACATTTACTGACTGACCAGTCTTTTCCACAAGAAATACTTGGACCACATACTTGTAACGGTCATAGTTCAAATCCTTGACAGCTGCTAATAAATCTTCTGTGAGGCTTATACATATCATGGAGCCATTCTGACCAGCATATTTAAAATCTTGAAGTTTGCTCTATTGAGAATTAAACACAGAGTTGCCAGTATTCATATAAAAAACATCTCTGTTGAAATTTTACACTCACTTTAACAAATATATATAACGATAGTTCTCCTGCTAATGAATTTTACAATTTCTTTTTGTAATATTCATAAGTGAACACTCACACCCTAAATCTTGTACATTTTTGCAAACACAGTATTCAAATATTTTGTTTAGCTCAGTCAGTGAAACTACCTTAAGCAAAGTGTTCTTCCTAGAAGGTGTACTTCAGATTTTTATGCACAAAGACTTTTATTTTAAATGGAAAAGTCCACTACCACCTCCTGCACCCTTCCAGGTACAGTGGTACCTCGCAAGACGAATGCCTCGCAAGACGGAAAACTTGCAAAACGAAAGGGTTTTTGGTTTTTTGAGTTGCTTCGCAAGACGATTTTCCCTATGGGCTTGCTTCGCAAGACGGAAATGTCTTGCAAGTTTGTTTCCTTTTTCTTAAAACCGTTAATACAGTTGCGACTTGACTTTGAGGAGCAACTCATAGCACGCGGTGTGGTAGCCCTTTTTGAGGTTTTTGAATACTTTGGTGATTTTTGAAGCTTTTCCAAAACTTTTCCAACACCGTGCTTCGCAAGACGAAAAAAACCGCAAGACGAAAAAACTCGTGGAACGAATTAATTTCGTCTTGCGAGGCACCACTGTGTTAAGATCAACAGAAGGAACTCTCTTGGTAGTTCCACAGCCCTCAGAAGTTCTGGTGGTGGTGGCCCAGAAGAGGGCATTTTGTAACCTGCCCTGGTTTTCAAATTCATGTACCTATTCTCATGTACAAAGGTTGTACACAAACCAAGACAATTTGAATTGTTCCTTAAAATCAAAATGCATCATATTAACATATAATAAAAAAAACTGAGACAGATACCTTTACTATAGCAAACAATAGTCTATTATAAACCATTTTGCATGGTCAAATAAATTTTGAGGCATTGAGCAACTGCTAGTAGTGAGTTTGTATACCGTGTATAAAGTTTAGAAGCAGAACTAGTGCGCCATAGCAAATCTTAACTCTACCTTTAAGATCTCTTCAGCTTTCTTCCTTATTACATGAGCCTCACATTTTCTATAGGGTTCCATTCTGTATGTGTTCGCATATTTTGGTCTTGCAAAACTAGCCTTGAACGCCAAGAGCTCATTTCTTGTCATATCTGTAATAGACTCATCATCTGGGTCCAAACCTGAAATGTCATGGCTTGAAGCTCTGTGTCTCCCAATCTGTGAAGGCTGGAATGCCCCGTAATTAATTTAGGAATCACATTATCACACTTTTAGGCTTCAAAATAATAATAATAATAAAGTTATAAGCATTATCAAATAATAAGGCAAGGTAACAAAATTGTTTATTTGGCATTCACTGTCAACTCTTGGCGAAAGTTTATCTTCAACATTTTTTTCCAGAGTTTCCAACACTGAAATCAATGAGGAGCTTTGTTTGTGGCAGGCAGAGGTGGACTCAGGCTGCATACACACCCAGACACTCCAAGTGTCCCTTATTTGCCAGGGACAGTCCTGTATTTACAGAAGCCATTTCAGTTTCTGATTTGATCCCGGAATGACCCGCTGTTTCTTAGGATGTTTCTATTTTCATCAGAGAAATGTTGTAGGGTATGGAGTTATCCAACCCCCGAGCCATCTAAAGGCAGCCGTGTATAGGGAAGCCGCACAACGTTGCATGGAAGGCAGAACCTGTGGCGTCTCAATATTGCTAGCTAGCATCTCACTGACTCCACAATAAACACGTGTTAGCGTGTGGGTCGATCAGGACTCAAATCACCACTTAGCCATGAAGCTCACTGGGTGATCTCGGGGCTTAGAGGAGAACTATGTACGAAAAGTGAGATAACAATGCAATCGATCAATGAGGCTCATTGCCTGATCTCAGTGCTTAAAGGAGAACTATGTACGAAAAGTGAGATAACAATGCAATCGATCAATGAAGCTCCTTGCCTGATCTCAGTGCTTAAAGGAGAACTATGTACGAAAAGTGAGATCAATCGATCAATCAATGCAATCAATAAATATCGCAGTAGGGAAAGTGCAGGGAAAGCTCATTGTGCGGAGCAGGGGAGAACGTTCTGCCCGGGAAGGCTCAACCAATCAAGGCGCATGCGCACTTTGGACAGCCGCGCTCCCCGCCGCTTACCCGACTCAGTTCACTATGCTTCCTCGACGCCCCCGAGTGGTGAGAAGGGGTACTACTCAGCCTTTTCCTGTTTTTGTCCATGGCTTTGTCCGTATTCGCTCAGGCAAAACGGGGCGGGGCGGAGGGCGGCAGCCGCTCACAAGCTTTCCGACCAAACCGCCTGATAGGACGAGCGTTGCTCGAAGGGTTTCCCTTTCCTCGGTGACGTCACCAACCGCGACAGAAGCGACCGGGAGCTAAGAGAAGCTGAAAGGAATGGAGGTAAGTGTGTAGAGCTAGAAAATGAAGAGTCGTACCCTCCGTGCGGGAAGAGAGCGCAAGGGCGGGAGGGCGGATATTTAACTCGCGATCCCCTTGCTGCAACCTGTAGCGCTCCACCTGAGGGGCGAGGGCGTATATAGCTGCCTCTGCCTGCAGAGTTGCTTTCTTCTGACAGGTGTGGAGATCAGCATAGTAGGTGGCTGTTCACACACATACACCAAGCACAGATTCCTGCAAAGTAGGGCTCATAATACTGGACTGCACTGCAGGGCTGATGTAAGCCAGGGTCACAAATGTGGCTCACCGCATTTCCAGGGCTGGACTTTTAATGCATGCTCACGTTACGCAAAATGCATCTGCATCTTGTACTTCATTATAAAATGCTACTGTTTGATGTGTTGTTTCTCCAACCAGCTTCACACTGACTGACTGACTGACTGCAGTTCTTAAAGGTAAAGGTTAAGGGACCCCTGACCATTAGGTTCAGTCATGACCGACTCTGGGGTTGCGGCGCTCATCTCGCTTTATTGGCCAAGGGAGCCGGCGTACAGCTTCTGGGTCATGTGGCCAGCATGACTAAGTTGCTTCTGGCGAACCAGAGCAGCGCACGGAAATGCCATTTACCTTCCCGCCAGAGCAGTACCTATTTATCTACTTGCACTTTGACGTGCTTTTGAACTGCTAGGTTGGCAGGAGCAGGGACCGAGCAACGGGAGCTCACCCCGTCACAGGGATTTGACCTTCTGATCGGCAAGTCCTAGGCTCTGTGGTTTAACCCACAGCGCCACCCGTGTCCCGACTGCAGTTCTTAAGCTGTTCCTAATCCAGTCTCTAGTCAAGTTGTGAACAGTTGCATAGGGTAAAGAGATTTCGGCTCCATCAACACCCGCTGCTGCGTACACAGACAGAAATGAATTGGAACAGCCGGTGGCAAGAGCTGTCAAACAAACCAGGGAGAATGACAACTCCACTGTGCTCTAAGGTGGTCATATGAATACACAGTTGGTACAGTCAAAACTTGGTTGTCAAACATAATCCGTTCCGGAAGCCCATTTGGCTTCCGAAATGTTCAAGAACCGAGGCATGGCTTCCGATTGGCTGCAGGAGCTTCCTGCACTCAAGCAGAAGCCATGTTGGACGTTTGGCTTCCGAAAAATGTTCGAAAACGGGAACACTTCTGAGTTTTTGGCGTTCAGGAGCCGAAACGTTCCAAAACGGAGGCGTTCAGGAGCTGAGGTTTGATAGTACATAAATGTGGTATAAAGTAGGATAGCCAACCTTTGTCCCGTCATATATTGCTGGACTACAACTCTCATCATCTTTGACTACTTGCCATGTTGGCTGGGGCTGATGGGAGTTGGGATGCAACAACTTCAGGAGGACCACAGATTAGCCGCCCTTGAAGGCAGCAATTTTGGCCATATGCCAATTTTAAAAACTTATATTTACAATACTGATGTTCTACGGTGTGTTGTAGCTGTGCCTGTTGTGGGTCTATTTAAGAGAGTACTACAGTAGTTGTGTTGTTTTATACTACTTTCATTATTTTTCACTTCTCATTTCAGATGCTGCTAGTTGATCCAGTCTCTACTACTTGCCTTTCCCCTACAGTGCACTATATGGTTTGTGAAGCTGGATTTGAGATAAAAGCAAACCTTTCTATTAGTAGCATTGTGTCCGACAAAGGTGAGATACACTGGAGAACAATCACAGAACGCATACAGTATGGAGAACCAGGTATGCGTTAAAATGGTGTGTGGATTGGTTAGCTAAGGTTGCAATTCCTAAGTACAGTTTTGTGGTGTAGGCCCCATTAGACACAGTGAAACTTACTTTTGAATTAAACACATGCAGAGGATTGCACTGCAGATCCTAGAGCTTATCTACATGTTTTCAGGCAATCATTTTGGGCTAATTTAATGGAATTAAGGGTTAATATAACCATAGCAAACAAATATGTCCTCCTTTTACACAGATGCTGCTTTAGAAAATAATAATAATAATAATAATAATAATACCTTTATTGTCAATGTACAACCTGTGTACAGTGAAATTAACCGAGCCTCCCTCTCCCCCCACAAACACTCAATCTCACAACACACCAACCCCAAAAGTCAGTATTTTCCGTTCAGCAGCCTAACAGCCCACAGATAGAAACTGTTTTTTAGCCTGTTGGTACGACTGATTATGCTTCTATATCTCCTGCCCGAGGGTAGAAGATTAAAGAGGTGCTGGCTGGGGTGTGAATCGTCCCTGAGAATTTTTCTTGCTCTCCAAAGGCAACGATTCCTTGCGATGTCATCTAGCGGGCTCAGGGGACAGCCCATGATATCATGTGCTGTGTTCACCACCCTCTGTAAAGACTTTCTGTCCGTGGCTGTCAAGCCAACGTACCACACTGTGATGCAATATGAGAGGACAGTTTCTGTTGTGGACCGGTAGAAGGAGTTCATCAATTGTTGTTTAACATTGTTCTTTTGCAAGACCCTGAGAAAATGGAGTCTCTGTTGGGCCTTCCTAACCACCTGAGTTATATTATTTTTCCAAGAGAGGTCTTCACTAAGGTAAACTCCCAGGAATTTAAAGGAAGAGACTAATTATTCAGGGGAAAACTTTTATTTTGGATGTTCATACTTCATAAGAACATGAGTTTATTGATGCTCTCCTTGACTAGGCACTCTTTTTTTGTTTTTCAGATCAAACTGTGGATTATGTAAAAAGTGTGAGATCTTTAGGACCTTTGTGTGAATCTCTTCACTCACATCTACAATCCCTTACCAGGGAGCAATTTGAAGACCAGTTTGTGATCTGGTTCCAGTGGACAAACTGCTCAGAGGTATGACATAAGAGTCCAGAGGGCTAGATAGAGACCCTTACCTCTCTCTTTCTGTCCCTCTTGTGTGTATGTGCATGGACCAACACAGCTGCCTGTATTTTTGGACTCTCTTTTGTGGTGGTGCTTTGGTGCAGGCTTCCTCAACCTTGGCCCTCCAGATGTTTTTGGCCTACAACTCCCATGATCCCTAGCTAGTCAGGGATGATGGGAATTGTAGTCTCAAAACATCTGGAGGGCCAAGGTTGAGGAAACCTGCTGTAGTGGAACTTAGTAGCTCTCCACATGAGATTTACAGATAATTTATTTAATTTAGATCTTGCCCTCTTTCTCAAAGGGCAGTAAATAACATCTTAAAACCATCTCAATACAAATACAGACTGGGAAAGATCTTGTCTCAAAAGGTCCTTAAAAGAGGAAGGTCTTCAGTAGGTGCCAAAAACTCAACTGTGTTGGTGCCTGTTTAATTTTCAAGGCGTGGGAACTCCAAAGGGTAGATTAAACTAGGATACAAATAATTTATTCTTTATGGAGTGGGAATACTCTTTCCTTTTGTAATACTTGAAATGGTAATAAAGAAATGCTTGTGAATTTTTGTTATTAACCTAAACTGCATTTGTAAGTTTACATAGCTGTTCTGTTCTCTCGCTTTAAACGTGTTGTGCCACATGACTACCCTTGGTTTTCCTTTCTCCCAAACGGCAGGTATTTCTTGAAACGTTTGACGCTATAAAGAGTCCACATGCTACAGCCATTGCACTGAGCTTAATGAAGCTTACGGCATGTTTGGAACGAGCCTTGGGTGATGTAAGTGCTAAAATCTTCGGCTTTGCCAAGCTTTAGGTTAATGAGGTCTTTTTGCACTGAAAGAAACATTGTCTCCCTTCTTTTTCTGATAATTTTAAGGTTGCAGGTTGAATATAATTTCCAGCTGGTTTCCACATTTAAGTGTTGTGAGATGCTTGCTTGCAGATGTTTACTGTGACCTTGTTCGCATGTCACTAAACCATAGTTGAACTAAACTGGTTTAAATGTGAACATGTAACCTGCTGGTACACACTGCTGAAATCACAGATGCTTTGCTCCTCCCTTTCTCCTGCTATTCTGCTGGCAGCTTAGTAATGATATGGCTTAACTTTACATCTTAACTGGGGCTCATGCTTTGTTTCTGCCCAGAGAAACCATGAGCGATAAGCCAAGAACAAACCTTAGCTGCTGGCAGCACAGTAAGAAGCTGCGGTTTTGTGCACATTCACATTTTTAAACCATAGTTTAGTGTAACTGTGGCTTAAAGGGACATGCAAAACAGACCTGTAGAAGTGTCTGCAGAAAGAACCAAGGATGTCACTTGTTGCCTATGTGAGCAGGGGATCCTACCATCTTGGATAAGCAGCAATGTGTCTGCCAGTGGTGCATGCCAATCACACTGTGTCTTCCTGAAGCAGGAGCTAGTGGGGCCTGGGACATTAGCTGTCATGATGAGGAGGAGCAACTGTGAACCCAAGGGGTGGAGGGAAGATGCTGGACCAGCCTCTTTCCCCCATTCCCTCCCTTAGTACTCTGAATAATAAGCTAGGATTGCTACATTGGAAGAAAGGGGATGTGGATGTTAGAATTCCTGCTCCATGATTGCAGTCATGGGATTTTTGTCTATCACATGATGGTATATGTTTTGACTCCACAGAGTGGGAAGTGACGGAGACAGGATGTTTGTGGTACTGTGTTCGGTGAAGTGGGACTATTGTCCTTTGTTCTTTTTCTCATTGCTGTCTGATGCTAGAGAGAGAGGGAGCCAAGTTACAGTGCTCCGTGTGTGTTTATATGTAAATAAAGTAGATTAGCCAAAATGCTGAGTTGCCGAGATCTGTTACACATGATGTGCAAACTCTGTGGATCCCTAAGTGTGCCGTGTGCCGGCATCTGTCGCTGTGATGTTCGGCTGAAGAAAGCTTTTGAAGCTCCCGAACGATTGACCAGAAGGGAGAGAATAAGCCAGTCGGGCATGTGTCTCTGCCAGGGTCCTACTCGAGTGTATGCTGAGCTCCTGACAGTGGTGGGGCAGAGGGAGGAGATGTCTAGCCTCTCATTTCCCTTCCTCCCCACACCCTTTGCTTGCCCGTGTGCAGAGCCTCCATGAATGGTTCTGGAAAGGGCAGCCAAAATGATCAAGGGGGTGGAGCAACTCCCCTATGAGGGAAGGTTTCAGCTTTGGGGACTTACAGCATTAGAACTCGTAGACATCCAATGTTGGGATATTCAGGACGGGCAAAAGATAGCACATCTTTACACAATAGTCCAGTAGCACCTTAGAAACCAACCAAGTTAGATCTGGGTATAAGCTTTCGTGTGCATGCACACTTCTTCAGATACCATGCATGCACACAAAAGCTTATACCCAGAACTAACTTAGTTGGTCTCTAAGGTGCTACTGGACTATTTTTTAATTTTTTATTTTGACTGCGTCAGACCAACACGACTATCTATCTGAACCCACATCTTCACCCAGTGAATGGTTGGTCACTTTGAGAACAGGATGCTGGACTATTCTGATTATTAAAAAGTAACTCACTTAAAGGAGCCCTTCTCGTAAATTTTAAGAGATTAAAATCATCTTGCTTTTCTTTCTATTTTCCTGTGCTAATAGCTGTTCGTTTGTTTTTTGTTCAGAAACATTCATAAGTTTCGGTTCAGTCCTTTTTCTTCATAGTGCCCTGTAAGCAAAAGCTCCTATTGCTAATTTTGTCATACTCTCAGATTGATGGGATGTTTTTATTTTGTGCCGTATTGTTAAACTCATTCACTGGTAGTCAAGGTCTGGGCATGTGTGTGAAAGAGTGTTCAAAAAAGAGAGACTTTTGGTTGCTTATGGAAAATCCCTGCATACTTCATCAAGAATTTCATTTTGATCGACTTGTCAGCAAGCCATGGAAAACTAAAACCTGGGATCCCTGGTTTGTAGATTTTGTTTTTAATGATTCTACTGGGTAACTAAGTAGCATGTCTGTGGAATATCCTCAGCCAAGTACTGTTTAATGGACCCTTGTCTTTATGTATGATGATGTATTATTGCTCCTTACCCAGTCCTGCTCTACACTACTTGTGGACTGGGCAAAGCCACCGAGCATTAGAATTGCATTTTTACTAATGAATAAGTTCCACCAGTTTGGGTGGGACTAGTAAATCTGTTTAGGATTGCATTACATGTCCCCTCCCCGCTTTCCCATTACTTGTCCCTTTGTCAAGAACATCAGTCGTACGTTCTTAATCCATTGATGTTCAGTAATCTTGGACTGGTGCTAGAGATGCTTGGGTCGGATTCACATCTTCTTTCCTGACAGATAAAATCAAGGTTTACATAGGTTCCCTTTGTCCTTTCTCTGACCAAGTCAGGCCCTTTGGTCCATCTAGTTCAGTATTGTCTGTGTTGACTGGCGATGGCTCTCCAGGATTTTAGACCTGGGATATTTGCAGCCCTGCCTGGAGATGCCAGGGACTGATTGTTTTCCAGAGTTGCCTTAACTTGAGATTATTCTTTTAAACGAAAAAGAGAGAAATGTTTTGCACAATTTAAACAAGTAAATTGATTTTGCATGTTTTGAGAAGGCAAAATGTTTTCTCTTGTTTTGATCTCCAGGTGTTCTTACTAATTGGCAAAGACTGTCCTTTTCTCCTACGAGACTTGCTTGTGTCTCAGGAACTTGCCACAGTCTTTGGGCAGTCAGTGGTGAGTGTCTTGCATGTGGTGTTTATATTTATTCACAAGCTTTTAATTTTTGTCCATTTAATACTCTCAGTGTCATTGCTGCTTAAATTACTATGGAATGTGAGAACTCCGGACCTTTTGACTGGTATTGTTTCTAGGAGCCTGTGAAACTCTTCTTTTCTACTACTTTGTGCCCAGTGAAGAGGTTTTAGAGGGCAGGAGCTGTGGGTGTGCTGAAACCCAACATCAGCACCTGACATTTGCTAGGGCCTGCCAGGGCTGATGCCTTGCCGTTTCCCCCACCCACCGGCCTCCACTTCAACAGTGGAGTGGCCCAACTGCAATGAGTTGCAAGCCCAGCTTGTCACAGCAACACTGAGCAAGTAGCAATGGTTACGCAGCGGCGGCAGTGCTATGATGGGCCAGAATCCGGCTCATTACAGCCCTGTTACTGCCATATAAGTCCTTAGGTGAGAGGGAGACTGGTGGTTGCCCCATGCCTTTGTGCTCAGGTGGGAACAAATGCAAATTGGAGGTTGCAGTAGTGCCACCACTTGGAGGCCAAAGTGACAGCATCTATTTGTCTCATTCAGCTCTATGGGGGCGGCATGCACACCAGCAATAGCCTGTCAAAGGTCCTTAAAAATCTGGAGCTGTTTGTATGTCCGGAGCAGCCCCTCTCCTCCAATCCATGACACTGATGTTATGTCAAAGTTTGAATCTGTTTCCTATATTTTGTTAAAATTAGATGGATGTTCTCAGAGTGTTCGTTGGATCTCCGGATGGTCTCAATCTTCGTAATATTCTGTGGCATGGATTTGCATCACCCCAGGAAATTCCTGTGAAGTAAGGCTGCAAGTTATTTATTTGTGGGTGGGATTTTTTGTGGGGTGAGTTGTCTCTTTCTTACTGGTCATAGCAGGAACAAAGTTGCACCGCTGGAAGAATGCTGGATGAGTCTGCTGTCCAGCAGAGGATTAGTCTGCTCATATCCCACTGAAGATACAAAGCACCTGAACTGAGAGCAGGATTGCAGCCTTGCTCTTTAAGTTTCCCACACACTATTGCTTGGGAGATGTTTTAACAGTGTGTTTCTAGATCAGCCTTCGCCCACCTGTGTTCTGGCTGGGGCTAAGGGAAGTTGTAGTCCATCAACATCTGGAGGGGCACCAGGTTGGCAAAGCCTGTTCTGGACGTTTCTAATTTTATTGTATATCCTAATTTGCCTAGATATTCCTCTATGCTGCTTTGTTTAACGGCAGGATTGGGACAACTGCTAAAGACTTACCTCCAGCAAACTCAGTCTACTTTAGTTCATCGACCTTACGTATCTTTCAGCAACTTGAAAGAGCTGCACGTTTTTCCAGGTGAGCATGTTTGTTGCAGCTCACCATTTGTAAAGGTTTACTTGGACGTATTATGCTGCTTGAACATTTTCTGTTTCTCATAAGAATTTTGCCCAGATCCAGAGACTTCACTCTTTGTGAAAAACCAGGTTTATGGGTGCAAGTTGTGTACTGGGTGTTAAGAAATCTGTTGTAAGGAAAATGCCAGTGTGTGCCTGACACAGTCCTGTCCAGATTTTAAAAAAACCTCAGACATTTAAAAATCATGCTGTTCTAGCATGCATTTTTAAGATCTAGTGGCCATTTAAGCTTGGGAACCATCCAAGCCCACAGATGTATCTGTCTATTTCAGTTCCTCTCAGTTTTTCATTATTCCATTCTTAAGTTCAGTTCTCCATTTCTGTTTCAGTTTGCAAAGATTTTTTTAAAAAAATAAATCATCAGCATTTCAGTGCACTTTCCTCCTAGTATATACATTTGTAAAGGCAGACTCCACTAATAGGCTTTTTTGTAGGTTATTTTCACTAATATATATGCATCATTAATGCAGCGGTAAGGTGCCACTTCTCGTTTCTTTGCTATGGGCCTCACTGAGCAGCAATATTAGAGCTCACCATTTAACTTTGAAATGTTTCTACATAGTTAACCGAAGAGCTGTTAGGCTACAGATCTTCCTCTGGTGGTTGGAGTCTAGGAAGAAATGGTTTGTCTCCGTTTCTTCTTTTTTCACTCTTAAATTCACTTCAGCAAATTTCCTCTTCATCCAAGGTCAAATTTAACACGTCTTGTTACTGCCATCCAAGGTGATAAAGTTTTATACCCCAAGTTCTTTTCTGTCGCTTGTAGATCTTAATCATGAATTGTTGTCCTTGGCTGATGAATTAGTAATCAAATCAAATATTGTATTAAGAACCATGTTGCCTTTTTGGATTACTGCACTATCGTCATTTAGACAACGCAGGTAAGAAGTGTTGCATTTTTTCCTAGTCTTCTTTTTTGAGATATATATAAAACCAGTTAAAGCACAGATTTATTCGGGGCTTTTTCTGGGGGGGATGCAGGGGTACATTTGTGAATCTAAGTTTGGCCTCATTGAGGGGCAGTATTTCAATATGAGTAGGAAAATGAGAGTACCCCTAAACATTTTTTTATTTTTTAGAAAAAAGCACTGGATTTACTTATATTAGGATCCTGGGCATCATCTGTTCAATTTGCAGGCTTCGTTTGCCTGTTTGTCATTGGTTGCCACATTCAAGTAGCCCAAGCAACCAAATGTGATATGTAAGAGCTATGACTGCCCTACTATAGGAACATAGGAATCTGCCTACTACTGAGTTCGGAGCATTGGGCCATCTAACTCTCTAATGTCTACACTGCCCTGAAGCAGCTCTCACAGATTTCCGATGGAGAGCCCTTCTCAGTACTACCTAGAGATGTCGGAGAACAGTCTCGGACCGCCTACCTGCGAAGCAAATGCTATACCATTGAGCTTCAGTGCTATCATGAAAGCAGCTCTTGCTTTCCACAAAAAGGTCACATAGGGTTCTGCACCATCAAGGTCTTATTTGAAATACTTTGATTTAAATATGCTCCCTTGATATTTAAGTCCAGTATGCTCATGGACAAAGCGCAGAGTCAAAGAGTTTCCCCATTTCCTCAAGCAGCCACTTGGATGCCCCAGGTTCTGAAGGTAATGGGCCCTTTATATGTCCAGCTGTCCTTTGTCAACAACAAATTGTCACTGTTTTTTGTGTTGAATGTATGCTATATGGTAATTTATGGACCTAACAGGTATCTAAAGCTATTTGCACATGTTGCCATGCAACCAGTCCATGAAGAATGTAAGCATCCTATATATAGAAATGAGCAAACCAGTGATATTTTAGGGAGCAGGCTAGTAGGCGGGAGCCTAAACAACACAAAATACTTTTGCTGTATGTAGTTTTTATTTTATTTGATTTTTATCTTATATTTTGGAAATGTATATCCAGTGGTTTTTTCCTTTAATTTTTTTTTGGGGGGGGGCCCCAAGAGAGTGGGGCCCTAAGCTATAGCTTGTTTAGTTTATACGTAAATCCAGCACTGCCCAGGCTTCTAGGCTTCTCTGAAACCAAAGGCTATAGCAGGGTTTCCCAGTCTTTGGGGGCTGATGAACACATTTGGAATTTTTTCAAGAGGAAGTCTCAAGGGTGGTCTCACTAAATGTTTGCTATGGGAAAATGTGCTCCCCAAAGACTGGGGACCCTCATAAAATAGCTGTAGAAATGAGTAAACACTCCTGTTCACTCACTCACTCCCCATCCCTGTGATTGCATACTGATTCCACTCCTTGTGCCTTTATTTCAAATATCTGAGACAACAATATCCAGCCTGAATGAGGCTTGTTAAATTCATATGTTTCAGTTTTTCATGAAAGAAGAGAAATGTGTAGTGGAAATCAATCTCGCTGTAATATTTCTTTCAGGTATGCAGACTGTGTTATACTGTTACTACCTCAGCTGGAGAGTGGACTTAGGTTGCTTTTCACAAAGGTTAATAAATGTCCTAGCAGACTAATGACGGCTGAGGTAATTTTTCCTTTTTCTTTTTTTTTAAAAACCATTTAATTTTCAGATTTTAAAATTTACAAACAATTGTCACACAACCAAAACAAAAAGAGAATTCCATAAATTCCCAAGGACTTCCCTCCTCACTTTTGTGGATCCTTACGTTAACTTTTTTTCTTCCTGCATCTTCTCTATTAATTCAATTCTGTTAAATCTCCATTACAACCATAGTCCAACATTAAACTACAAGTGTCATTCCAGTCCTACTAATAATTTTAATTGTTTACAATGACGGCTGAGGTAATTTCCACCCCTTGTTGGTCACTTCTAAAAAACCCCACCTCTAGTCACATTTACCTAGAATCTGTTATTAACTGCTACCACATAATGGTCCAGTTTGAATGTACAGTTCCCAGCTTGATAAACCGTAGTTTGGCAGCCAGGAATGAAGGATGAGATCACACACCCTGCCTATTCCCTTCCTCAGTGCACAGATTCTGGTTAGCTTGAACCACAGTTTCACCTTAATAGAGGGTAAAAATCAGCTGAGAGCTGGGATAGTGAGCAATTTTATTTTGATTTGTTCATTATTTAGAGTCTTGTGGAAATTGTCTTGGAGGGGAATAGGGGTCTCCCAACACCTCTCATCACCCTTAACAAACTACAGCTCCCAGAATTCTTTGGGCGAAGCTACAACTGTTTAAAGTGGTATCATAGCACTTTAAATTCTTGTGTGAATGTGGCCAGAGTATGACTTAATTTAAATCAACCTGTATTTTCCTTCCAGAAATTAAACAGTAGTGACATTTTTATTTTCTCTTTTCTAGTCATCTTCTCTTTATACCACTTTCGATGAGGTAAGTTGACCATGTGGTTCATTGGAGTACGTGACATGATACTAGGGATGCAGGTGGCACTGTGGTCTAAACCACTGAGCCTCTTGAGCTTGCCAATCAGAAGGTCGGTGGTTCGAATCCCCGCAATGGGGTGAGCTCCTGTTGCTCTGTCCCAGCTCCTGCCAACCTAGAAGTTCAAAAGCACACCAGTGCAAGTAGATAAATAGGTACTGCTGTGGCAGGAAGGTAAACAGCGTTTCTGTGCGCTCTGACACTTGTCATGGTCTTCTGTGTGCCTGATGTGGTTTAGTCCTGCTGGCCACATGACCCAGAAAGCTGTCTGGACAAACACCGGCTCCCTCAGCCTGAAAGTGAGATGAGCGCTGCAACCTTTGACTGAACTTAACTGTCCAGGGGTCCTTTACCATTTACCTTTAGACATGATACTATAGTTGGTTGGTTGAAGTAGTAAGGTTTTCTAGAAAATGACATTCTAATTATAAAAAAAAGATTATTTTTTTAAATGCAGGATGTCTTAGTTGTAAAGCTTTATATTAACAAAATAGTCTGGCAGTCTTCAGTGCTTTGGGTTATTTGACATTTGATTCTATTTTTTATATCTAGATGCTAGCAAAACAGTTGCATAATGAAGAAGCCAATCAGCTTCCTTTAGTTCTTGGTGAATCAGCAATGGTAAGATGATGGATTTTGGCTTATTGAATTTAAAATGAAAAGCCCATAGCTTTCTAGGCCTCAATTGTTGACTAATAAGTGCCAGTAGAGCTTACTTCTGAGTTGACATTGCATAGGACTGCACTTGTTGGTATTTTGTAATAAGGCAACTCACACTTCCAACACAGCTGGGCTATCTTGGGTGAGCACAATGTTAATTTTTATAATGTTAATTCAGTATTATGTTAATTCATGCAGTGCTAAGGTATAAGTAACTCTTTAAATACTGTAGGACTCAAGTACCTAAACTTATATTCTCTATGAAGTAAGCAGTTCAGTGCTGAATATTTGCAGCATGGATAAAATTATAAGATCATTAGAATGCTTTAGTATGGAAAAACGTTAAATGGTGATAATGAAGTCAGCAATGCTGACAGGGATGTCACCTTTGCTGGTTTTGAAACTATTCAACAGGGATTTTGTATGTTGCATCCTAATAGTGAAAGGGATTAATGTTGTATAAGAGACTATTTTCCATTTGCAGATCTGCAAACAAGTTGCCATGTGCTCTGGCAGCTCTAAGCAATTGAACAATGAGAAATAATGACTTCTCAAAAGAGCAGATTTTCATAATCATCTATAGCAGAAACTTAACTTCCAGTAGGATTTTGCTCTTGTAGACGGAAAGCAAACAAATGTTTGCTCTGGTTTTATTTCCACCCTCTCTGGATTGGATCTAGAAACGCTTTTCTACATATCAAAGGCACCTTGCCTGCATAGAAGGGCCTTTTCTTTTCTTTTTACATTTCACACTACTTGTCTTGTTTTTTGTAGGAATTTTTTTGGGATTTCTTGAACCACCAAGAAGGCCCACGTGTCAGAGATCATCTGAGTCATGGAGAGAGCAGCTTGAATGTCTTCCCGAGAGAAATAGCCAATTCGATTCTTGCATTTTCTATTACCCTCCTGTGCAGATTTTCCAAAGGTGACATAGCTGCAGTCAAGGTAGGGGCCAATTTTGGTGCAGCAAGACTTATGTGAAACCGATGTTTCCTTATACCCAAAATCTGGAAAGATCTGGATTTGAAGACTTATCTTATCCAACTATCATATGACTTACAGGCACTTCTTTTATGGGCAGAGTGAGCAGGATCCAAAGTGCCATGCATGGTTCCACTTTTTACGAGTCTGTCACATTCCCTAAAAAGTTACTTCGGAAGGTCTGGAAACCCTCCTGAGTAGAATCTGATTTTGTATGAGGAGCTATTTCCAGAAGAGAAACTCGGCAATCACTCTGTGTCCCTAAACCAGGCTTCCTCAAACTCGGCCCTCCAGATGTTTTGAGACTACAATTCCCATCATCCCTGACCACTTGTTCCTCTAGCTAGGGATCATGGGAGTTGTAGGCCAAAAACATTTGGAGGGCCGAGTTTGAGGAAGCCTTCCCTAAAGAAATGCCTTGGGATACATGCATGGGCCTCTTTGGATTGTGGCCAGTGAGCTACAGCTGTAGTATAGACCAACTTTCCCGAACCTGGTGCCATCCACATATTTTGGTCTACAGCTGCTACCATTTGAGACCAGTGGCCTGATGGGAACTGTAGTCCAAAAAATCTGGAGGGCAGCAAATTGAGGAAGACCATACTGTAGATATATTACATTATGTAAGCTATCTTAACATTGGAAAGATAGGAGCCATCCCTGTTCTGCTGTCCTAATATTTCTGTCAAATGGTTTTTATTTCTTTTATTCTTTAGCATGCAGGGTTTTTCAGCTTGCTCTTCATCCATTCATTCTGGCTTATATTACTAGATCTGTAAATACTGAAACAGATCTACGATCAAAATGGGCCTGGGATATGGGATCTTTAACCCTTTTCACTCATGCTGCCCCTCCCCAAGCTATTAGCCCTTCCGCAGCAAAAACAAAGGATGATTTAGATTGGGGAAAATGGAGGGAAAGGGTTAACTATTCCCAACAGCCTTGGTCTGCCCAAAATCTGAACCCACCCATACCTACTTGAAAAGTTATTTCAAAAGCAAACAAGGGAGATCCAGTCACAGATGCATTATGCCCATTTTTGTTCCAAACATGGTTGATCCACAGGAAGGAGTAGTTTCGTGTTGGAAACCGCTCATCCGCATGTGTAGGTTTCATCAGAATCCAGGGCAGTGCATAGTAGTTGATACCTTTATTTTCTTATATATTTTTGTATATAAAGCATCCTAGGTTGGATCCAGACTTGCTCCCTCTGACAGGAAAGGTTCCTGTATCCATGGAGAGAACTGGGATCTAGCAAAGGCTTCTCACTGGAGGAAGAGGAGCAGTTTTCACTGATTCTTGACACCGCCTTCCATGCTTTTCAGGGGTACAGGGGTCTGCAGGGGAAAGGAGGAATCAACAAAGGTCACTTCTCACCCCTCATTTCCTCCAGCAAAAGGAGAACTCCAGTGAGCACAAGTCTGGATCCAACTTCATCCAATACCTTAACATTGTTAAGTACAGTACAATTAGCTTCAGTGGAATTGATTGCAGTACTATCTACAAGAAAATAATTCAAAATATATTTACATTTTAACCATGAATTTTAATTTATTTTCAAACCAGGAACGCTCATTCCTAAAACCACTTATGAGCTGTGCAGATTGCTATTGTTCCCAATTTCATCCAATAGCCCAACTTAAGAAGCAGGTACATTGCCTTTATCATCATCTTTGTTGTTCAGTAGTGAGTTAATCTCTCTTGAGCTTTTAAATAGTCACATCCACACCATGCAATTAAAGCACATTGCTTCCCCCAGTCCTGGGGATTGGAGTACAGTTCCAGATTTGGGGGGGGGGGGGGAGATGCACTTTCAACCGTCCTGTCAAAGTTAGTAGGAAACTCAAACATGTGCATACAGAAGAGGTTTGTGTGCTAAATCACTGTTTGACAACACCAAAAGAGCCCAGTTGAAAGTTATAGACTGTCAGAGAAGTTTAATCAGGAATGGATTCATAGCACATGTGACTTCAGGTTAGTAAGGTCTGCTAAAAAGTCAATGGCAAATAAAAGCTTTGGGCTGAATTCTAAGAACCAAAGCTCTCAGAATGAGTCTTTCTGATCTCATCATACTGTATGCCTCAACATTACCTAAAAAGCCAGTCCTGAAGATCAGGGGACCTTTTGCGGAGATGTGGGATATGGGGGCGGGGGGCAGGAGCAATGAAAACTGTAGCCTTTGGGCTAACAGGCCTGCAAATTTCATCTACTTCTGTCAGAAGGGAGGGGAATTGTTTATAGATCTCTTTTTCACTTTCTAGGTACTGAAGTGCATAAAAAGCATTCATTCATGGTCTGTTCTTCCTATAATGCCTGAAGAGCAAGTTCAAGAAATTGGAGGGTAATGCCTGTTTCTCCTGTTCCTTTTTGTGGTTAGAGGTGTATGTTGGGGTGTCAGATGAGAAATTTCTAAGTCTACGCTTTCTTGCAAACCCTTCTTCCTATTTACATAATTCTAGACTGCTGTACAAGGATTAAAATGTGGAGGTAACTGATGAGCAAGACATTTGGTTAGTTTGAATATATGTATGCGTTTAGGTTGTCTGTCCCATCTTATCTTGAGGGCTCATGGCAGGTCACTGTGAAAGCAAGTGATTGTATCAACAGACAATGCATCCAAACATTTAGAACCTTTGGGGCTCCCAACCTGTCATGCTGAAAGAGACCCCCATCTCCTTATGGTAGGGAAATGTTGGGTGCGTTAAAGCAGCAAGACTGTGTAACCTTTTTTAAAAAAAACACAAAACAAACTAGGCCACCACCTCAGTCAGCATCACAGTCTAGGATTTCATCATCTTAGAATTTGGGAGATAACCAAGGATAACACACCCAAGAATATATTGGTTGATTTGAGGTCACGCAAAAATAGAATTACTAATTATTCGATAGCTCTTTTTGTTCTAAGTAACACATATTTGAAGGCTCAAATAAGATTCTGAGAGCAATCATTAATATCTTGGTTTTCTTTTGTTTTTAAGGTCAGGAAAAGATACTGATGATGTTCCTTGTATGTTTGCGACTACCGATATTTTATCTCAGCTACAACCCTACTTGTCTCACAGTATCAGATTTCTAGGTGATCCTGTGGAGGAGGTTATAACTGAGAAGTAAGTTCTGTAACACTTTCGCTGCTTTTTGCCAAATCTGAAAGTACACTGTAGTCCTATGACTTACCTTTTTGGTGATGCTTTTTGTCAGCTCTGGAGTTCCATTTCTATTAAATATAGGGACTGCCTCCTGAGATAAGTTTGAGCCATAATGCCCATGTTCAGATGCTCTGTTCTCCAGTCCTTCAAGCACATGCTTCAGATGCAGATTTTACAAGAACTCTTCTTGGTGTGTCAGGGTTTGCCATAGCAACTGGACCAGCAAACTGGCTTTAATGATCCCTCCAAACAAAGATTGTAAACTATGGTTTGGCTACATTCATATATGACAATAAACCACAGTTTACCATTACAAGAATAAGCCCAGCATCCCTGAGCTTGCATGCTCCCCCTTCCTTCTCCTCCTCCACAGTATAGCCACAAGGAGGGGATTGGAAGCTCCCATGTCCCTTTTAGATTAGCCACAGTTTAGCATGTCCTTCAAGTCCCAACATTCTATCTGATTATATAGATGGACTAGATCATGCAGGTGGAATTAGCTGGCATCAATGGCAAACAGTACCCATTTATTATAAAAGAGGCAAATGTGATTATTTCTTCAAATTTCTTTAATTTGGAAGAACAATCGGTTTGCCTCTTTTTATGGATGTAGTTTGCACTAGATTAGCTTGCATTTATGGCAATCCGGCTGAACATTAGTTCTATTTTACGGCAGCTAAAAGAGCACTGAAGAAATGGTATATTTTTTGATTTAGGTTATTGGCTGATCTCTGCAGCAAGCATCTTCATGTCCTTTTCTGCCCACGATCTGTCCTGGAGATTGTCGTGGTGCTTCGTCAGATAAGCAACCAGTGCCACCAAGTGTCATGTCAAGTCATTTCCACTTGTGAAACCAGGTACAAGCAGTGGACAAACAAATCACTGAGATCACGCCAGAGGCACAACTATCTGCGCATGAGAAGGAGGTGGGGTTTTTTCTTTACTTTTGAAGGAATGAGAGTGAACATGTAATTGAAAATATTTTCAAAATAAACAATTTGTTAAACAGATCTCAAGTATTACAAGAGAGAGAGAAATAGACAGAATGAGTGCATATAATATTCTAGATCTGTATTCATATACACATGTGCATGCATATATATATATATATCACAAAGACTACATCCAGACTTGCTTAATCCCACTGAAAATGAAAGTGGGACTTGATTTTGATGGGGCCTAAATGCAACTGATGTAGTCTAGATTCTTACACAATATATATAACACAGAGATAAGCTAATAAATGAAGCTTGTGTTCTGCAAGTATTGCTCTGTGTTTCTGACTGATGCTGAAAGTATCTCCAGGGCAGATAGGCAGGCACAAATGTTCAGGATAAGAGGACAAGCTTAGTGAAAGTAACTAAAGGGATACAAGGAGGCAGAGATCTGAGGGGAGAGAAAGAGAGATTGTCAGTTAGCAAGCAGCAGAATATCTCTCCTGTCTGAGTGTCTTGTTTTTTGTTTTTTTTAAATGATATTTATTAAGAATTTTTAGAGTTACAAAAAAGAAACAAAAAAGAAAAAACAAAGGAAAAACAAGCCACAATCAAGCAATACAAATTAATAAAAATCAGAATAAAAAAATAACACATCACGATCAAAAGACAAAAATGTGCCACAAACATTTAAAAACAAATCCAATATTCTCAAATCCTTAATTGTCATTACCTTCTTTCTTTGACCTCCTCACCCCTCCCTTTTTTTGTATCCTAGTTATTAATTGTCGCAGCAAATCCTTTCCATATTTCATAATATTCTGTCATTACATTACCTTAATCTATTTTAATCTTATCTTACTATAAAGAGCCTTAAAATTTAAAACTTAGATCTTATTTATACCAATTTCTCATATCATAACCATAATATTCTTACATAATTCTTTAAACATTTTTGCTAAAGCCAAATAATTTCGTTCCAACATTTTTCTAACGTTCATCAATTTTATAAAACAATCCTAATAAAAAAAAATTTTTTTTTCTTCCAATCTTCAACCAGCGTCTCTTCCTCCTGGTCCCGAGTTTTGTCAGTCCTTTCTATCTCATCAATCTAGCGCATTAACCTGGTAATCTTATGTCCGAGGCCCTTAAGTCCCTTCCATGTCCCTTCCGCGGCTCTTCTTCATATTTATACCTGTACTTTACTTTGTCTCCTGCTCCTTTCACTCGTGGGAACTCCAACTTAACAATGTTTTTGACCCTTCTCGACAAATCAGCCCCTTTTCCATAGTCCACACTAAACTCCATGTGGTATTTAAAAACAGGTTTCAAAGTCCCTCCAAAATTGAGAGCCCCCACAACCCCAAACATCTCATGGCCCATTGCCAGACTTGAAAAGTCCAAACATCTCTGCATAGGGGGGTCTATCCACCCCCCCATTTCCAAACCAAACCAAACTTTATCTTTCCAAATCTGGCTTTTTCCAAGTTCATTTGTCAAATCCAAGAACTCATGTTCCTGCTGGGCCACAGCTCCCTCCACCTCTGGCGCCCAAGGTTCAGCAACATCCTCTCTCATCTGTTCTGTCAGAGCACACTCCTGATTTGAATCCTGGGTGGGCTCTATATAATTTCCCACTGCCTGTCCAAAATTTCTGATCGCATCAGTCATCAAGTCCGTCTTCTCATGTAGCTGTTCCAGTAGGGCACTTGTTTTACAGAAAGCACGCAGCAGAGCTTCTGGATACATTGTTCTGCAAGGTCAGAAGGCTATTCCCATGATCGTAATCTGTAACAGCTACTAGCTTCCCGATTCAGAATTTGAAACTGTTTCACAGGCTCCCTCTAGGGGAAGAACTTCTTTTTGTTCTTTTCTTTTAAAGGCAGATCTGACAACAAAGTTTCCTTTTTCAGATATTTTGTCAATATTTGTTCCTTTAAAATGCGAAAAGGAACAGTGGAACCACTATGTTTCTCTTCTTTTAACTATCTGTCAAAAACGTTTGTCTCTGGCCAATGAGCTTCCCGAAGAACGTCAGTCCTGACACCCCACTCCAGGATCAAGACGGTGGAAAGTTACTTTGCTTTACACTCTCTTCTGCAGGTTTAAACAGTCCGGAAAAAATCCCCCCTCTTCTCCTGCTTCCGAAGGGGGTTCAACAATTTTAAATGATGGAAGTTAATCCTTTACAAGCGATTTTTCTGAACTCTAGTTTGCCATGTCTTTGCTTTGATCTATCTACAAAGAAATGGAAGGCTGACTTCCTGTTTAGACCTTCCCGTTTCAGTGCCAAATTAAAGTAAATTTTTAAGTCCAATTTTCCTTTCTAATCATTATTTAGAGTCCAATTGTCCGAGATTTAAGTACTCACGGGTGATTATTTTAAAAGCCAAATTGTCCCAGGAAAAAGGCAGCGCTCTCCGGCAACGGCTGTGCGGCTTCGCTCCACGGAAGAAGCAGTTGACTCTCAGCACCGCGCCACTGCCCCCTCTTCGCTCCGGAGCCCGTTAGTGGGTTCCTTTGCGGGTTGGGGGGGCGCTAAAGGTGCCCGCCGAGTCCCATGGTCACAGGCTTCATCCGCCTGTGATTTTTGAAAGGGTCCCCGCTTCACCGTAGCGGGAAAGACCCGTTTCCCGTGGAACTGGTCCCTCCAGATCAGAGGGAGTCCGCCATTACCGATGGCACCACCCCGGAAGTCCCTGGCTGAGTGTCTTGATCCAGGTGTTGCAGACTAACATAACCTTCACTTAATCCATTTAACCTATTTGACATTAACATCCAGCACCACATAAAAAGTATATTTATATGCTTGTCACTGCTTTATAGAATCTTTTATGGTTTTTATTGCATTTTTTTACTTTATGCTCTTAAAATTTGTAAGCTGCTTGGAGACTCCTCATGGGGCAATGAATTAAAAACAGCAAGAAGAACAGTATAGCAATATGTTTTCTTGTTGGCTTAATTGTTCCTAAAGCTTTTGTTTTCAAATATTTTTTCTTCTTCTAGTATTAAATTTCTATCTCCAGTCTTGCAACTAATTTTAATCTTGATTACGCTGGAACTAATCCATGTCCATACTGCTGGTGAACAGAAGGCTCCTGGATATCAACATTACCTAAAGTGAGTACATTCTAGCTTTAGTCAAGTAATACACAAGCTCCTTTCAACCACTGATTATTATCTGACTGATTCCACCTAGTGATTTGTAATCCTTGACATTCCTTAATCAGCTGCAATATGAAGAATGAGCTGGCAGCACTCTTCACTACACCTTTCAGCATTCTGGAGCAGGAAGAAGGTGGTACCACCAGTGTCTCAGTACTACACCTCTTAGTTGTTGTTCGGGCTTCCAAAAGGACCTGGAATAAAGATGTTGCTTTAAATGCGTGACTGCATTTAACATGACTGGGTGTTTCCTCCCCGCCTTTACAAATTGCAGCCGCTGGAAGGGGGCAGTGTGGTCCAGAAATGTCTTTCTGCAACTGCAAAAGCGATGCAATGATGGCTTTTCCAGGGAAAGCATCTGTTTGACAATATATTTTAATGTCTGATGGTTTTTGAAAAAGGCTTTCTTTTTTGGTGTCACAATTGTATTTATTTCCTCTTCCACACAGGTTCCTAAAGGTGATCTTGAAGTACACTGAGAATCTGGTGACTTACACAAGCCCGGAAAAAAATAAATGGGAAGAAGCGACAGAGCTTACGCAGAACGCTTTGCTAAAAATCAGAACTGTCTTAGGGAAGCAGCAGTTGCTTGTGCAGTTGGCTAATTCCTAATGAATGTAATGCCTCATTAGACCTTTACACCTTTAAGTTTAATGGACATGTCTGACCAGTTTCTACACCTGTCCCGAGTTCACATTGCCCAAAGTTAACAATCAGCAACAGTCTGCAGGAGGTGTCTTTTTCCCATTAGGATGAATAATCACACTTTGTGGACCTGTTAACCGAGCCAGAACTGGGAATCAACCTGACCCCTCCTTTTTCACAAGGTACTGTTCATTTGCTCTGCAATGTATTTTATAATAACTTGAATGTATCCTGCCAACTCAGAGGAGTGTAAGACACATTTTTAAAATTCTCTTAATAAACTCGCTTGATTTTGTTTTTTATCTTGCCTTTGGAGTGGGTGAGTTGAGAGAAATGAAGTACCATCAGAAGGCAAACATGACATATGCTGTCCCTCTTTGCTTTCTCCACTGTTTGATTAGTATATAAAAATTGATTTTGTGTTTTTAAAATTCAATATTAGTTTAATTCCTGTTGACCAAAGGAAAGGTTCACTCTTCTACAGCATCTGTTGACAGCTAGCCTTGTAAATCCTGCTTTGTCATATATCTTGCCTATTAAGGTACAGCTGCAATTAACAGGAATAAGCACAAGGTGGCAATGTTGCATAACGTAAATAACACCGCAGTTTTTCACCTTTGCATCTGATCCTGCCCAAATGGTGACAAATTCTTCTTCACATTCTATAGACCTTCCTCACAGGGATGTTTCCCACCCCCTTGCAAATTTAAAATGGAATACCACTATGTTCAATTTCTTTTGTTTTCTTGTACTGAAATAAATCAAGTCGTGTTTCTCTCTCAAACATTTTTTACTTTCCCCCGCCAGAAATTTATGTTCTACAATATTCTCTCAACTTAAACTACCTTACAAGGTCGTTTGGTGAATAAAATGGGGAGGGGGTGAAGAACTATGTTCACCACCGTGGGCAATTTAGAGGAAAGCTGAAATAGAAATAAATAAAATGTGTCAACCTGACCTAGATGATTTGCTAATATTCACTTAATCGAGATGATCTCATTTTCTAACAAAATGCTAATCAAGCGTTTCTCAGACTTTATGAAGCAGTCCGTCCCCCCCCCCACTTTCTTAAAATACTAGATTCCCCCATGCCTATTCCCAAATATACAAAGCTAACGGGGGTGCTTCCAGATGGTAGCTGTGTTTTGGTGGAATTCACTCAGATTCAGGTTGCGCAATTACAGTAGACTGGGAGGCCTTGTGTAACAAATTTACTTTCACCCAAAGACCAGACCTTTTTCCGTTAAGGAAAGTGACATGGAGGGGAAGTGTGGGATAATGCTTTGTCACATCATATAACCTCCCAGCAAACAAACCCAGTTATACGTGTCTAGCTCCTGTCCCCCTCGTGGTCAAACTCGTATGGTTGGTATTCAAGTATGTTTTGCTCAGCACAGACCTATTGAACTTAATTGACCTAACTTAGTTGCGTCCATTAATTTCAGTGGGTTTCCTCTGAAAACTCAGTGGAATATCAGCCTATGCAAATCCACAGCCATGTTGTTCTTCCACCTAGCTCCAGCACAAACCTTCTCTCCTGCTTTGTCTCTGTGGTGCAGCAGCAGCCCTCATCATCCATGGTCCTGTGGCAAAGTATTACATGCCTCCTTTCAGCAATCCCACCAGGGTTTTTTGCAACCCCACACTTTTTTTTTTAAGGCTCTTGAAGCCTTCACAGGTATAAAAAAACATAATTCTGAATCTTCCTCCTCAGCTTATGTCCTGTGTTCTCTAGGGCTTTGCCCTCCCCTTTCAGGTGGAGAAGCAACATGCTAGTGCCCAAGGTAGAAGATAATAAGCAAATAAACTCACTGTTTTGATATTGGTTGCTCTCCTTCATTGAGGAACCGTTTTCCTGAGGAAAAGTGTGGTGGTAAATAACAAATGTGAAGGTGACGGAAGCCCACACATGAGCCCTTTTTGCCAAAGCAGCGCCAAGAATTCAAAACATTTTTCAACCACTCAGGTTTTTGAGGGGAAAACCCTCCTATAAAAAAGGGGTGTGCAGGGGAGAAACGAGTCTGAAATATTCACGGTGTTGCCAGTTGCCAGTATGAAGTAGCCAAGCGTTTTCTCTTCCCATTGCTTGTTTTTGAAAAAGCCCTGCAATACTCACATAGGTCCAAGGCTCCCTCCACAGCAAAAGCAAATTTAGGGCAGCACGACTGGTTCTGATGTACTAGGGTACTGAGCCTAGAGCAGGGGTCAGCAAACTTGTTCAGCAGGGGGCCGGTCTATTGTCCCTCAGACATTGGGGGGGCGGACTATATTTTTTGGGGGGGGAATGAACAAATTCCTATGCCCCACAAATAACCCAGAGATGCATTTTAATAAAAGGACACATTCTACTCATGTAAAAATTGTAAAAACATGCTGATTCCCGGACCGTCCGTGGGCCACATTTTTTTAATTGTTATTTTATTTATTTATTTATACCCGGCCCATCTGGCTGGGTTTCCCCAGCCACTCTGGGCGGCTTCCAACAAAATATTAAAATACAATAGTGCATCAAACATTAAAAGCTTCCCTAAACAGGGCTGCCTTCAGATATCTTCTAAAAGTCTGATAGTTGTTGTTCTCTTTGACATCTGGTGGGAGGGCGTTCCACAGGGCGGGTGCCACTACCGAGAAGGCCCTCTGTTTGGTTCCCTGTAACTTGGCTTCTCGCAGTGAGGGAACCGCCAGAAGGCCTTCGGCGCTGGACCTTAGTGTCCAGGCGGAACGATGGGGGTGGAGATGCTCCTTCAGGTATACTGGACCGAGGCCATTTAGGGCTTTAAAGATTAGCACCAACACTTTGAATTGTGCCCGGAAACGTACTGGGAGCCAATGTAGGTCCTTAAATTTAGAAGGTGATTGGGCGGGATCTGGCCCCCAGGCCTTAGTTTGCCTACCCATGGCCTAGGGGGTCCTGAAGGGCATTGCTGCTATGACGTAGTGAATTGAGGAGAACAGAAGGTAACAGGTGGAAGAGTGCCGGACTTTGAATCCAAAATCTGCCCCAGTCCACAGCTTCCCACCAGCCGCACTTCCAGGTGAGACACAGTAACATAAGCAGCAAAGCCTCTCAAAAATTCTAGTGAAGTCTCTCTTTTTCACTTCTCGTTCCATTCCCAAGCCCCAAACACAACAGATAAAGCAGCAAAAAATTGGTCCCTATTTTTGCAAGTGGATACTATTTTTAGGAAACACTCTGGCTGTATATTCAGTGCAGTTAGTCCAAAGGAAATCCCTGGTTTTGCGCTGGCTGTTCATCAGCACAGAATTGTGTTATTTAATCCTTACAGCACGGCCGGATCCTAACAGCAAGCTAATGTGGTGGTTGCACAGTGATGTGTCTAGCTTCAAGCAGCAGTATTTGTTTTGTTTTTGTTCTTAGCATCAGTATTTGTGATGGACTGCCCTGGCTCGCATCATCCATGGTTTGCAGAAAGCATGCCTATTTCTTCCTCTTATCCTAGCAGAAAAAGGTCATTGCCTCCCACCCTTGAGCTTGGGTGGCAGATCTGCTCAATCTGCTGTACAAAAGATCAGATGAAACCAAAAGCAATAACAGATTGATAGACCAATTCACGGCGGCGATGAACTATTTTACTGCACTTGAATCTTATGTTTCAAAACTATTAAAAAGTAAAATGAAATGAAGACTAAGCAGGCTGTGAGAACGAATGAAAGTCTTCTTGCAGGGATAGCGTGGGACTCGGAGCCGCTCAGAGTCGTGAGCCAAAAAACAACAACCAACCCCAGTGAAAGCTTTTTGAACAGTTTACACCATTAATTTTTAGGCTTCAGTTTTGCTTTATCTGTGCTTCTGTCTTCCCACCACCAGGCAGAGGGCTCTCAGTAGTGGCGCCTGCCCTGTGCAACGCCCTCCCAGCAGATGTCAAGGCAATAAACAACTATTTTAGTTTTAAAAGACAACTGAAGGCGGCCCTGTTTAGGGAAGTTTTTAATGTCTAATGCTGTATTGTTTTTAATATTCAGTTGGATGCCGCCTAGAGTGGCTGGGGAAACCCAGCCAGATGGGTAGGGTATAAATAATAAATTATATTATTATTATTATTATTATTATTATTATTATTATTATTATTACCATCACCTGGAACAACACTTTGCTTTCAGCCAGTCACAGTGTGGGGTGTATTAAAAGATGCCACCCTCGTGTTTTAAATGAAGACGTGTTCTTCAGAGGGTGGCAAGCAAATAAGGGGGGACAATCAACGTCCTTTCGATTGTCAGCCTCTGCCTCCATGTTGGGTGTATTATGTATGTTATTGTGATGTGGCAAATGGGTGAACCAACACTGAAGACTCAACCATTTATTTGTCTTAAATATATATATATATGAATCTGACGATAAACATCTCTGGGGAGCCAGCTGAGGGACAATTACAGATAGCCATTAAATTGATGGCATGTCTCTGGCCTCTTGAGTCGTATGTTGTAAAAGAAATACAGATGGGGTATATTTCATGGGATGAATAATGGCTTGTGTGGGGGGAATAAGTAATGATTACAATGTGCAGATGTGGCTCAGCCCCTGTCTTGTCTCCCTAGATTTAGGATTGAGTAAGGTGCTTGTATAGTCCTCTTCCGATCGGAGGCTGATTTGAATTCAGACTAATCACTGACCCCTTGATCAGGAAAACCCTAGCTAGGAGGTTGGAGAATTGAAACTTTGAGCTTTGCTATTTTTTAAGATTTTTTAAAAACAAAGCCTGGACCATTAGACCTTCATTTCTAAGTTTCTCTTCTCTAAAGGGAATGAGATCAATCCATCCAGTCACCTATTTATTCATGTACCACCTTTCCAGGAGAAAATTGCACATCAGATGCATTATAGCAAATGGAACAGCACCCGTAGTCAAACTGCAATACTGAACAAATACAACATTGCCATTTCAATATGCTCAAGGCAGCTGTTAGAACAGCAAAAGAAAAAAAGGGGGAGGGGAGAGGAAAGGCTG